CCTTTCGGGTATTTCCAAAGGCTTTCCTTGTATCACTATCTAGTTCCTCATACATTTCAAGCTGAAAGAGCTCTCTAATATATATAAGGAACAAGATGGGTGATATAGGTGATCCCTGGGGATCCCTACTTGCACTGGGGTCTCGTTGCTGGTTTCACCGTCAAAAGCTAGGAACACTTTCCTGTCCGACATAAAGGATTTGATCCACCGGATCAGGTTATGTGGAAGACCTAGTTTTAGACATATTCTAAGTAGCTGGTTGGTAGATACATGGTCAAAAGCTCCTTTTACATCTATAAAAAAAGAGCTGTAGTAACCATTTTATTATGTTTTGCCACCTCTATGTCATGGACTAAGGATAGTGCTATATCAATTGCTGATTTTCTTTTTCTTCCCCATTTGGTCATGGTAAAGGATTGATTGCGGGAGTTCAGCTAGATAAGATAGCCTAGTTGCAATAATCTTCTCTACTACCTTGCCTAGGCAGTTAAGCAGGGAAATAACTCTGTAGGCCTTGGGCTTGGAGTAGTCCCTTTTAGCAGACGCGGATTTTTAAGAATAACCCCTTTGGCAGTTTTCCAACATTTGGGATGATAACCATTTCTAATTAGGGCTTTATAAAGCTCGTGGAATCTCGGAGCAATATTTTGGTAAGCCTTTTGAATAATTAAGAATGAGATGTCATCAGGTCCAGGAGCCTTTTTGTAGAGCTACTAAAGATAGCAGTGTACACCTCGTTTTCCCTGGTTTCTGGCCAGTTGGTTGACTCTGCCTGGTTGGTTGGCCACTCAATGGGCTTAGCCTCCGGGGGGTTTTGAAACAGGGTGGAAAGAAATGCATGACATTTATCTTGAAAGGAGATTGCTTGCTTCTCTTGATTCTCTATAGAATAGGTCAAGATAGGCAGTTTTGAACAGATCTCTTTTTAGTATAGCTAAAAGCTTTGAAAATCTCCCTGTTCCGAGCTTCTTCTAGGAATTTGTTCCAGCATGCGGATTTAGCTTGCTTAATCTCCCGGAAATATTGATTTTTAATCTCTAGAAGATTTTCGTAGAGCTCTGGACATGGGTTATTTTTCCAAAGTTTTCTAGCTTTTCCAAGCTGTTTCCTTAGTATTTTAAGTTCCTTTGACCACCATGCTTTTGACTGGGCAGATGGTTTTCTTCTTGGGATACTAGCATCTGCAGCTATTTGAATTATTTCTTGCAGATTTAGAGCTGCGGTTTCTAGCTCTATATCGGTATTAAAGCTCCCCTGTCTGAATTCTTGGCTTGTATCTAGCTCGAGGATTTTCTTGCTGAATAATGCAATTTGCCATTTTTAGGTTATATGGTAAACTGACCAGGGGTTTTCAATTTCTTGTGTTTTTACTTCAACAGAATAAAGCAAAATTTCGTGGTCTGATCCCGAGGCGAGTTCTTGGTCAATTTCCCAATTTACTCTATATTGATTTAGACCTTTGGTAATAAAGGTTAAGTCAATAACAGAGACATTTCATTCCTTTTCTATGGCATGTTTGCAGGTCAGGTTTATTTAGCAGTTCACATTGATGTTCTTCAAGCCATTTAATCAAAGTATCAGCCCTGGTAGGTGATAATGTCTTTGAGTTCCACCAGCTATGGTGTGCATTAAAGTCCCCCCTATTACTGCATGTGTGGAGGGGGTAACCCTAGCTAGGGCTCTTTCTATTGTCCACTCGGCGCCTTCCTCTAGTGATTGCTCGTTATATATATTTATTAGCTGCAGATCTTGGATTTCTGCACCTAAGATATCTATTACCAGCAAATCACTATCAGTGCTAATATCGTTTCTTTGGCAATAATTAAACCTAGATAGCTTTCTATGGTAGATTGCTACTCTAGGTCTAACCTTGGTTTGCTCAGGGAGGATTGGGGTGTATGCTGGGTGGGATATAGTAAAGCTATTATCAGGCGCTATCCATGGTTCCTGGATGATAATAAAGTCGATATTAAGCTCCAGGCCTATTTCTAAGCAAGATAACATAGCATTCTGATTGCGTCCAGTATTATTTTGCAGGAAATAGATTCCTAAATCAGTGTTTTTCTGATTCATTAGTAATCTAATTCCATGTTACTGTTTGGGATTGGTCTTTCTGTAGGCCTAGGCCTTGGTTTTGGTTTGACTTTTTCCCATTCCTTGCAGTTTTTGCTATCTGCTCTGTGGGCTTGATTGCAATTAGCGCATTTAACCTGTGTGTGGGGACATTCCTGGCTTTTTACTTCGCATGTGGAACATTCATGGTATTGGGTTTCATGCCTTTCTGCGCAAATAGCGCATTTTGGATTATTCTTGCAGTATTTGGCAATATGCTTGTATCCTTGGCATTTTGGCATTGGGCAGTTTTCTCTATATATTTAGTAGCTCTACATAAAGCTCCTGCAACACAGAGTTGATTTTTAATTGCCTTGGATGCCATGGCTTCATTCTGCACGTCCACTACAATAGAGGAGTGATTTTTGGTCTCGCGGACATGTTCTGGGGTCAGCCATGTTGGGGGCCTCATTAGTTTTAGACCTGGGTTAAAGATTTCGATCTCTTCCTTGAGCATCTGCATGCCTTCTTGGGTTTCAAAAAGGCCTGGTGGGGACCATGTGAATAACTATTTTTGCCCATGGTTCATCAAACATCCACTTAGTATAGGGGATAAGTGGTTTCCAGACATCCAGCTTCTCTATTAAATAAGGCGCCTGAATACCGTCCATTGTGGTGAGGATAAGGGTCCTTTTAGTAAAGGAAGTGCTTGCTGTCCTTACTATAGGTTTGTCTACCTTTTCTTTTATCTGGAACTGGTGGTTGATTTGGTTTCGGAGCTTTAAGGAGTCTAGGTCTTGCAGAAATTCTGCAGAAACCTCTAGAATAAGCCTACTACCTTTGTAGGCGGCCTGTTCTACCCGTTTTGGCTGATCTTGTTTCTTGGTTGGGATAACTACTTGCGGTTTTATTCCTTTTTGGACTGCTGCTGCGTATGAAGGCTTTACTGGTTTTGCTTTTGGTTGAGAAGAGGCTAGGGCTATTTTATCAAGTTTTTGATTAATAGCGTTAACCTCTTTCTGGAGTTTTTGAAGTTGATTGTCTTTGGAAAGCAGGGATCCTTTAGCTTCCGGATTTTGCAATTTGTCTTGGATAGCTGAGAGGCCCTCCAGATGCATATCTAGAGCTTCAAGGATCTTAGCATTTGCTAAACTATGGTGGATCTCTTGCAGTAAGATCTTTGCAGACTCAAGTTTTTGATATAACTTTGTTTGGCATCACTTTCTATTTGTTTTTGCAAAGCTTTTTCCATCTCCTATTTTATTAAGGAGCACCTCTTCATCTTCAGACATTTGACTTAATGACGCAAAGGAATTAGGGCTCTCAGGAGGAGAATTGGAATCAGGCCTAAACTCAAGTCTTGCCTTTGGGCTGATGAACGAGTGTTTTCTTTTGCCTTTGGTCCCTTTTTTTTTTAGGGCTTGGTGGCTGCGATGGGTTGGGTGACGAGTCCCTAGGTGGGGTGGTTGGGTCTTCAAAAGACCCCATTCTTCTCTCTGATAGACAAGGGAAAATAAAAGGAAAAAAAGAAATAAACAGGTGGAAAAGTAAACCAGGTAGGATCCTAAAACTTTACTAGCTAGGGATCTAGCTAGTAAGTAGAGATTTTTAAAGGGAATCTCTAAACCACAAAAGCTTTTTAAAGGGAAGCTTCGAAAAACCAGCGTAAGCGTACTAGCTCAACTCTACTGTTCCCTATATCTCTGGTCCAGCACCAGTTTTCCTATACCTATCTAAGCTAAACAGCTTTAGAAAGATATTGCAAGTAAGCTTAGGCTTTCTACTAGTGAATTCTACAGGGCAGTCCAAGCTTCCTGTTTTTGGTGGAGTAAAACGCAGGAAAAAATCTCACCCCTTTTTAAAGAGAAGTGGTAAACTAAAAGCACGGTTTTTATTGTTTTTGCAGAATACCCGGCTAAAATAACTGCTATGGTATGCAGGGCAGCTAGGTCCCCACCTCTTATCCCTCTCCAGGACAGTGATGGTGTTATAGAGGCCTAGAGAACTGTAACTAGTAGCGGCCCAAAAGTATCACAAGGATATCAAAATTTCAATCACATGTAATAGTAACAGGCTTATCTAGGAGTTCTTTGAACCCCCTAGTAGGTGCGGGATTAGGTATAAGTGTAAACTTATAGGGCTTTCCTTTCCTTGGTAGGGTGTTCCGCAGGGACCGTTCGAGCGTTGCGGTGTATTCGGGGTTGGTGTTGTTGGGGGCTGTGGCGGGGGGTGACGGTTGCGGGAGGCAGAACGCGGGAGCTGCGTTGTTGGTGGTGTTCGAGCGTTGCGTTATTGGTATTGGGAATTGTATTGGGGGCTTCGGTGGTGGGTGGCGGTAACGGGAGGCAGAACGCGGGAGCTGCGTTGTTGGTGGTTCCAGGCAGCCCGAGCTCGGGAGTGCGGGAACACGAAAAAAAATTTTCACACGAAAATCGCAGTCTTTTTCATCAAAACACGGAACGCGATTGGACTGTTGTATCAAGAAAAGTGGAGAAGTGACTAAGCTTGAAAAGGGCTGTAAAACGACGTATGAATCAGTACCCAATACCCCCAAATGTGGGGGTTGGGTTGGAGGGTGCGTAGTTGTTTTTAAAAAATAACTGCTATGGTATGCAGGGCAGCTAGGTCCCCACCTCTTATCCCTCTCCAGGACAGTGATGGTGTTATAGAGGCCTAGAGAACTGTAACTAGTAGCGGCCCAAAAGTATCACAAGGATATTAGAATTTAATCACATGTAATAGTAAAAGGCTTATTAGAGTTCTTTAACCCCCTGGTAGGTGCGGGAGTAGATATAAGTATAAACTTATAGAGCTTTCCTTTCCTAGGTAGGGTGTTCCGCAGGGACCGTTCAAGCGTTGCGGTGTATTGGGGGTTGGTGTTGTTGGGGGCTGTGGCAGGGGTGGTGGTCGCTGTAGGCAGAACACAGGAACGGCGCTGTTGGCGGTGTTCAGGCGTTGCGGTGTTGGGGGTTGGTGTTGGCGGTGCTCAGGCGTTGCGGTGTTGGTAACGGGGGCAGAACGCGGGAGCTGCGTTGTTGGTGGTGTTCGGCGTTGCGGTATTGGGAATTGTATTGGGGCTTCGGTGGGGGTGGTGGTCGCCGGAGGCAGAACGCGGGAACGGCGCTGTTGGCGGTGTTCGGGCGTTGCGGTGTTGGGGGTTGGTGTTGGGGGTTGGTGTCGGGGCTTCGGTGGTGGGTGGCGGTAACGGGAGGCAGAACGCGGGAACTGCGTTGTTGGTGGTTCCAGGCAGCCCGAGCTGCCGGAACGCGGGAACGCGAAAAACTTTTCACCCGAAATTTGCAGTCTTTCTCATCAAAATACTGAATGGGATTCGACTGCTGTATCGGGAAAAGTGGAGGGATTATTAAGCTTGAAGAGGGCTATAAAATGAGGTGTAAATCAGTCCCAAAGACCCCCAAATGTGGGGGTTGGGTTGGGAGGGGCGTAGTTGTTTTGCTTTAAGGCTTTAAAAAGGACTATTATAAAAAACAGTAATTACTTACCTACTAACAAGAAAAATTGCTAGTTAGATGGATTAATAGGCTTTTTAGTAAAGGCTTATATGTCTCTGCTTTAATAATAAGGAATTTTACAGAGGAAATAGTAAAAAAGCCACCAGGAAAAAACTAGGCAACCTGCTTTATAAAAAGACACTAGAAGGACCTTATCTCTGCTATAAACAGTATGACTTTTTATAAAAAAAGGCTAATTTAGCCTTTAAATATACTTTATATTTTAAGTTACTAGCCTAGAAAATTAATAAATATAATATCTAGAAGGAGAATATCTACAATATAAATAAAAAAGGTTTTTTTATTAGTATTTTTTTAAAAGCTAAAAGGATCTTCTCCAAGCAGCAATTCGAGAAGGATGGCATTCAGCAACGGCTTTAGGATAGGAATTATAAATAGAGAACCTTAATTACTTGTATTTGTGCAGATGGGACCTTATTATCTCCAGGTCTTATCTACCAAGCTGCCTCCAGCAAGATACAAAATACCTGGCTTTAAGACTTCGATCTAACTAAATATTCTTGCCTTTTTGGAGCCTTACCAACTAGCTAGACTAATAATAAGGTGGGATTTGCATGGCTTTAAGATATTTTTAACAGGGAGACAAAGGAGAAGGCTGGAAAAAGTTAAAGGCTTTTAATTTTAGATAGCCATAGCTCACACCTTACCAGAACTTTTATTAAGTTTTATATAGTAAATAAGATTTATTTAATAACCTATCCACCTTATTTAACTTATTCGCTATAGCTATTAGATATTGGGATCTTTTTACCACTTTTAATAGTCTATAGCAACAGTTTGGAGCAATTTCTTTATAATAGCCAAGGCCTAAGCCATATTACAAAAAGGGACTTTTTCAGGCTATTCTAGCAGAGCTGGGAGAAGGCCTTAACAAAGAAGAATATTAATTTTTTATAAAAAAGCTACTAGGATAGCTCTATAGGATCCAGAAATTATTTTAAAGCGCTTTAGTAAAAAGGAGAGCCAGAGGCCTTTATTAAGTGGCTCTGCAGCTTCAGTATTACAAGCAGATAACTGGAGAAGGATTAAAAGGCTTCTAAAAAAGATAGTTGCTAATATCTATAATTAAAATACTAAGAAGCTAGGTATAACTTTTTATAAGCTTGCTACCTAGAATACTTTGCTTAAACTATGCTGTGAAGGCTTAGAGATAGCTTTTACTAATAAAAAAAAAAGAAGGTAGTATTAAAAGCTATTACAGTTTTAATTACAAGCACCTAAATATAGTAGTGCAATCTTTTATTTACCTAAAAAAATACAGCAAGCTCTCCTGTAGCGGGCAGGGCCCGCAAAGTGCTCGAGCCCGTATACCGGGCACTCGCGAGGTCGTGTAGAACTCCCGATCACGTGATCTCGTTTACCTCGCACACACATTTACCTGTTCGGCCGCCGCGGTCGTAGATAGAAGCTCTTCAGCGAGTTCTTTTAGTCCAAATCTATTATATAGGTTGAACCGGCTACTAGCCCGTGACATCTCCAGCTTTATAATAAGAAGGAGAAAGCTATACAGCTTGCTAAGGCTTTAAAAAAGAAGAGGAAGATCTGCTATTAATAAAAAAAAAAAAAACAAGCAGCACTTACTTAAAAAAAGAAAGAGAACAAAGGCTGCAAAGAAGGAATTAAAACTACTAGAGGCAGAGTAAAAAAAATAACAGAAAAAAAAGGATTATATAGCTAAAAAAACAGCTAAATAACTCTAAAAGGATATCTAAAATACTAAAACCACTAAGAAAAAGGCCTCTAAGTCCTTTACAACTTAAAATACTACAGTTAGTGGCCCTCCAGCTCCTGAAGTTGCTAAGGGGGTCCCAACTATATCTATATGCTCAGGCAGGTAAATCCGCCTCCCACAGAGGTTTCAGGAGCTCTAAAAGGGTGGATATCTTTATTCGTATCTACACTATACTCTATCAGACACTCGTTAGATAATTTTATTTGTGTGTGGCTGAATTGCTTTATTTGTTGCCTCTTCTAGTACTATAAAATCGATCGTTTGGGGGTTCCGATCGTTGGGCGGTGAAGTACGGTAGATCTGCATTGAAAAGTGTTACAGAAAACTATAGTTAATCCGCCCGACTTGGCGGTGCGGAAGTATCTGACGATCCAGTTCTACCCCTCAATCCTTTAGCTAGTTGAGCACCTAGATAGGAATGCAAGAGACTCAGTTGGTTGAGATACTGTGATTCTGTTAGGAGTTCTCGGAAGCGCGATAGCCAGATCCTTAGCTAAGATGCTTAGTCAGGTGCGATTTAAGTTAACCTGCGAGGGGGGCCCCCTGAATTGAAGAGAATTGTGCCTCGCGAACACCGGGGAGGTGTATTAAAGTGCAGTTGTATACATGAAACAAGGTAATAAGTTGTATTTGGCCATGGGTACTATCGTACGATCAGGTCTCCGTTTTTGTAAGATAGTGTACACTCCCCACCATGAGATATACGATTAATTGAGCTCATTTTGGATACAAGTCTACGCGAACCAAAGTGCTCGGTCTCTCCCAACAAGCCGGTGTAAATTTGATTATTATTACCAACGCCCTCGGAATTCCCATCCGTGCCCCTCTTGGCCATCCGGCCGATCGCTACATCTGTCCGCTCAATTGTCTAATTCCTAGCGTGACCCGTTGTGGCATTCTTATATTCGGCTAGGCCGCTGTACATACTGTAGCCGAGCTATACGTCTTAGCCGGGTTCTATGGACTAGTATCAGCTGCAGATATGGCCTTGTTTGTCGGGACCGTCCCTTCGTTGAAGAAAGACCTCAACAAAATCAGCACTCGAGTCAGCATGGCGCTTTCAATAATAAGCTTTGGACAGTTGACCGGCCCATCCGTGGCGGGGACATTGATAAGCGCGCACAGGGGGAAACTACCTGGCTTCGCAGATGTGGGCAGGGGCGTCCTTGATCATGGCCGTATTCGCTCTTGTGGGAGCTCGATTCATAATATTGGGACCACAGCTCCGAGCAAAACTTCGAGCATGAAAAAGGCATGTATATAGCCCTGACCAGAGGACAGAATAATAGACCACTTACGGATCGGGAAAATAAGTTGGATTCCTGTTACTGTCTTCCATCCGACACCGTCTGATCGAGTTTCGTACGACTTGTTGGCTCTAGCAGCAACGAGACTACCTACTACGAGAAAGCGTTGCAGCAAAACTATGACAAGACCACGGAACGAGGCTGGGACAATCTCGGACTGATATGTACTGCAATGGTTTTAAGCACACAAAACCTTCATATTGGGGAAAGGCAACGAGCAGACGAAGGGTTTGGATCTATTAATTCAGGGTCCGACTACGTGATAATTCATTCAAAATCCACTTTCTATTCCAAAATATCGGGCAACTTCAATCAGACCTGAGCCTCCAACTTCGACCCAATGATCGACAAACCCCTCTTCTCTGGCTCGTGCAACGTCTCTACTATTCCAAGCTTCTTCCAAGTCTCTCTCGAGGTAGATTGTCTGAAACCCACAGTTTTTGGCGGCTTGCAAGTCCTCGAGATGGGCTGCGACGAGACAACATTGCGAATTCTTTAAACCGAATCTGCGAGCAGCACCATAATAGACCTCTGGCGACGGCTTGTAAGCACCGAAATGCTCTGCACTAGTGATGTGCTTGAAAGGCAAAGAATTGTGTTCTTGTAGATCTTCGAGGAGTTTTACATTACCATTGGATAATGTAGACGTTAAAAATTTAGTGCTTAGCAATGAAAGGCCTGGCACACTGTCGGAGTATGAGTCAAGTCGATGCCAAGCGAGTGTTAAATTTTTGAGATCGTCCTCGTTAAATAAATCCCGGAGAAGCCATTTAATGAGAATATTTTCCAAAGAAATGCGGTTGTATTCATCCACTGAGACAAAGGGCTTAGATGTATCGTAGGTGTCTCCGAAGTTCATATATGAGCGATGCCACTCCTCAGCAATCTCCTGCCAGCTCGAAGTAGACATATCAGAGACCCGTGCTCGCACATCGGCACTCAGATATCGAACTTGATCTTGCAAAGCCCTTCGTGCTGTGGCATTCAGTTCGTTCGTGATGCACCATCTCCATTCCACAGTTGTCCCCAAGACATCGAAAAATATCATTGAAGGGAAGCCGTCCCGTGACATCTTTGTCGAAGCTTCTTTGAGAGATACCAATGAAGGCTTTTGCCTGAAGTGTAGACTATACCTAAAAGTATAACAAATTCCTCGTTAGTCAGTGATAGAAACACCATGGCCCCAGAAGAGGACTTAAAGACAAAACAGATGACTTTACCGCCAGGAACTGGTGTAAATGTTTACGTGATACTATCGCAATAAGATTAGGCTTTTTTAAATGTCGATGCCACTGAACATCCACTCTTTCCATCAACCTCGGGACTTTATTGCTTAGGGTTGCATGTGGTTGGCACGTGAAAATCTCAACAAGGCCCTCGGGTATCGCGGCTTCAGAATATTAGGCAAGGCGCCAAAAGTAGTCAAATAGGATCGAGTAACTAGCCTTCGGCGCCGCCCATGGGCGTGTCTTGGACAGACTTACTCCGCCCATGGGGTATCCACGGGAGATGGTAATCATGGGCTACCCATTGATTGATTGATTTCTCAGGCTTTTCGCGACCGAAGGCTGCATGTAGCATGTAGCCCTATGGGCTTCCATGGGTTGTCCATGGACGAGAAACAAGCAAACATAGTAGGAATAGCGTCTTGCATAAGTTATGCTCGGGTTTGGTAATTTTCACAGTCACAAGTTATAGTCAAGTTTCTGCTATGCTGGTTCGTCATCTCTTAGAAAGATAGTGGAGTTCAGGGATCGCAAATTAGAGACAAATCCATTCTAGGGGTTTACATTCGGCTCTATAGATTTCCTCATTCGAATTCAAAATCATCATCTCATTGCTTCGGTCGTTTTCCCCTGCCTGAATGTCGCACATATAGGCCACTCTCCAGTGATAGCATCCTGTAACCCGTGATTTCTCCTGCTATGGGAGGCCAGTCTTGCTCTGCTTTATCTACGGTATTTCTCAATCTTTTTCCAAATTTGCTGCCACCAACCATTATTTGACCAATTTGACCCTGCTCAGGAAACATATCGTCATCCCCATCAATCTCAACTCCCTCCTCGTGGTCATCATCACTAATCGGCTCGAGGTCTTCTAGGGTCTTCAGAGCTCCTCTATTTTCCTCCTCAGTATGCCTCTCTTCATGATGTACTCTTCCAGCAATGTAAGCTCCTTGTCTTTAATTTCGGACTTCGAAGAACATGCAAACATCATCAATAGTAACATTGTCGTAGCTTTGAGTGAGCCCCGCCGGAAATGGCAGATATCACGGGCAGAATTGAATAGGCGTTCGACACCGGCATCAGTTGCGGGGATCGAGAGGACATCGCGAGCAAGGCTTGTGAGCGCAGGAAAGTCGTGCTCATGCTCTCGCCAGAATGCGGTGATAGAGGATTGTCCACGAATTGTAGGCCCTATATTTCAGGTCAGATAAAGGCCCCAAGTTAAGACCAAAGGAATACGAACCGCAACTCAGGTACATGGCCAGCTCGTCACGCTGGCTTGCCGTTGACCGACCAGGCAGCGTTGGGCTTGCTATCATATCAAAATCCGATGCCGGGCTCGTCGACATATAAGCCTGGGAGCCTGGCTGCCCAACGTTGATATGGCTGGAGATATTTCAATAGACTTTGTCGTACTTTGCACGATAGTCACCCTCGGGATCCTCCCGGTCTTTCCCAGAGAAGAATCGGGGCTTATTTTGGGGCGCAAGAATAGTCCTAATGGCAAAGGATTATCTTCAATATCATCTGTTATGACATAACACTGCCGAAGTTTGGTTTCTGCTGCCTGGAGTGCCTTCATCACTGTAGACGAAGACGGTGCGCAGAACTGCATGAGCGGAAACGAGCCTCAAAGCAAACCAGTAACCGTGAGATGTTAATCTTTTGATTGAAGTACAACATGTTATACTGCACAGGACTCAGAGGGTTAGAAACAGCAGTTTAACATTAAACGGCAACATAGCTCTGCATTACACTGGGCAGCATAAACTGGAGATTGACAAAACAATACAGTCTTATGGAGCCTGTTCCAATACCCTTGTGGATGGATATACGCCACTTATTATGCAGCGATGCAAGGGAAACTGACTCTTACTCACCATCTTCTCACGTGGGAACATATCGGGCCCCGAACTGCTCTATGGTGTGCTGCTAGCAGCGGAAAAAACGATATCGTCGAAGAACTTATTAACCAGTAGACCTGGTTGGCTCCTATTAGAAGCCTCCCAGGGATAAATATTGGTACTCGCGTTGCCATCATAGAATATGGGGGGTAGTTTTAGCTAAGGTTCACAAGAAATTCCAATCATCCTTATTGTGGTACGCATGTTGTTGACCAGGAACTGAGTGTAGAGGATTAATAGATAAGAATAAAATGAATAATGTAATAGATTGGATGTATAATAAAATAACTGATAAGGAAGATAGATAACTAATTCCCCCTTTTTAGGTACATGCCTGAGCTTCCCTTCTGTGTGGCGGAAAGGAGGGGGAGGGCGAAGTTGGGTGGCAATCTATTGGGGTTGACACACACACAAAATATACGGTTGGGTATTTGTTGGGGCTGTGCTTCTATAGCTGTGTATATCGATGCAGGCAACTCAGCGCTAAATTACGAGAAATAAAGAGAGCAATTTCCTATACCCCTGTCCTTATGCATGCCAACCGCACCCAACGTTCCACCGTGGTTAATGGCTTGTGACATCGCAGGACCCGCGCAGATCATCACGCCTAAGGGGCCTTTAGCCTGTGCCCTGGCCATCCGTTCCATCCCAGGCTAAAGTGCCTTGTCTACCTCTTATCTAGTTTCTTATTTCCTAGAGATTCTTTCCGCCCCCACAGGCCGCTTTCAATAACTCACTTCGCCCCTCTTGTGTTAAATGCATGATCCAGCTATGCAGTCTGTAGATAATTCCCCGTTGCCTATGGGGATAAGGATACACAACAGGTGGCACGGTCCGTAGGATATTATTTAATTAGGCTTTGTCTTTGACTAGACACAACGGTAAGTTTAAGGCTACGACGCTGTAAAATTCCGAATCGAATGGCTTGACTATTATAACTATGCTATGAAACACCAACGCTCAAGGGCCGTGTTGGCCCTTGTGACTACTCCCATCGGAAGTGTTCTACCCAACGTGGGAAACGCTGAAGCTACGTCGAGTGGATCGTGATTGAAATCCTGGGTTGGATAAGAAAGAGCTCTTTGCCAGGCTGCTGGGTTTTTTTGTCAAGTGACAATTAGAGGGCCAATTCCCAGTTTAATATGCATCCAGGCAGACCAACAAGTGAGTTCCAGGTAAATAATAGTGGCACTGACCAGGGGTCGAGATTCAAGGTTATTTATCCAAGGCTACAATACGTGGATTCTCTGGGCCAGGGAGTGCCTCCTGCCCTGTACGCGCCATATTCTGCTGCAAACCAGGAAATTAGGCAGCTGTGTAAGATACCGAATCTACACGTTTCAGTTGTCGTTAGCGGGAGTGCGCAAAGTTTCCGATGTGTACAAGTAGCTTATTTTTGGCCGGACAGGTCTGATTACTCTACTCTTATGTAACATTTTTCCAGGTTAAAGTCGAGACTAAAATAACATGGTATGGCCCAGTATATCTAGGCTCAATAGGATATCCATCAACAGACCCATACAGCACATGTTTCCAAGGTAGAGGTAGATAGATAACGATGGGGATGGATTCAGAAAGCAATAGATTATTCCTAGGTTGGAGGGCAAGACAGTACTAGTCTCATAAGATCGAAATATATTACGCGAAACTAAGAAATACTAGATAAGGAAGTTGCTTAAGCGAAGTCCCATCCAGTACCTCTATCAGACTTATCACTGGATCACTTGGCTGGTCGCATGCGGGTCAAGCTGGAAGGTCTAATTTAGAATTAGTGGCTATACTTTGTCGGAATTAGGTCATTCGGATTTTTGGGTGATTTGTGATGGTTTGGCTGTCTCTGCGCTATTAAAAGCCATTTAGCTATAAAAAAAATACAAGACGACTGATCGAAGATCAGTCGCATCCAGCGCCCCATATAGTAGAGAAGGCCTTAGTCTGAGCACCATACAGAGTTCAACCCGTAACATGACTACCGCGGGGGATTCTCCTGACCAAGGCTAGACACGTTGATCCCAACGCACACCGGATTAATTCCCTATAGTAATGGATTTTGTCGCTTCCACTATCACTACCCAGCTGTGTTTAATAACACCGCCCCCTTCCAGGGTCTGCATACATCCATCTAATGCTCAGACCATTATCTACCAATTGGTTAATGCCTGGATGACAGAGCAGAGTCTCTAAGTATATTAGTATCATCTTGTCTCCTCTCCCTCCCCACCCCTGTATATGCCTAGTGATGCCTACGACAGGCAGTGCAGCCGATTTTATTTAGACAACTATTGTTAAATATAAAGCCAGCAGTCTTTCTACGGTATCTAGCAAACCAACCAGTAACTCTGAGCAATCCAATAATATCCTCTATTCCAAAAACATCCTCTGTTTCCGCCAGACGCGAACAATTGTTGATCTCCAGCGCACCATCCTGCCGCAGCGTTTAAACAGCATCTGCACGCTGCATTTGTCCATCCCGCTGGCACTCTACTTTTATAATGAGAAGCTAAAATGTGGCGATGGTTACTATCCTCTCGACGTGCCTTTCTACTGGAAAGATGCTTGGAAGGTCATCTCTGAGATGAAGTGATAAAGTCATTGCAGAGTGTTCAGCTCTTGTTTAGCAATAAGCGATGTGGCTATGATTACCCGGACCTGGATGCGATGGTCCCACTTTGATCTGTCTGCCCTTCCACTCCGCATCTAGCCTCGACGACAGGCATAAAGGTACCCGGTCACATATGGCACCATTCAGGCTATTAAGTAGAGTGTTACTTTGGTGAGGTCTCTCTGCTGTCTCTACTGCGGTCAAGAGCTCGCAGCCACGGGGCAGAAAAAGGTAATCTACAGCTATGTGTCTCGCTGCCTTCTCCTGGTCACCCTCTGTGGGGGCCTGGTTATACTGTATTTATCCCCTTCACCTTCCAATATCCTATCCACTTATTTTGGTCACCACATAGCGCATGGTTCCTCCTGGGCATTGTCCTCGTCGACAGGCTCACCCCTCCCGTGCATGCGAATGGGCTGCAGTGGATACGAGAGAGCTGGAGAATGCCATCTGATTTCATTACGGCGCTAACCCCCTGGCCCAAGGGCTTTAGCCAAGGTATCACACCCGTCCAGCGCCATTCACATAACGACTACTGGCGCAGTGTCCCACTGTTTGATGCGCTCACCGCTGGTGTGTGGGCGTAGAGGCAGGTGTATGGCTAGATAAAACGTCCAATGACCTATTGGTAGGCCACGGAACCTCGTCCCTCGTCCTTATCAGCCGACCGCTCGCTACAGTCTCTCTATATCAAGTCCCTGACCACGATCCTTACCCAGATAAATCAGGGCGCCAACTTTCCCGTCCCCAGGTCCGGAGTTTTCGAGACCCTTCCCAATGCCAGCCGGACACTCCTGATTATTGTCAAATCCGTCGGGCATACTCCTTGGCCCGTGGTGATGGATCAACTGGCCCCCTTGCGTGCCAGTGGCTGGCTATTATATTGGAATAGGACTGGCGGCGGGCTGGCCTGGCGGCCGATCACAGTAGTAGGCACCGGGCATACCCTATTCGAGCTAGTCAATGCCGACGCCGAATACCGGGACGTGTTCTTTGATGCCCCACTGGATTAACTTGCAGACAACGCCAGCTTCACTGCCGACAACTCATACTACGCAAGCGCATCGTTAAGGAAGGCAGCTGGAATCGTCTGGCCAAGCAGACCTCAGAAAGAGACTATGAAGAGGATGATCGATACGGCCGCGGCAAGGGGATTGGTGTCACGATTCTGGGGTATACTCGGGTGGCCGGCGGATCTACGGATAAAGCTCTGGCGATTCTTGGTGGAGAGTGGGATTGGGACACTGAATGTGGATGAGTTGTTCGAGGCAACGCGATGGAATTGGGATTGGTGCACCGTTGCGGGGTTGGTGTTATGCTAAATGAATCGAGACTCGATCAGGCAAACTATAGAGCTTCATATACGGAATAATCTCCTTAGAGAACAGATTGATTTCCGTCATCCTGTATATAAACCCTCAGGATTACAGCGCTAGGCGCTGGCGATATCACGTTAAGCGATTATCATGATTAATCAGAGCGGGGACTTGTCGTTGCCATGCCGGATCGGAGCCTCGCTAGTTAACCTCGAAACGATGGACTCGGCATAGTGCTTACTAGTAATATACTCATACTATTAATTAGGCCGAGCTTAACAAAGCCGGAGGCTGATCACTCTGTCTTGGTAACTCCGGGGCGGACTTGCGGCTAAGTGAGGGGTTTTGGTTATCCTGGTGGATAACTAAAATAATTAGTGCCTAAAAAATATAGCTATAATATATAGGCACTCCAGAAACAATATAGGATCCCACAGCAGTGCGCTGGAGGACCTAGGTAGACACTAGGTTAAATAGCGGTCTGCTACTTGAGGAAGCAGACAAGACACTTTAAGAAGGTAGCTTAGGCAATACAATCCTTCGCCAGACTCAAGAGAATTCCCTTAGTCCTCCCCAGGGCCCGCCTTCCTTCCCATATTTGACTGTTCCGACAGCTTATAGCGTTATACAATTTCACCCAGTCCCTACCTAACCGGCCGTGTGATGAGCGATATTGCAATAATATATAGAACGCACAAAGATAAAATAACGATATAGTTAATAAGATCTTAACAATACATCAACGCGTTATTAAGGTACTACTGTAGCTTTGTGTCACCATATACTTATCTTATTAATAAGGATCGAGCTTGGTCGATTCTCGACATATCCTTGACATCTCTATCCTGTGGTGGACGGGTATGGGCCCATGTCATTTGGCCCCTTAAGGTCTTTCCTCTTTTTGACTCGGTTTCAGTCAAGTCTAGGGTAGATAAACATATAAGATTAGATGATTCTGTATCAGAATCCATATTTTACACAATACTAGTAGGAATAAGAATTAGATGCAGTGGAAATCAAGGAGCCAATTTGAAGTGGGTAAGAAGTACCGGTATAGGCGGAGAGGTTCTGTCAATTTATCGATGAATTATCGCTATCGGCGATGACGATAATCACTGATGCAAATACTTAGCAAGGCAGTTGCTTCGGCAAACAATGCAGTGCCTAATTACAAATAAAAAAGTAAAGCCAAACTTTCAAGGTGCCTTAACACTATTGAACGTTCGTTCCGATGTCTGGTGGGCATTATTTAAGCGGGCAAGAACCCCACGGAGGCTTTCGATGTTGACCCTCTGGGGCACAGTATGGCCAAGCTAGTGGACAAGAAGTTCACAGTGGGACTGGTGCACCCGGAACCGTTTCATGTAAGGTCTAGAAAAATTTCGCCGCAGCTTGGAGGAATATATGCACGCTTAAGGCGAGGAATTGGGGGGTTGGGTAAAAGTAGTCTGAGGCCGGTAGTGTAGTGATCAGGTTAAGTGTAAAAAAGACTGCTTTTTTTATTTCACCTTGCACTCTTATAAGGTTAAACTCTTATTCCCAAGCTGAGATTTTGCACAGGATTGCACGGAGATGCACATATACAACTATTAAACAGGAAAAGAGAACCTGGAGCCTGGGTGAAAGCACGGTTGCGCCACATGGGAAAACAGTAGCATGGCACATGCTGAGCTACATCAAACACTGGTGACGTCAGTATGATAGGGAAGCAGAGAAAAAAGTAATAGAAATCAAGATTATATCTAACGTCGTAATCGCGAACATCCAGGGACAGAGTAATCATGCAGCTGCTGAGCTATCATGATGGCACTAACGAGGGTTGCAACTGAAGCTGGGGGTAGCTTGGGTAAAAATTTGGGGGTAGGTCTCAATGGGGGGTTATGTTTATTGAAAGTAACAGCAAAGCTTTGATTGCTAAGGCCGACCCAAGGTCAGCTTAGTCCTCATCTCGCCACGACCGTCTCAAAAATGGGTCCTCACCAAGACGTGTTCGTTTACATCTGCAGCACCAGAATAACTAATGGTACACAATAGGTAAGTTCGAGAAATCAAACAATCATCCGCAACAGTTTGACAGGTTCAGCTCCAGTTCTCAGATTGGCAAACTCTAACTTTATACGAGACATGCGTAGGAGTTTGGCACGTGAATATCACGTCTAATCGTCTTTAAAAGAGAGAAAAAAAAAGAACACAAAGCCATCTCCACTACATATCACATATAAGGCCAATGATATGACCAGCTACAAGATTACTTTATGCGCCTGTTCTTACGGGGACAGTAAATCGTAAAGTATAGTGCATATCTGAGATATAGAGAGCACTAGGCCAGCCTGCTAATTATAGTACAAAAGCCTGAAACAAAGAGTTATCGAGAATTTCTTCCAGAACATCGAACTCTTTCCGGATCGTCTCCCTACTTGACTGTTACAATGTATCATCAAACAGATCGGCCATCCCATCCAAGTCCGGCTCTTCTTGCCCAGCAGCCCAGTCCAGCACGAGAGCTTTCGACGCGGTATCATTGGTCCCCAATTCTCTCAGCTCGTTCCCTATTGCATCCCACGGCAACAACGGCCCGGTTTGGGCCACCAGATCAAGAGCAGTCAACCCATCACTATTGCGGATGGAAGCATCCACACCGTTATTGCAAAGGAGCCGTATCACCTCTAGTCGACCCGCCTTGTCTCCCCGTAAAGCATGGAGCCGTCGTTCCCCTCCAACCTCCGCAACGGACACGCCATGGTACCCAAGTATGATGCAGCCGGCCATTCGGACGAATCCTTCAATATGCTTATGATGGTGGAGGGCTTGCCGAACAGCTTCGTGGAGCACCGTATCACCAGTGAGCCCATCCTGATGGCTTATATTGAAGTCCTTCAAGACAAGATGTTGTAAAATATCCAGAAGGCCATGCTGTGTAGCAATATGACACGATTCTTGCAGCTCCGCTGTGCTTGTATACTCAAGAACTCCTTCCTCTATGAGGAGACGCGCCACCGCCCAGTTCTGTCGGTCAAGTGAGTAGACGAACGCTGTTTCATCCATATCTGAGTGAATCTGGAGAGAAAGCCCGGAATTAATTAGATATCTAACTATGCTGATATGGCCTTCGTCAAAATCGTAACGGTGATAACCACGGCGCTGAAGTTGCTTATTGCAAAACAGGCAATGCAAGACGCTATATCCAGACCCATTTGTCGAATTAATGGAACAGCCAAAGTTCACAAGCATTTTTATAAGCTCTAGCTTCTTCGACGATGATTGTCCATCGCGACAGAATGCGCTAAGATGCAAGAGAGAGTTCCGGGACTCATCTTCCACTGAAACTAGTGAACTATTTTGCTTTAGAAGGAATTCCATCGTCGGTATGTCCAGGTTCTCTGCTACAGCGATAATTGCCCTTCGCACGTCTTCCGAGGAAGGCTTGATCTCGCATCCAGAATTTATCAGTACGTCCACCAGCGGAAGACGAGACCCAAGCCCGTAGCCGCCTAGATAAAATATGAAGTCCAAACACGTTTTGCCATGGACTGACGTAACCGTGGCCAGGTCCGGTGCTTCTCGCAGCAGCATCTCGGCGGCTTCTGGGCTACGAACCGACCACAGAAGACTTGCTCCCTCATCATTCAATTCGCGAACACTCGCGCCAGCATCAATGAGAAGTCGTAGCACTGGTAGATTATTGTATCTGGCTGCACTGTCAAGCAGTTCACGGTGGACCACAGCTCCCGCATGTAGCAACGTTCGCATAGCACTCGAGTCCAGGTTCTCCGCTGCATGGAGCGATGCAGCTGTCAAACATTCAACATTAAATTCGCCAGCACTGAGAATACAACGCACAATCCTGCTATCCCCATAGCGTGCTGCGAGGGAGAGAACACCTGACCCATCGCCGTTGAACATCCAAGATCCGGGCAGAGCCGACCTACTACTCAGTGGGGCCAGGATGTCGCCACCGGAATTTATAAGTCGTTCCACCACTGCCGAACAGCTGCTTTTGATTGCAAAATGCAAGGGTGTCTGGAGGTAAAGACGGTTGTCCAATCTCGGTACATTGGGATCCATACCCGTATCAAGCAACAACTTCACCACTTCAAGATCACATTCTCGAGGACCGACTGCCCTATGTAGTGCCGTCCACCCTTCGGTATCATATACAGATGGATCAGCGCCCTTTGCCAGGGCGAGTTGGACTGGCTCTACATGACCGATTGCACATAGAATGTGCAGGAGTGATGTTCGAAATTGTTGAGACAGATAAGGGTTGCTGTATACTCGGCTCCAGTCGAAATCAATGGAAACTGAACTCAAGTCAATATCTGGGTCCCTGATCTCGCTTTCCTTTAATTTTTCTAACAGCTTTTTGAAGGCGGCTGCTGGACAGTGGATTGCGGCAATAATAGGATATACAGGAAATCCGTATCTCTTCTCATCTGACCGGACAGCTTTGGTATATAGCTCATCCTCTAAAACCAAGTAGTATTGTTTTGCGGTGGAGAGCCAGCACCACAGATCGACCACATCAAGGTAGCCTGCAATTAATTGGAGGACCTCGAGAGGAAGCCTATCCATTGCCCTGCAAATACACGGCCTTTCACTTATGCACAACAGCAGAACTCAATATTTTTCAGGATGGAGAGAGGCGAATGTTTTGTGATTGTCGACCATACTTGGTTGACAAAATAAACCACTAACAAGCAGGTGCACAGCGACGATCAAGACGATCAGAAGCGTAAATGAGGGGGGAGCTCGTAATGGTGGATCTGTCATTTTATATTGTGTCAGCCGTTCTCGTAGATCCCATGTCCGATGAGTCAAACCTGGAGGATCTGTCCATTCCAACATGTTATGACTGTTTTCTCTTTCATTCGAAAAGAGGATGCAGAATTCAGAAATGGCTGGGATTGAACGACAGCATGTCACTGACCCGATCGTTGCATTTTGGAGAATCTTATGTTTCAGAAGAGCTTGATCTACATACAACTGAAAAGGAAAGGAAACAAAGTAAAACATAAGGAATACCAAGTCCCCGGAAGTACGTTAATAACGACGTCCTTCAGAATCCAGGACATCGCAATGCTGGAGCTCGATCACCGTAAATCCAGCCTCCTTCAAAAGTCGCCTCTCGTGCTTCCTCATCAATCTGGATCAACTTATCTAACTCATAGACGCAGAACGGCTATTGTGGCGACAGCGTTGTGCTCTGTAACCCCGTCTCTTTTAATCCCCTCATACTGTCTTTATCGCCTCGTATGCCGGTGAAGCGTGTTTTAAACCGCAGGGGGACGTGCACTTAAGGCGGTTCTCGTTTGGCATGTGCACGGGAACATATCATCGAGAATGCCTTCCACCTTCAGAGACATCGAGTCACCCAGAGATATAATCAAGATTTTGCGGATAGACCAACAGAGTGATCACTGTCCGCTGGCCGAACTGGGGAAATTACATACACTGTCGATATATTTTTCTGGATATTTAAGTAAGTATTTCATTCCGTGCATCTCCTCGTTGCTTTCTATATTCTCTAGAAATTGATAATAGTAGAGTGTCTGCTGAGTGGAGTCACTGTTAGAGAAATGTAAATGACTATCTTGTCCAAGTCGCGGTTAATCTTGATCGAGACATTCCACAGACAAAAGACCTTCCAGCTAGTGTCCACTGTATGGGCTATAGTTAGAGAAAATTCCAACTAATGCAGTACTGAGTTTGGGATGGCCCTACCCAGTGAACTCTTTATACAGTATGCCATGTGTTGGTAATGTCTATACTGCTCTAGTAGTAGAAATTAAATAGACAGATATACAAATACTGGGAATGTGCATACTTTATTTGATTCTTCCTATTTTTTGCCAGTAGGATTCTAGGTATAGTTTCAGGTGCGGAGATAAAGGGTTCCGATGGAATATATTAACTAATTCAGAAGGGGTTCTTAAATCTCAGTGTTAAGGTTCTTGGACATCGTCATACTCTATAATAATCGTAGTCCTAAATCTTTCATGTTCACTGATGGATACTTTGGTTATATCTACGTAACATGCCGATTAAGAAATTCGCCCGAGAGAGCATTTTTGCAAGCGGCCTACAACATATCAATGTCCTCTTTAACGATACTACTCAGTTGCAGGGATTTTGAATATAAAAGGAACTTAATTAGTACTACTAGCTTCTTGCAAATTAATTTATGATGGTAATATTATCTATTCCTGCAATGACTGTACTGCAGGTAGCAAGGTATGTCGATAAGTAATAGGTTAGAGTTTCTGAAGAACTTCGCAGATCATATTTTGCCTGAATAGAAAGGTTTATTCGATGCTGCACTAGACGAATTGAAAGAATAAGAAAAAAAAAAGCAACATAATCAATGAATGATTCAATTCAAAGAAGGCCAACAGGGTGAATGACCTATTTTGCTGATGTCAAGTACTGTGAAATTAAAATGGCCTGTGGTTTTCTAAATAATCCACTGATACACCGGCATACTTAATGTGAATAACAATTCAGGTAAGTAGAAAGAGTAAGTTACATCTGCTTCACTGCCTCTTGTATCTCGGCGCAGTTGCATGCCAGTAGCAGCTTCCGCCTACATACAACTCAATGGCTGCAATGTACTGCAACAACGTTGGGGAAGGGGAACGCAAGGAGCTCAATGCCTGGTGCTTCAATCGACAGGCCTTTTCCTCTTCATCGACAATGATGCCTTTAAGTAGTATTTTTGCAACAGTCTCTGAAATGCCGTGTTCCTTCATCAAGACGCGGACAGCGTTTCGCACACGGTCAGTTTCCTGGTCCTTTTCCACATCCCAACTAAAATAGTCGTTCGTGAGCCCCAAAATAACCCCCATGCTGAAGTCAAACTCCTGGATTGATTCATATTCTGCATCACTGAGGATCATGCCCATTCCCCAACGGATAAAATATGAAGAGATCCTATGTCTGTGTCTCAGCATCGACTAGAAATCGGGGCAATTAAATAAACTGACCAGTATCCACAGTTTCCCACTCTATATGGGATGTATGTGTTCATAGAACTGAAGTCTTCATCGCTGCTATCAAAAGTCCGAAGATAGTTAGTGAGAACGTCTACTAGTTTCGTAGCAGATCGTGGATCCATCGCGGCTGCCTTTTGTACAAGCAAGCCAAACAATGTCTCTTGGGAATTAAACTGGCCAATCTGTGCGTTTATAAGGGTTTCAAGGTTCATAGCATCCATCAGCGTGCCGTGTTTAACACAAGCAGTCTTATGGTCCAGCTCCTCTGTGACATCTGCTGCAGTAGTCAGCCTACCATTCCATGCAGTCAAGGACTTAAGGGCACCATGGTTTCATAATAGCTACTCACCGTCGTTGATCCATGCCAACTCTATGATCGATGAAAGAACAACCAGCCGCTCAGGATCAGCAGTACAATGACAGATAGCAAAAGGTTCATTCTCTGCGCGTAGATGTCGGGTTTTTGCCTTCATGCCTTCTTTTGAATCCGGGGCGCAGCATGCATCAATAATTTTACGGAGCGCATTAACAACATCTGCTGCATTGTGGGCGATAGCGGCCGGGAATCGGCTAAAGTGCTCTGGATGGTTAAAGGCAGGAATGGGGTCCCAAGTTTGCGTGCTATTAAACGACATGGCGGTAGATGTGGGGATTATATTTTCGAAGGCCACAGGAGTTAATGAGTACTCTGACACACGATTGCGAAGATAATTTATGGCAGTAAGCAGGACTAATTACTGTAGCTGGACTGAGCAAGTATTCATTGCAGTAGTTGCGGGTGGTAAACTGAGAGGCTTTTTAACTAATTTTGGAAAGATCCTTAAAGGCAAGTCTATTACCCCAATTGGGCAGGGCAACAGGCTAGAGTCAGAGACTAATCATACTTTTTTGATGACATGTGACGGCAGAAGTTATCTGAGGCTTATTGCGTGGTTTAATTTTTAAGGATCTTCTTATACTGAATGGAAATTCGCGCAAAGTTTAAGCCACCTGACAGGCCAAAACCTGATTCAACCAGCCTAATCGAAAGTCTCCTTCCCCTCCTGGAACCCCTATTGTCACGCCAGCAGCTGTGCCTTCCGTGAAGCTAATGAGATGCTTTGGTTTTTAAGGATCAGATAATCGGTATTACTCAGTCGAATGAGGCATTTTTGCTTGTAGTTTGCCTCCATGTGTTGTGGAACCTCAAGGTTAGTACTACCTCGTGAAGATATCATGACGCACTGATATGTGCTCTGCTCGTAAATAACAAGAACTTTAACTTTCCCCGGTCGATTATATGATTCGTATTAAAGTATTTAGACTCGGCATACAATAGGGAAGCTTCGTACCTTTTTAGGGAGCTTAGAGGAATGATATGGAGTATGACATTATTCATTGTAGTTCTACTATTCCATAATACAAAGCTTAATCTCTCTAAGTATTTATGAAGGATTTTCGCTTTTTTTTCCTTGCTTTTTTGGTTTTCTTTGATTGGGAGTCTGTATTTCTGGACGGCTATAAATTGACCCAACTCACCACTCATTAGGAGAAGCATAAGTCCCTCAATTAAAGCCTCAGCAATCCCCAGAGACGGCATACCATTACAATAACTTTCATAATGACCTCGTTTATCTTGTCTTTTCTTTCCAAACACTGTACCACCCTCTGTTACATCTCCATTTTGTCATCTTTAATATTTGTTGTCGCCTTCGTCAGAAATTTTCTTCATGTAGCTCGATTAAACGAGAGGGAGATTCTCCAAGATGGGTATCAGAAGGTAAATCTATATACCGGTCTTGTTTTTATATCTCTCTAGAAATGGTTGACTTATCTTATCTCACGTTATTAATTTGAAATACAGAACTCTTCGACGTGGAAGATCCAAACCTCAGATTACCCACTATATATCATTCCTATCAAGGCACTCCCATCGCTCCGAACAGACAAGAGAGTTGACTTCCCTAGCCATGTTCATGATGTAAGAAATAATGGCTAGATATTAGATATCTCTCGCATCCATTGCTAATACGGCTTGGTATAGCAATATCAAGCAAAATATACAGGAGCTGTGTGCTCTTCAGCATTTATGAAGAGTGTACAGATAGACTTGAATAATCACATGAGTGAGAAACCTGCTTTTGTATTCATGGTTATGTAAGTTTTAGGTTTACTAATAGTCTCGAACTTAACACAGGTGAGATCTTGCCTGTTCTAGTAGAGGAGATGATGTATGCCTTTCAACGTGAGCTTCCTGCCTCAGAAGGTATATATTCACTTTATTTACCAGCCATATAGCAGCGAGAAAAGCTAACAGCCGATAGAATGGCAGCCAGTTCCAACATTTGAGAAGGCATTGCGCATTATTGGACTTGTTTCAGGAAGAATTAATGTTGGGCTGCCATTAAGTCGCAAATGGATTGATCTCTATAGCCAGCACCCAGTTGAAATGTTCTCAGCCATTTCATCTATATCCCGGTGGCCTGCTTTCATGCGCCCGATAATACAATATGCGTGCCCCGAACTTAGACGAATGCGCAAAATAAGAGCTCAAATGACAGATCTGCTTGTCCCTGAACTCGAGGCTCAGCATAAAGGACAGTTCAAACAGAATACCATGCTTGAATGGGTGTGGAAAAACTCTGCCGCAAGTGACAGGTCAACTGAGACACAAAGTTTGATCCACATATTAGTTACTGTGCCCGGTACTTATACTGTCTCCTTTGCAGTGGCCCAATGCATGTTTGACCTCGCAGCCCACCCGGAATATATTCCAATTTTGAGAGAGGAGTTTCAGTTTATTCACGACTCATGTGGTTGCGGAGGTCTGACTAAAGAGGCATTTAAAAAGATGACAAAACTGGACAGCTTCATAAAAGAGTCCCAGAGGCTCAGTCCACTAGCCATGGGTATTTACTGAGCGCAGAATACTGGTACCAGAGTGGCTGACTTTCTGCTAGTGTCATTTGAGAGAAAGACGTTGGAACCACTTACTCTTTCTGACGGAACCCATATTCCTCAGGGCTCCCATATTGCAGCACCCTCGTTCCATATTGGCCATGACCCAAAGTACTATGAAAATCCCGACGAGTTTGATGGCCTACGTTTCCACAACCTGCGGGAGAAAGAGGGTGGTGGTAAGCACGAATATGTCTCTGTCAATGAGACTTCTCTCCATTTCGGATATGGCCTACAGGCCTGCCCTGGTCGGTGGTTTGCAGCGATTGAGATCAAATTATTCCTGGGATTCTTGTTGATAGGATATGATCTCTCTCTCGCCACTGTAGCCGAGGGACGTCCAAAAAGCGCAATTGATAGGTTCTTTCTCTACCCGGATCCAGCCAAAATGCTTGTGATACGGAAGAGGAAGATTAATTAATACCGGAAAAGGGATTAATACATATCTATGTGGCGATGGCAGGCTGTCCTTCATTATCTCCTTCATTAATTAGTGCATATGCAATTGTCTACTGTTTTTTAATCAGGCTACTCTTTTTTCTCTTAATCCTAGGTGCAAAATATCGATTACTGTTATACTCGGAGGAAAATTAAATACTATTAGTCTAGTCAAAAACCCCGATAATTTATGTGCCAATATGTATATTAGGTCAATAGAAATTAACCCATTTCTATGCACAATTTATTCTATATGTAAAGTTCACAATATTGTAATCTCCTTAGTCCGAAAAGGGTAAGACTAGGTTACAGGATACACCCAATTGCCACGCCACTGCAAAAAGGTCAACTAGACTTGGTAATACCAAGTCTGGCTCCCAATTCACTTATCTACCGTCTCCGCGGTCACAATAAGTTAGCTGTGATTACAATATCGTCACCCATTTAACTATTAAAAATAAGTTGTCCGTTACGGTAGCAATATTAACAGCAACCTGCACAGAGCATTAATTGTCTGCTCCAAGTGAAATAAGAATGCCATTCCTGTATAGTCCTTAAAACCTCGAACTTTGAACAGCGGCATAACTGGCAAGCCACTACTGATCGACTAAAAAAGACAGTTTAGAACACTCAAATATATATGTGGATCACCCAAAATAACTAGCAAGAGCTATTGGCTCTAAAAGAGGCTATTAATGCTTTCACGTAAGCATAATAAGTAGAAGGAATATAGACCGCGAAGGTAATCTACACGTTGTATGGCCTCGTCGTCTATCGAATCGTTTCGAAGAGGGTTAGAGAAGGTCTGCAGAATATCATTCAACCCTCGCCTTCCCAAATATTTCCATAAACTCGGACGGATCGCTGGCACCATCCAGCCGATACCCCTGAATAATATAACAAGGAACACCAGTATTGTCTGGCCTCTCTTTGTTCATGCGGGCTTCTTCGTCCACGGCCTCAGCCGCTATATCAGAATTCAACCACCTATCTATCTCCGCAGCATCATGATCCACACGCACAGCTATCTCTTTCAACAGTTCCTTCGACGATATATCCTTCTCTTGTTCGTGATACGCTGCGAGAATATTCTCCACGAGCGCACTCTGAACATCCTGAGGCTTCTGCCGGCTGAGATGCACAAGGCGATGTGCATCGCGAGTGTTTGACCCAATTAAACCTCCACTTTTGATATTAATGCCGACAGAACGCCCTATTTGGTCCATGCGCTTGAATAAGGCCTCTCGCTGCTCCAGTTTCATATCACTCAGTCGCTCATAAACCAGTTCACTTTTCGGCACACTGCGCGCGTGTGGATTGTAGTTGAGGTAGTAAGGGCTCCATTTTATGTTGATGGTGTCGTATTTTCCTCCCGGGTAAACTTTTCGGTAGAGATCGATCGCTTTGTCCAGTTTACGTTTGCCGATGTAGCACCACTACATTGTTTAGTACTCTATTCAACGGCATGTGATATGGTTGTGGGAGCTTACTGCACAGATAAAGTCGAAGATTACTTCTATTTCGATGACTGCCATACCGTTAGATATATTGGTATTGACGAGGATGAGAGTGAGGGTAAGGAGCGGGGCGCAAAGCGGTAGGTCAGGGCAACAAGGGTACCAAGGGAGTATAAATAGGAGCCGTCGACCATAAAAAATACGCGTCTTCGCAAGTATCGATCCTGCATAGAATTAGGTCTCTAATTTAACTAAACTACCAAAACATCTCACATTTATAAGGCGAGATAAACAAACGAAAAATATAAACTAACTAATATAGGAAATATAAGCGATCTGCTGATGTTGTATCAACAACATTTGACCGAGAAGGCGCTGAATAATCAATAATACCATAGTTAATTGTCGACAGGAGCTAATTCTTTTGCCTAAAACTCCACTTTCGTTTCTTTGTTTAAAATAGAGAACCAGTCGTCTGCCAAGATTAGGACCAGGTTGGTAAGGATTCTATTTGTTTTCATTTATATAAATTTTAGGAAGATTGCAGTATGGCTAAGATAGTAATATTTATGACCGAACAAAGTTGAAATGAAACAGGCTACATGTTATGTGTGGGGTCGGTAACGAGCTGAATCGTGCGCTACGGTATGAAAGGGAGTGTCTGTATGGGAGGGAAGATACCACGTATATTGCAGAACTAATCGCCAGCCCTCAAGAGTTCAGTCCCACCGGCGCGAATATAACTAAACACTTCGCACCTGACTAAGCATCTTAGCTAAGGATCTGGCTATTGCGCTTCTGAGCGCTCCTAACACTACAACTTATATCACTCCTGCCATTTTATGTACTATACCTAGTATATAGTACCTACATTCCCCAGCTTACCATGTGTGGCATGGCCCTGATGGACCCGATGTTCCGACGGTATTCAACGTTTCTACTGCACAGTTGGTAGACATGGCTAATACTAAGTACTAGTTCAACAACCAGAGAAGAGCAACTCTACAGAACCTATATTTATGTTAACACACACCCAATCAGCCGCCGTACGCTTTCAATGCTCGCTGTTGGTACTACATTCGAGGATGCGGAGGAACTCTTCAGCCTTCCGACATTTGAAGACCGAATGTATGTGCCAGCAACCCTCCAACTAGTGTGACACTATCTGGTTATGTGGACGGGTCGAGGAAATCAAAATTGTCTTTTCACGAGGAAAAGAAATTCACTCGACAGCTAAGGTTGACCGCGCCTACCATTCACATCATATGCAGCCTGCCTAGAGCCCTACGTTCAGTCCCTGAAACAATGTCGGGTCCAGTTCACACACCCACCTCATGACGCCTGTCTGGATCTCCAGTGTATTCACCATTAGTGAGGTATTGAAAAGTAGTGCAGATCGATACTGGGGCTGTAATTTAACGAAGCCAAGGCCGTGCAGCTTCTTCTGAAGCCGAAGGGATTCTTTGACCTCGCGATTGAGGTTGGACCGCACCTGGCGCTCAAGGGACCTGCCAGTCAGACAATCCAAGACACAACCGGCCAGGCCATCTCGTACACTGGAGTTTTGTAAAGAGGCCACAAAGGCATGGAGGCGTTTTCTACAGAACTCGGCTCTATCCGGACAATATTTTATGTTGGTGTTGTGGATTTCACCTATTCTGGAAGCTCGCTTAGGGAGCCAGTGTCCCAGCAGGACTGCTAGAAGGCCTTCCTACGTATTATAGGATCATAGTCGAGTATTCCGGCACGAATCCTGCGTTTCCGGAGTATTCGCACTCGAAGGAACCTTCCTAATGAATTGCTTGGTCGACGGCTAAGCATTTCAACTTCGGAGTTGTTATCGTTAAAGACGATGGCCTGTCCAACAACAAAATCTTCCAGTCCGACAGCCTGCACACTCTGGTATTAAGAAAGTCGCAGAGCAGCCTCGATACAGGTAGAGACATAGTCTATACAGGAGAAACCATATGGCCTTGTATCTGATGTCCATCAAGCCACGCTATTTCTCTCGGTCTCTGTTGTGGAATTTAGGGCAAATAATACGCAGAGTGCTATAAATCGGCTACAGGCCGACTCTTAGCCTAACTAGGGAGCACATGTTATCTGTGGGAACATCAGGAGCCACAGTATTTCAACCGAGTCTCTTGCATTCCTAAGGAACTCGACCTCTTCGGTTCTCAACTCTATCAAGGTGGCGGGGGTAGAATGGAGTCCTCATGTAGAAACCGGGAACAGCCAAGCCGGGCGGAATACCTATATAGTCTTTCCATAACAGACTCAACATATTGTGCCAGCGGAACTGGTCTGAAGCGCCGTCCAGGAAAGACTTCTCCTTTCTTATAACCATTCAGACAAGTTCCTGCTCAATTTGCTACTTGTCTCCTTTCAAATACCTTTTTTCCCTGCATTCAGAACGAAAACGCCTCGCAGGCTTTACATCGTATAGTTCCAAGATGGCTTCAAGGTGCTAGCAAGTATCTAGAGTACTAGAAAGCAACGTTACGCGGACTGAATCATAAAACTATCTTAAGCTATATATTGCTTGACAAGCTACTTTTGAGGGAAATATTGCTGACGGTTTCAACAAGAATACTTGATATGAAACCTGGCGGGTAAATGGACTGTGAATGTAAAAAGAGTTTATCATTACCGAAACTGGAAGTTTTGGAAAGTATTTTTGCTACTCTGGGGACATCAGAGCATTCTATTCCGTATAGTTATGCTGTCCACAAATCATGTCCATAATGGTCGGTAGGATTGACTAAGAGGCAGAACTATATCTGTAATTCAATGAGAGCTTGAATAATCTCTGTGTTGTTGATTATTGTGTGTTGAGTCATGCTATAGTGGGGTCTGTCTAGCCCTGGTGACATTTCATCATAATATTTGCTGTCCATAATCTAGAGTGCCTTCAAGAGCTCTACATTATTTCCTGGAAAGCTGGCTGTATTTCCCTTCTATTCTGTTTTGCAGGTAGCTAACATATTTATCTATTACCCTAGCTCCAAAGCTAGATTATTGTAGTATTCTCTAATATAAATCGGTACCGGTACAGCACCCATATAGGTAATTCAGCGTGTACAAACTTGCTTGGCGCTTCTCTATTTTACTAAAATAAGAAATAATACAGTAATGTATTGCCAAATAAACTAAAATATTTCCACAGCGTTGATATGGAGCCCAAGAGATATATATCTTGCAAGATTCTAGGCTTTCAGTAACTATATTCACTAAGTTCCACTAACTAAGCAGACTCTATATTTGCAAGCATCGACCCACAAGTGATTCTAGTGGATCTGGAATTTGTGAGGCCCAGGTCCGGCTGCGTGGTGGTGCTGAGCTTTATCACTACGCCATAGAAAAAAGGTGCAAATCGATGACCAGATCGTCATCGAGCTCAGCGTACTATAGCAAGATCAGGTCCGTGATAATAAGAGCCTATGTGTGGTCTTCAGTTACATTAATTAGCCACTTAATCCCTTTGCAAGACAAATAGAGGAACTATTTAAAGTATTCAGTAAAGGGTAAAGGGCAAGAACACAAAAAGTTTCTAATATAAATCTAACTTCCAGCACTCACCTAATAATATGAGGAGCAACATTTAAATAACCGTCAATTTATATCCTATATCTAGCTAGCATTAGAATAGAGTCAACATAGGTTACTGGTTTCGCAAGCTGGCACTAAGATTCCCCACTGCTATAATACGTTCCTTTATATCACCGATAATGACTTCAGTCTGACCTGGGTAGGTTTGAGACAATTCTTTCACACTACATCGTGGGCCTTATGGCGCGACTCACTGGACCATTTTTCCTTTTAATCTCTGGGCTTCCTGTGACTATGAGACCAAGAGACCATCAAGGTTCAGTGATCGGTGTCCCCACGTCAATGGAACGAATTCGATGGGCGACAGGTTTCAAGGCTTTTCACTCGGGTGATGGAGCCACCCAGCCCATCAACTGGAGACACAATTGTCAACGGATAGCTAGCTAGTGCTCCATCAGTCCCCGCCAAGATAGATGGGGTAATAGATGAGCCAGCCTTTCACAAATCACAAAACCCGATGTTGACCCAAATTCCAGTGCGCCATTAATGTTGCGCGGCCTGATAAAGCAAGACCAAGGCCACCGCTAGAATTCCTTAGAACATGTGGCCCATATTCTCTAGACCACGGTGGCTGGAGCCTTGCATATGCTGAATTGAGTTGTCCATTATCACGCTTGTTCTAGCCCCTACGCAGTACCTGTTGGTTCCGCCTCCTTGGGGCGTATGAAGAAGCTGCTACAGTGTAGTTAGAAACTAAAATGGTAACTTACCTCTAGATTCTTTCGTTCAATCTCTTTGCCACATTACCATGAGCCTATGCAAGCGCAATTCCCAGAACTTCAGAGCTGCTGAAGTTGTGGGCAGAACGAAGTGACCCTGTCGAAAACACCAGACAAGCAGCCTAAGCGCGTACCAAAAGTTAAAGTTGTTATTTAGCATAGTCCAACAGATAAAATAACATTACCCGTGATAAAATTATTGTGCCCTGAGACACTCGATGTTGTAGCTGTTTTTATAAAACAGTCGAAACAAATGTGTTTGGAGACTGGGGTGTCTAATTGCATGTACCAGCAACTCGGTGGAAGGCTGATAGCAATTTACCTGACTATTTTGAACCAAGTTTTATTTCCCAATAAATTCTATACACCCGAATACTATATGGGCGGATAAGCTTACATTTCTGAAAACCAAAAAGGGCCAGGTCTTCTCTCTGTATGATTAAACATCTCGGATTATCCGAGTACCATGAATTTGGTGCCCATACTCTTGATGCCGGCCCAAAAAATGCTGAAGTATGATGATATCCAAAGCTAAGCAAAGTCCACTAGTAATTGGAATCCATGAAACCTCTCTGGAGAAAGCCGTCCCAAGCATATAAGGTTTAAATGTTTCATCAATGATGTGGGGCCGACCCGAAAAATCTTCAAACAGTACCCCACCATCTGATTGTGGGGGCCGCCGAATGGTCCTTAAAACAAAAGCAAATGGAGCTCGGAAAGTTAGGTTTGTTCACTGCTTTGCTTTATATGGCTATAGTATACCTGCCCTGGAAAGGCCCCCTGATCCGTACAGAGACACCATTTATTTCCCCTTGGATCAAGGCCCTCTGGTGCCCAAAAATGCTCTCTGTTGGAGAAAATAGTGATGCGGACCCGGCACAATTTCATTCCAATTCTTGATTTATAACTCTAAAAGTTTCTGTGCAAAAGAAGCACAGCCCCAAACACTCCGAACAGGGGCTGCCGGTGGGTTTCAGGCTTTTCGGCACTATCGAATAACTCCGTTATCAATGATATTTACCCACTTAAACGTGCTGTTTTCTACTAGCACGTGTAAAGAACGATCTAGGCCTAAAGCCAGTCTGCCGGTATCTGGTTAGAGGCGGATTAAGTTGAGGGTTGGTGGTACTGTAATTAGTGCTCGGCAAATACCAGAAGATGCATGCCTGGCAATAATGTTGTTTGTTCAGGTACCTAATCAGATAAGTCATAAGACTAGTGCCCGGGTAAGTATATATTTCTCAACAGCTTTGCGCCAGTCTCTATCACATCTAACGGCGTCCTAGTTCCTTTAGAGAGCTGCGTGGGAATTTCAGTGGACACTACTCAGTACTGCTTTAAGCATCAGACATATACAGAATCAAAGCTATGGCCAGCTCATCCAAGTAAGCTTGCCAAACACAATCTCGGTGCAAAGACTGCTTGTACTTACACTGTTGTCCAGCATAAACACCAGCACCTGTGTGCCCCTATACCCAAAGGACGAGGTATCCAAATTCCATGGAAGAGTCCCGAACAATATGAAAGACCTATATGGGGAGGATGCTCCACAAGCTCAGGCAGACATACGCGGTATTGGATTTGCTTCGCCACAGCATCAACAGCTCGGAAACAAACCTCTTATTGTGATTGAGAGCATCGCAACAGAGGTTCCAGAGGGAAAAAGGACACAGTCAGACACAGCACATGTGGTAGCCTCGCTGTTTGATTCTCATCCTGAGCAACGGGATCGCATCCCCCGACTGTATGCAAAGACACGTATCCACACCCGCCATATGGCAGTGGATCCTTTGCACCCTAAGTTTGACAGAGCCATGCCTATCCGTAAACGTATGGATCTTTTCCTTGAACATGCGGCTCCACTAGCTATCAAAGTTTCTTCGCGCGCCCTAACTGCGAGTCGAGTTATAAATCCTGCTGAGGATATTGGAATGTTGGTCCTGGTGACGAGCACTGGGTTTGTGGCACCTGGTGTGGACGTTGCCATTGTCAAGGGCCTGGGTCTTTCTCATTCAGTCTCACGTGCCGTGGTAAATTTCATGGGGTGTGCGGCGGCCATGAACGGACTGCGATTAGCAGCTGATTTTGTACGAGCTCACCCAGACTCCAAGGCATTAGTGTGCTGCGTGGAGCTGTCAAGCGTGAATGCTGTGTATAATGATGACCTCAACGATGTCATAATTTCGAGTCTGTTCGCGGATGGGAGTGCTGCGATGGTAGTGGGCTCTCCTTCTCCCACCTGTCCAGGGCATGGACAACAGAAAATGCATCTTATGCCGGGAGAAGTAATTATTCGCCAGAACTTCCATAATCTGGTGGATGAGACTAGTGACGGGATTACCCTCGGTATTAATCACAACGGCATCACCTGTGAGCTATCGCCTGATTTGCCTTCATATATATATGCTGGTTTAGCTCCTGTGATCGATAAGGTGTTGGCCCTCCACGAAATGTCACGGTCAGATGTACACTTGTGGGCCATTCACCCGGGTGGTCCGAAAATAATTGAGGAATCGGTTCGATCGTTGGGGCTGAACAATCAAAATGCGGCCAAGAGCTGGGAAGTGTTAATGAAGTTTGGTAATATGCTCAGTGCATCGTTACCCTTCGTCCTGGAGCAAATGGTGGCCGAGGCCAAAGATGAAAGACCGCTGTCAAGAGGACTTGCATTTTCTTTTGCTCCCGGAATCACAGTGGAAGGGATAGTGTTTGAAGTAGTCGGCACTGGAATTGACCAATCAGTGAGTATATGTTAACGTCACGCTGTGAATCTTGCTAGATTTTTTTATATCATATTTGAAAATGCTGCTGTGTAGCAAAGAGAAATTAAGGAGTCTAACTGTTTACAATATACTATCATTTACGTTACCGCGCCTATGGCAGCCACCAAATACCTCAGCTATTGAGTAAATTCTAAACAGACCTAATCTTTTATCACAGTGCACAGTTCAGAATAAATAGGAATAAAATCTCCTGTAAGGAGATGTAGCATGTGGGCGTCCAGTTGAAAGATTCCCTGGCATGGGATGATCACAGCCATTTTGAAACTTGTCATAGGCCAATCTGACTCAACAGGACTGTCGATACAGACGTAAGTTGCTCATAGGGCAAGCCAGGGTGGCCATAGTTATAGGATTCATAGGATCATAGTCTATGCAGCCAGTTATATTTAGAAGAGCTAGGTAGACTGATTAGGCCAAAGAACTCCTCGTTGACTGAAAAGTGATAATATTCCGTGGCTACGACAACCGACATCTATGAAAGCTTAGAATCAACCTGTGTATTCAGGATCAATTCATACAAGCGACTAACAGGCATAGACGCTGCATTCTTGGCCCCTCTTATAGATATTGTTTGAAAGTCTCACCTTTTTTTTGGCATGGATCTCGGGAATTTTCCAGGGCACTGTAATATGCGATATCTAACTAGGCCCTACCGTATCTCAATTCCTCACTGAGACATTCGTCACAATTATGTGGAAGAAATTAGCTCATCTTCTAGAGGAAATTAAGGTAAAATAAAGATTTTGAGAAAAATGGAAATATTAAAAGTAAATCTTCGGTGGGCGGCCAATCCATACCCCTGATCACGCAAGAGGGGACAGACCCCGCAGGGTGCCGAGGCGCTAGGCGCTCGGGTCCATATATTTCCATACCATACACCTTATCAGGTATTCCCCACTGCCAATGGGGACCCACCTCTGCCAAGCCGTGGCGCAGCCCGCTGCATTCCTACAGTCAAGACTACGCTACTTACGTTTGGTGGAGGCTTTGGGTCCAGGCCTTGTGAAAGCTGAAGAGCTCAAAGTCAACGCCAAGTCTGCTCTGACTTCTAAGCCATGGACATACATATACTGTCCTTCTCACACAGCAAACCAACCGATAATCGGGGCCAAGACCTTGGCTGAGAATTCCTCTGAAAACCTACTCTCCTATCCGTGGTATCTGGACCATAGTTTGAAGGGTTGACACCCCGGAGGAGACTCAGGCTACCAGTCCTTGCGCAGTCTTAGATATCAGCCTGATGAGGCGTATCACAAATCCATTATTGGCCACTGAAGCAACGACACAATGGGTTAAGTTCTTCATAAAGGCTCCCTTTTCTATGTTCCTTCCCCAACGATATCTTCGTGTACATACTGTGCTGGCAGGACGCAATGCCATCTAGCCCGTGACACCTAGCCCGGTTTCGCGAACAAAAATAAAGGCCAAGGAAGCGAGATTATGCGGGGAAGATACCTCTTTCCAAGGCCTCAAATCTATCTATGATCTAGGCTTATGAACTGCAAGGTGCTCGCCCTTCGGTCTACTGTCTTTTCGCAAGCACCATTCAAACTCGTCCTTTACTAACAACCACTCATGTCCAATCTATAAGGACAGAACAAAACCTACCAATTTAGAGTATTAGATTACGCATGTGGCAATGATGAGTTGGCTCTGGAAAAATAGGCTTGGCTATGTGTAGAACGATCCCTGGAACAGTAAATTAGAGTCTAAATCCGTCTTCAAATAGGGCTCTAAGTATCTTGCATCCACATCTGTAACATTTAGTGGTCGCTGCCACATCTTGTCAACATAAATTACGTCTGTCGGAAAAGTTTACGCATTCTTGGGTGCTTATTCAATAGTTATGATCCATGTGGCGATTAGTCAGCTGCTCAGGCGAGCTCTCCCGCGTAAGTATGCAAATTATGCGCAGTTTAGAGGATCAGACCTTTATTATTGTGTCATTTAGATAGTCATATTATGAACACAATTGGCTGGATAAAATATGACCAATTTTATATCGAGACGTCTTATACATATAAGGCGTCTTCCAACGGTATTTATGAGTTCAATTTATGTAGATAGGTCTATGTCGACAGCCCTTCGACGTAGATGGTTCTACCTTCGGTTCTAGCTCCTGACCTGCACTCAGCCAGTTCAACAGCTGTTCTTCACTTTAATAATACCTTTTTTTGCATCCCTTGGGCCTTGCCCTCAGCGCACCGCAGACTTCGCAGATAATGTCATAGGGTTTCCAAGACTAGCCCTACATCATGTCGTGGCATTAGATTCCCGGGAATACTCAAGTTATCTTAGAATACTAAATTCTAGGACGCGCAGTACAGTTTCAAAGTGACCTAACCTCCTCTATCTAATTCTTCACGCTATGTAGCAACCCTGAACTATATCTCCCAGATAGAATTGTACCAGCTCTGCACCAATAGATTAAGATTAAGATTCAGTACCTTTCTTGGAGTTGCACTTTCTGTCAAGAAATCAAGGTCTCTTGCGGAGCCAATCATCCCGCAGTGGTGGTCCTCTTCCTCAAGGCGATGGATCTTTTGGGCCAATGAAATCTCACATCTTTGCACGAGGAGAATCTTCTTGGCGGGAACTGCTGCGGCGCTAAGGTTTCACTCAGTATCCATACATGGAAACCAGAACTCCCCACCTTCCACGGCAGGGAGTGAGTGTGAAAGCAGTGGCATTTGTGGATTCTGTTCTATCCATCTATTCTTTGGCGCCCAATTGCCTCCCGCTATAATCATCTGGTTTTTTTACGCAAAGCATCCACTCATTATCAGGACCAGGTCTTGGCGACGATCGCGCCATAATTATAATCATAACATCCGGTCCCTAAATCAAAACAAGTTCCGCCAAGAAGAGGAGTGCACTCTTTCAGATATTTGACTTCTTTAGGAGGCGTGTTTCGTGCTGGTGCAGTAAATGCTGCACCGGTTACGCCTGCTAAAAGAACAAAAATGGTTCGCATGATTGGTCTCAGCGAGTTTCTAACTTCCACCCGGTAATAAATACATCACTATGATAGAGGAATATGTCGCTCCTTGAATAAGTAATGGATCGAGAAAATATATAGGAATAAGTCGTATGTGATCACGGTATTTATAGACTGGAAGTAGGGAAATGCACAATGATTTCATGTTGTCTTAGATCCTTGCATTTTGTGCCGTGTTGGTCTATCCGTGGTCACACAACAGGTAGATCAGCGGGACTTGGAGACGACTGATCTTATAGTACAGATCAATTGTCTGAACTGTTGTCCAGTGCTGGAGCCATCCTATCTGCGTAGAATATCATAGACAAATCAGTCACGACAGGGGCAAAATCAAACCTAGACCGAACAACTCTATGGACAGGCAACGTAAACAGAGATTACCCAGCTCTTTCAGGTGTTCTTGGAGGTTAAGTTCTGCCTGGCATAATAACAAATATTCTTCGCATTTCTTCGCACAATATTTCCCTTCCACAACATTGTTGCTCTCAGGAATGCTATTGCCACGCATACTCGGTTGTACGAATCACAGGAGAATATACCAGGACACGCGAAATTTTTGGCATCCCGGTTCTATGACTTCCTGTCCATGCCTGTCTGTGAGATATACTGCCTTCCAGGCGTCCGCAATGGGACATCTCACGGTCCAATCATAAATCAACCAATGTGTTTGGGTCAAGCTATCCGGGCTCGAGCAAGATGCTAATGAGCATCGTATACATCTTTGAACTGGCAACGTCCGTAACCCTGGAGGCATAGATAAGATACTGAAATTGGGCCTTAGGAACTCCTTCGCAACCACGCGGCTGGGATCCGGTGCGGATACAAGGCGGCTATTTTGGGATCCAAGTCGTCTGGAATCGCCCGGGTTAACTTTGGCGCGATGAGCAGCATGCAAGACGTGGAGAGATTTGTCATATTTCTGAAACAGCGGTTGCATCCGGGTTATGCCAGACAGACCTCTTCCAGTATCTGTAACGGATGTTCTGGGCATCGACAGCATTCTAATTTATCCTATCCGGGAACGATGTGCGTATCGACTAAGGGGCAAGCAAGTGTGAATGTCTCATCAACGAGCCTGAAGTGGGATCGTGGCGCTTCATTGATCTCCGTAACTGGAGGGTTTTAACCCGAGAAAATCTCCGCGCGGGTCTTGTGCTAGTTCATCCTGAAATCGCTACCAAAAACAAGATCCTTAGAGTTCGCCTTATTGCTCACTCGAGACATGTCCTACAATGCAAGTGGACATTTCAGTACCACTTGGGAACCTCGACTAGTGCAAGATAGGCTGCTGTGCCCGAAATGAAGTCTGTACCTGGGACGACTCCCGGGAACGTACAATAAGTGTGAAAGCGTATCTATCCCCAGAACTCGAGGCATTTTTCACCGGAGGACTTGGAGTTCGCTGCAGTCTGCAAGAATTAGCCCAGAGGGCTAGCCGCTGCCATCTGAACCACCCGTAGTAGTACGAAGGTTCGTGGTGACAAACACGCCGGATTCCAGCATTGAAAATGACATTCTTCTACTTGTTGCACCGGAATCCTCCGAGTGACCACCCCGGTCTATAGCGACGGCCGGGCTCTGTGTGTCGGCCTTCTTCTGGCTTCGGTTGAGGCAAGAGTGTAATCGGGAATGGTATTTCCTACAAACGGGAGAGAGATACATAGGGGAGAATTATGACCAAGAGTCAGTTGTGTATCACTCTTGCACGCATGCAGACCTTAGGTGTGACGTCGCAAATGCCAACCTCGCATTGGTTTCAGAGAGAGGCGCCTTTGACGGAGGTAGCGTGGGACTACAAAAGGGAGAGCTATAGATGAGTATACCGGAGATATGGCGGTGCCGATTCGTACGGGACGGATCTTTGACGTCTAGACATCGTCTGATTGTATATATGTAGTTTTGGTTCTAAGCCAGCATGTCGTTAGCAGATCGTTTAATTAAACTGCTGATAAGCTGGTGCTATCTAGATTGGACTTGGACGTACTGCCTATGTGGTAGGCTGGTGGTTCACATCTATCTCTACCATGTAGCATTAGAGATATTATTCGGTATTATACGGAGATCTATCGAAGTAAGCCATAGACGTATATAATGAGGCTGTTAGTTGTTCAAATGAATCCATATGCCTAGAACGGCGACGGTGTGGGAGTCGGTGAAGGAGTTACACTTGGAGTCGAGGAGGCGATGGGACTCGATCGAGACTTGGGGAGCTTCGGCTTGTTCTTGGACGTCGTTGGTTCAGCTGCTGTGGTTTTGTGATCTGACTTGGTGGAGGTCTTATCATCCTTTGTGGAGGATTTTTTGTCTTCTTTTTCTGTAGAGTCCTTTTCGTCTTTCTTCGTGGATGGCTTTTCCACTATTTTTGTGGAGGGCTTGTCGTCGTCTTTGCTATCCTTTCCATCCTTGCCACCCTTCTTGCAGATACTCTTTTTCTTCTGGAAGCATCCCTTACTAGTACCATAATCATCCGACGCACCATTCAAGGAATCAAACATGGAGCCCATCAGATCAAAGTCCCAATCCGGAAGTTTACACGCCTTTCCCACCCAATTACCAAAGAATGAGGACGCGTCCAATGCATTCTCAGCAAATGTTTTGGCCCCTTCCACGGCCTTTCTCACTCCGTTGATCGCGGCGCCCCCTGGGACGGCATCGATGCCAATATCCACCACAGTTTCCAGGCTGGACAAGAAAACAGCACAAATAATATTATCCAGCATCGAAAGTCCTTCCAGCACAGGCTCGATTAGAGGTAGATAGTCCTGTGGGTTTCCACAGAGACATTGTCCCGGGTACCATCTGTTTCCGTCTTCGTCTCTGAAGATCAGGGAAGGGTCGGTAAGCTCTTTTTCCGGGTCCATGATTGAAGAGCGGCACTATATCAATCAGCATGTTTTCATGCGAGGGTGACATTCTTCTATATCGATGACCAAGAGAAGCAAACCTACACCCATGCCCTCGTTCCCTTTATACTTTGGACAGTATGTCTTGCACGGAGAGGAGGCCTTTTGCCGATTACCCTTGTCGAGATACATGAAGCAATTCCCGCTGGTGGCATAGTAGGCCAACACCTGACTGTCGGAATTCTGGGCGTGAACAACGGGGATGGATAGGCCCAGAAAGAGCAGAGAAAGTAAGGACCGCATTGTCTCTATCAAGTATACCGGTGATTCAATCTGTAATGGATCTTCTTGTGAGATAGTTCACTCCTTTAAAGCATTGGACCCTTCTGAATCATATCATCTCCTGAAGTAATTAGTTAAAAGATGCCCCGAATAATTAGCCCCAAATGACCTGCTAAAGCATCGCAGCCATACATTCAACCCCACCCAACACTAGATCTAGTATGTTATTCGCGGAATATGTACATATGTAATCTGAGAGAATTGCTGACAGGGGATAAGACCAATTCTGAAAATGCTAGAAATCTAGAAATCAGAATCAATTGGACCGCTCGGCTCCTGCGGATCAATTCCTGCGCTGATCTGTTGGCCCCCAAATCCCTTACAAAGCGGCGGTTCCGAAACGTTGTTCTTATGCGCCTCATTACTCTGCATCTGAGGCCGATCCCATCATGAGATAGTAACTAATTACTCTGTATAATCGTGGGAGCAACTTGTCAGGCTCAATGGAACGCCAAGAATTTACGGCATTCTTCCGACATGCCAAGTAATTACCGCCGTCTCGTCCTTCATTTGCATCTCCACCCTCTGGCCCCTCACTAGTCTGATACGAGGAGGTCGCCTCTTTCAAATACTAGATGAAGCTATTAGTTATGGGGCTTTCCACTGCCGCTTAGTTGAATTTCCGTCTGGTTTATTCACCCGTTTATGGCTACGTATTTGCAACGGCAAAAATCCGATTAAAAGTTCAGATATCTAGCAACATCGGACCTCACAATTACATCTGAATAAAGTAGATCTGCTAGTTCTTTAGACATTGAACAAAGAATTTACTTAATTAAGAGGGTCTTTCGGTTCTTTTTACTGCAGATTCAGGATGGCTGTGTGATCGATGACACTAAAAGTACCATTTTTTCTTGCTTTTGTTAGAGAAAATCAAGAAACCACAATTGTTTATTATCTGACTGACTCTTCGCCTACTATATATTATTCCCAAGGATAAAGCAGAATGCATCCGGCAGCCACAAAGTGCCATCACCTTCTATTCTCACGTAATGTAGATCCAGTTGGGCGATGTTATCAAAAATCAGTTAGCAACTTATACTACATTCCTATCACTGTTTGTAATGCAGCCATATTTTCTTTCTAAATAGTCTTTGTATAGCTGTATTCTCTAGTCTAGTGCTTGTGCTCTAAATATCCCCAAATACAGTCTGCGGCCTAAGCTTGGTACTGGTATAAACTGTAGCTGATACAGGTCAACCATACAATGGAGATTCATCAGATCTATGTCCTACAAGGCAAGCTACCTATATATACCGGCTATATCCCCAACAAACCCCCTCTTACCCAATCGCCCAGCTGCGCCACCCAGAGGATGTGTTCGTTGAGGATGAAGATGCGCCCATTTCGACCAAACGAGAAGTTCGCAGCGCCGCCTTTGACAAGGATCTTTCCAAGAATTACACCGCCGGGGGACCAGACATGAATTCCATCCCCGCAGCCAGCATACACATTTCCGTCCATATCGACCTTGATTCCATCGGGGACTCCGGCATTCACCATGGCAAACACGCGACGGTTGACCAAGGACGGCTCGCCGTGTATAGTAGTCAGGTCATACGCATAGCTATTATTATTAGCATGTTTCCTGGAAGGCGAGAAAGCGAATACATACATCGTCGCAGGCTTCGTCGGATCTGTGGTTCCGTCCCCAGCGACTTTCGCAGTATCGGTGATATAAGCAGTCTTCTCATCGGGAGAAAAACAAATTCCATTCGGTCGGCCAAACCCATCAGCCATTATGCGCACGTTCTTCGTGGCTGGATCGAATCGATACACCTGATTCGGTAACTGGGGCGTGGGACGAAACCCCTGGTGATAGGCATAGGTGGGATCAGTGAACCAGAAGGATCCGTCACTGTGTACGACGACATCATTGAGGGAGTTGAACTGGGCGCCGTAGAAGTCTCCGATCACCAACTCCGATTCGTACGGCGGTTCAATGGACATCTGAAACAGCCCTCCAGTTGCATTCAGCTCGCCCTGTCCGCAGAAAAGAATCCCATCGCCGTGGTTGACCCCGCCATTCGGCATGGGAATGGTGCTGTCAATGATCTTCGACGTGACGGGATGCGAACCCACTGCGACTTTGGAGATTTTAATACTGGGATTGTTCGTGACAGGGTCGGTGAAGATATTGCTTGTTAGGAACAGTTCGTCTGTCGAGGGCACGTAGACACTGGCCTCATGGGCGAAGGGAAAGTCATTATTCCGCAGGAGGATTTCGAGTTTGGGAGCGGGGCCAGTGATGTTCAAGAATCTCGGGTCATAGATCTGGAAATCGGAGGGCAGTTGTGCCGGGCTTGGGTTGATATTTCCTGCCATTGGGAGGTACTTAGGGAAGTATTGATGTTACTCAGGATTTCTGCAGCTGTCAGGGCATCCTCCCCTCGTCAGTTGTCTGGGTCCTATGCCTACGAACCATGTGGGTTTCTTAATCCACGGAATATTGCCACAGTAACTTTACTGGCTATTTCTTTGGTGGAACGGTGGATCTTCTGTTAGGGTGAAAGTTTTACGAGACGGGATCCACTACTTGGAATTCTTAGTAGTCAACTTCAGACTCGACTTGGATATTTAGGTATACAGCAAGATGCGATTCTTCGTGAAGAGAGAGTAAAGGATACTATAGTTGGCAGCTCTTATTATGCAAAATTTAAAGTATGGCTTAGCTCGTAAAACAGTAATACAATTGACTTATATAATCTGCCACTGTACTGTAAATAGTTTTTCTTCGCTAGGGATAAATATAGTGGAAATATATTCGAGCCAGTAAAACCATAACACTATATAGCCTATATGCTTTGCGGAAACGATAGTGATAAGATAATTCCAGAGCATATAAACCGCCTCCATCCAGACTAAGATCTACATTCAAAGCACAGAATGGCGATTAACGCCACTTATACCCTTCAGATTCTACAGCGAGATATTAAAAAGCTCAAGAAATTCTATATCAGAGGATGTTATCTCCAACCAAAAGCTACGAGCGAATCATCTCGGCTTTATCTAATATCGGAAGAACCTCCTACTTGCTCATGGATATAGATTTAATCATTCTGACGTGTTACAGATTGTCGTCATGATTACCACCCCTACGTATGCCTGTCGATTCCGGCTAGATCTTCATTTCTCAAACTACTCCATCTGCATTTCATCTACTCTTGAAACCATCAACATGACCACCGGCAATGAACCCGGCAATGAACCCGGCAAACTTGAAACAGTTCCTGGACAGTTCAAACCAGGCCCAAATGTATTCATATAAGGAAGCAAAACCACCAAAACATCTCTCCAAGCTGACATCCCGCAGAATGAAAATGAAAAGGACACCAAACCACATACCAACGAAGTACCCGCCGACTTCATTGCAAAGTGGCTCGAAGAAACCGTCCCTATCATACTCCACCGTCTTGAGACAGACATAATAAAGTTTCTATCTCCGGTGTATCCCGACCTAGCTCAAACCGGATTATACAATGCGGCAGCGGCGCAACCAGCCAGTTCTTCGTTTCTTATCTGCCAATTGATCTGCTGCGGGGTGCCGTTCCTTGTACAATTTTTAGGGATGTTTGCGGTTTCTTTTGTTACGGGGTGTCTGCAGATGGTTCTCTGGCTGTTGGTTCTGGTGCCGACTCTGTTTGTGGCTGGTTTGACGGGTTGTTTTATTTGGGGATTTGGATGGTTTATTTATTGGCTTATTCGGTGGATTGATGGTGAGGCTAGTTTGGATAATATCAAAGTTTTTGCTAGGAGAGAAAGAAGAGGATATAAACCGGAGAGGGCGAAGACGGGAGAAGTGAAGCAGTAATAGTAGGGGATATAGTATATGGTATGGCTAAGTGAACAACTGGACATAATAATCAGATTGGAATGAGCAATGTTTTGCTTATTACTCCTTAACGTTCTATTTCTTGCCATATTTAAATGTATTCCGCTTGGTGAGAATCATACGTCATCTCTATGCTCTCTCTGAGCCTTGAAATAAGAACCTAGAGCTCACCCACATCAGTATCTATAAAGCAAACACTACAATCTGAGATCTGATTTCCAGATCGACACGCCCCAGAATGAACAATTCTATGCCCTGGGACATTCCCATCCGTAAACGGCACTTGTAAAGCAATAGTAGTTTTATCGGATGGATAATCAGTGTAATGTCCCACGCCGGTAACATCCACTGCAACCAACAGGCCATTTACACCTTCCATAATCCAGGCCTCATCACTTCCGTCTGGAAGTGTGATATGTGCTAATCCCGAGAGGAGGACAAATAGCCTTCATATATATCAATACTGCGTCTGTGATTCCGGGATTATATGGAGTATAGAACAGCACTTACATGGGATGTGGAGGGTTATGAATCCCCTCTCTAGACCGAGGGGGCAGAGCAACATATGTTATATTCGATACATCTGCTAGTGGTAATGATATTCCAGTCGTGGCGTATTTAGAAAATGGGGATATGAATTGCCAACACTCCAGATAAGCGGTTCCCTCTGCGTCTTCGACGACTGCGGTGGCTCTTAGGTATTGGGTACACTCAAATGAAAAGGCAAGATGGATAAATATAAGTAGATACCCGAAATTCATCGTCCAATACTGTACTGGTTGCCGTGGATGATGATGATAATGTGATGATGTGATGATACTGCGGGGAACTTCAATTGATGATCATGTGATTCCAAGGCAGTGTCAGATTTATATGTGTACAAGTTGTGCCCGCCGTCGTGCACGTGGAGCCGGTTAGTAACTAGCAGCGAACTGGCCACTCTTTCAATACGATAAGCAATCGCTTTCCACATTAGAAGCATCAGTTGAAGTCACGTTTATTCAGTTCTCCAGATAGTTAGAGACCTTCATTCTGTTGCATATGGATACTAGATCATACGCGCATTACGCGGCCTGACAAGGGGTCAACAATACAGAGGGAATATTCAAGCTCTCATAGGATTACACATACTTCTTCAGGATCAACCATATCACTTCGTTATTTCACATGATGTTCCAAATATGGAAAAGCTTTATTTTGACAGGTTGCCTGGAGATTAGAACTACTGAAAAGGGTAGATAAATCAAACTGATTAAATCATAACACGATATTGATTGTCTCTCTGAATTAATCTAAAGTTCATATGCGCAATATGCATCATAACCTCATCTCATTTCTACTCTAGCTCATTATTGTCAGACCATCAGACCAATGTCTAGTAGATAGGCCTCCACATCGCACGCCGACTCAAAGGGGTAGCCGACGACTGGATCGAAGAATGGATGGAGGGATGAACACTCCTGGTTGGCACGGGGCTGCTGGTCCATTTGGTATGCGAGGTATGGGTGCCATTCCCATGTCTGGTGTGGGTGAAAGTGGGCTTCGCAGTGGACAGGGTCTTGGTAGTGGATTTGGTGGACGAGTGATCATTATCCCCTCCGGTAGACTCGGTCAAATGACCAGAGTTTCCAGTGGGCTCTACCGGGATTACAATAGTCTTGGTATGCCCGTATGTATTGGTATATGTGATTGTCTCGCAACGTGCGCATGGCTTTCCGGGATGCACTGTCGGCAGCGAACCATCACCATTCCCGCCTACAGTGACGGTTTCCGTCTTGGTTACCGTTTCAGGCGATGGACAGTTGGAGGGAACAGAAACCCCGGGATGAGCAGTGACGTGTGCATTAGTCGCGGCGGCGGTATGTGTGGCTGTGCGGGGGTTATAGGTTGTGGTGTAGCAGGTTGTAGTCTCGTACACCGAGGTCGTCAACCAGGTGCTGTAGTACGTGGTTCCGTCCCTGGTGGTGACGGGAGTTGAACAAGGCTCAAAGGTAGTCAGAGTGATGGTAGAGGTGATGGTGGAGACAGAGCCAGATTCTCCGGCAGTGGCCGTGCTGGATCCTCGGGCGGAGGTGATCGTGGTGTTGGTATAGTGTGCTGTGGTGGGAACATGAGTAGCGGTAGAACTCTTGATCGGGGATGGAACGCGAGTCGATTTGGAGGCTGAAGTTGCAGAGGTCACAGTTCCATTAGCGATGGGACTGTGACGACCAGGCAGGGCCATGGCACACCCAAGGAGGGTGGACAACAGTGGAATAGAAATGTGCATGACGAAGCAATGGATGGAATTCTGTTTTTTTAAAAAAAAATATAGAAAAATCTGTGATAATATGCCCTTTTGCTTGTGTGATATTCTGAGGGATCCATCCGATGAGGGGGCAATTGACCTATTTTATATCGTGTTGAAGCAACAGAGACTTTCTTCATACAGACTATCCTACTGAGGACTGCGCAGTACCTCTATGTGGAATCTATTCCATGATCCAACCGTGATTCAGACAATTCCGAGCCCGTTCCAGAAAAATTGACCTCGCCACGCTATTGATAGTTGCGGGAGAAACCCTGCCATCCACCGTTTGGTTCCGGATCCACCAGTTGTCAAGCTATCCAAGACAGTGGGATCGCAATTGGAGGAGTAAAAATAGCGGCGGAGTCTTCGGGTTCCACGGTTCGGGGTGTCGTACACTCCAACCAGAAGGTCCAACGGACGAGCCTAAACCATTTTGCAGGAACCGAGACTTGCACTTTAGGCAAGAGAAGATAACCGCCAAGTCTGAGCCGAAGCTTCCGTCGAAAGATCTTCAAAGATCTTCAAGAGGATCGTCTCTTTGCAGCTTAAGCATCAGGATTGATGGGCCACTATCCTAGCAATTGTGAATTGATGTCCATTGCATTGTCTTGTACATACTGGTGCCTATTATTTTGGTATATCTCGACAGCATCTAGGTAGCGCTAAGCCGTGGCTGAGACATGCGGGTCCGTGGAATATCGACTCTCCATCTAATTAGTTCTGTTTTTTGAATGTCTAACCTATGAATGGAACCAAATAAAAATATATTCGCGCCTGTCAAACCACGCACATCATACACGGAACAACGTCGTCTGGTTCATAGTACGTCATCTTGGTAGGGCTGAGTCACCGGAACATCGCGAATCGTCTCTCTAGTAACAGATTTTCCACAAACGAGTAGTGCCTTCTTCACTGAGACCTCTACTAAGGTAGGGGAATATGAGCGCTCAAGTTGTAGAAATACTGATGTTCATTCGCTACTTGGCTCACTGTCTATGAATACATCAACCACCCAGACGTTCCCGCTTTCTGGATTTGACTTTTTTTCTTTTTTGTCTTTTCGTACCGCACGTTCGACTCGATCAACACAAAGTCGACCGCTGCGCCCCCGCTTCTTGAGCTATTTGCATGCCCGCAGTTCTCCCAGAGAAGATACATCCCCCCAGAAAAGTGCCCTCAAGAGCGTTGTATCCATGGACCCCCCCACCTCCGAATCCTGCGGCCTCTCCGGCTGCATACAGACCGGGGAAGCAAGACCCGTCCGCGCGTAGAACGTTGCAATGCAGGTTGGTCTCAATGCCTCCCAGTGTTTTGCGGGTGAGAATGTTCATGCGCACTGCAATCAGGGGCCCATGCTGAGGATCGAGAAGCCTGTGCACGGCTCGCACTCTTCCCATCATCCCATCCGGCCAAAAATTTCGTGCGTTTCGGATCGCCATTATTTGGGCGTCTTTGCTGTACTTATTATCGGCCTGGCCATCACGTAGCTCAACCTCTCCTTGCACCTGCTTCGCATCCAGCATGGGGCCGCCTCGCTTGTGGACAAGTTTGTTCATCCCGTCGACCAGTTCGGGGAGAGAAGATGCGACCACAAAATCCTTTCCGTTCTTCATGAACGCCTGAACCGGTCCTGTGCCCGACGACCCAAATAGCCGCTGAAGCAGCAGTCGGTAGCTCTTGTTGGTGAGATCTGGGTTTTGTTCGGAGCCTGAGAGAGCAAACTCCCGCGAGATGATGCTCCTGTTTAGCAAAAACCATGTGTAGTCGTACCCAGTGTGGCCGATATACTTCAGCGTGGCCAGCGTATCGCATCCTGGATACAGGAACGGGGGCAGTCGTTTGCCAGTGGCATCCAGCCAGAGTGAGGATGGCCCCGGGATCACGCGAATTCCATGATGCGGCCAAATAGGATCCCAGTTGTGCAAGCCCTCGGTGTAGTGCCACATACGATCGCTGTTGATCACATTGGCCCCGGCGTCTCTCGCAATGCCAATCATGCGACCGTCCACATGTGCAGGCACGCCAACGACGAAGGACGATGGCACAGGCCCAAGTCGATCGACCGGCCAGTGCTTCTTCACCAACTCCGGGTTGCCGCCAATGCCACCCGTTGTGATAAGCACACACCGACCGTGCAGCTTGAAATCTCCCACGGTGTATCGCGAGCTGGCCACCCCACGAGCGGAATGAGACGGTACAAGGACCTTCCCACGCACTCCGATCGCAGCTCCGGACTGCTCATCCACGAGCAGCTGATCCACCCGGTGCCGAAACTTGAACTGGACCAGGCCCGAGTCTGCGGCGGCACGCACTGGTTTCTCGAACGCGCTCACAATGGCAGGGCCCGCTCCCCAGGTGACATGGAACCGGGGCACCGAGTTGCCATGACCGCTGGCGATTCCACTGCCACGTTCTGCCCAGCCGACCGTGATGAATTTGACTCCCAGGGCACGGAGATAGCTCTCCATCTGGTCGGTCGCAAAGTCCACAAAAGCGTCGGCCCACTTCCGAGGCCAGACATCGGTATCGCGGTCGAACTGCGCCGCGTGGAGCCAATCCTGCTTGGCCAGCTCGCGGCTGTCGTGAACACCCAACCGACGTTGGTTGGTCGAGTTCACGCAGTAAATTCCGCCCAGAGACCAAAAGGCCTGTCCGCCGAGATTGGCCTCACTCTCCTGGTCGAGAATGATAGACGGGACCTTGGCTTTGGAGAGCTCCCAGGCTGCCACGAGTCCTGCTAGTCCACCCCCGACGATGATAACGGCTTCTGCGTTGTTTGAGGCCATGGTTAAGTAGTAAGGACGAGTGAAAAGTGCTTTCTCTGGCGTGGGGGTTGTAGATCTTGAGAATCGCGATCGATTTTGTCGCTGCGGCGTTTAAAAATAGAATGGAGGATAGGGATGTTTTCGTAGGAGTAGATCAAGGAGAGTGAAGAGTTGTAGGAAGTAGGAAGATGCATACTGGGAGAAGGTCCAGGAGAACATCAGTTCTACTTCATTGTAGTTAACATCGTTCGGAAGGAAGGCACCCCGACGTTGCCCTCCGTATTGGGATAGAGTGTGATTCCGAGGAAAGAACGACCTGCCGCGGCGGAGACAAACCCCTGGTTCGTTGCTGCCTCGACGCCTCGAGACTAAGCGCCGCTATTGACACTCTCGATAGCACCTCTTCAAATGATCCGCCTGCTAATTTGGTTTGCTGGCTCTCCATTCATTAACTACTTCCTGTCTTGGATATCGAGGGTCAATCGTCATTACGCTTTTGGAATCATTTAAATCTTGTCTTTCGGCAGAACCGTACTTTAAACCTTATATTTCTAGATGCTATTATATTTGGCCTCCAAAACCAGGCTGCATCATGTGTCTGGTACCTTTCTCAGCTTGTGGAGGAGGGCATGTCGGATCTGAACGTTACGAGACTAACACTCTACGTAATTTCAACGAACGTCAATTAAAACCCCCGTATATTGAAAAAACTACTTTCTATTATATCTTGATGTAAAATGCTTTTTCATACTTAAAATACCAGAAGGTTGGTTAGATAGCAAGTTGCATACCTATCCCATAATAGAATCTCGTATCGGGTGGGTTGCAAATCTGACCTTGCGTGTAATCGCACCATGCTCCGTTTAAATTATTTTCTGTAAGAATGAAACCCAAATGCATTGTCATAATCCTCACACCGCCAGCGCATTCTTCGAAAATGACCGGATCTTCTTGCCATAGATGAAATAAAGGACCGGGACTGGGGCCAGCGCCAGCGCTATAAATCTCAACAGACTCGTCATCCATAGCAACCCTAGATTGTGATATAGAGCCGTCGAGAACAACGGGAATCCCGCTCCGAAGAAGCTTCGGGCAAAGCTGTTACCGGAGATGGCACTGTTGACGACATTCAGATATACGTCGACCAGATACTTGAAGCCTTGCACAGAAACGATGAAGAGCGCTGCACCCACCACAATATAGGCGGCTACTTGGACAGGCCACAGCGTCGAAATATGGCAAGTCCAAGCGGTCCAGAACATGCCCGAAGGGAGGAGTGCGGCGCCCATTATTATCATCGGAGTCGACACCGGCAAAATAGCCCCCGGATTGGAGCCCACCTGATGCTTGTAGATAGTCAGGGTGTAGTAGATAATGCAGCACACAGCGATCACAATGTCAATGGCCAGACCCAGGAAGGGGAGGGCGGCGATTTGCGGTTCCGTCCCGCTGACTTCGTGGAAGGCAATAGGAATCCGTTGAAGAAGAGGAAAAGAAGACCGTATGCAAAGGAGTTTACAGGTCAGTTTTTGTGTTGTTGTCCGAGGTGACTTTCCAGCTGACATGTAAATGGTAGTAACCAAGTGTAAATTGGCTCCGTAGCCAACAGTACTTACTACCTTTGTTAGCCGGTATCATAAAAGTCAACGGAACCATACACCAAGGCTGTACCAAGTATACATTCGCAAAAGTCTTCAGATCAGCATCTTGTTCCTCTAGATTACTGTGTAGCACCCAAGACTTAGTCCTCAGACGCGGGCGAGCAGATTTCCGCGTCAACAGAGCCAGAGCATACGTTTCGCGGATGGTGAAGAATGCAAAGATGGTGCAGCTGTAAGCGACGATAGCAGTGATCCACATAACCCAGCTCTGTCAAAGGTAGCCCTGTGTAATGAAGTTCGCAACGATGGGGCCCAGGATAGGCCCGAAAAATCCCGTCACGATGATATCCATGCAGATCCCCCGAGAGATGGGATCTGGCCAGATATCAGCCACAGCACCTCCGGTTACGGCCATGGCAGCCGAACCGAAAAGTCCGTCAAAGAAGCGCAAGATCAGATCGTATAGAAGTTTTGTGCCAGGGTAATAGGCCGGCAAAACTTTGAGAACAGGATGACGCCGAGAAGGATAGGCAATTTGAGACCAATACGCTCTGAACGAGAGCCAAACATGAGAGGACCAAAGGTGAACCCCTAGCCGGTCAGACAATCATGCATCGGATACAAGACTTGAATGCATGACTTACTAAGAGGAGCATACTCGTCACCAGCACGGTCACGTCGGTGGATACATGGTAATCCTCTATAAAACTTTCCCCCGAACCGCTCCGAATGCTGGATCCAACACTGACGAGTAATGGCAGGGCGTTTAACATAGTGGTCACAAACCACTTACGCTTAAGACTCCAGGTATGCGGATTCTCTCAATGACTTGGTTCCCACACGACAATGTCTTTTTCTGGCCCCTGCTGAGGTTCAGGCGGCGAAGGTGTATTAGAGCCTTCCTCACCACGAGTCCGGGAGGAGTCAGAGGCAGAAGCTGACACCTCGGGAGATTTCATTCTTAGTTCGCTATTCACTGTAAGAAGAAAGATGGGAAGAAAGAAGAAGCAAATGAGAAGACGTTTTATATGTGGGCAATTCCTATCATAAAAAGGAGGGTTAATATCAGTGAAATATTATTCGATGGATCTCATGGCTAGCATTGAAGAATTAATAATTCTAGTTCGAGATCAGGATTGACAATTCATTATCAATAGCTCCCCAATGTTCTTCTCTTTTCTGGTTTGTATTTTGTTCCCATGTCGGCCACCAAATCAATCTGCATTGACTCTCGGACGCTAAGATACAGGGCCGAAGGGCCACCCAGTGGCTGCGCAAGATCAACTCAGACAAAATCCTGCATAATCTGAACTTGCGCCATATGTAGTCATATATACCTTCAATTCAATCCAATTCAATTCAAAGTTCTATTGACTTGTTGCAGACCAACTTTGAAGCATTTAGCTATGCAGGCGCTTCACCAATTGTTATGATCATTCGTTCAGAGGAAGGAATGCGTGGCAGAACAAAAAACTATAGCAGCTACGCCGATGGCCTACTAAGGGGCCTTTTCACATGTATTGACTGCGCAACCAACGCTCTATCTCCTTAAAATATTATCGAAAGGAATGGAACCGTTTCAGGCGGAAAACGGAGCGCTAGCCAAGGCGCTAGGAGTCATCGGATCCCGAATTCCGATTTTTCGCTATCACCAATAAAGCAAGAACCCGAGGTCCTTAAATGCTATATAAAACCCATTAATCTCACATAAGAAAAATAGCCAACAAGTGTAAATAAAAAGGACAAATCAACGTCTTTTTGCGCTGTGCGCGTATAACTAAAATCGAAAAGACTTATTTGACATTCCATTGCATGGCGGTCTGTGTTGGGGCATACCGAGTACACAACCTGTAACCTGGGAGTAATAAACATACATGGGAGTGTCCGTTCGACTTGGCTTAGTTATCAGTTATGTAAGCCAATTCATTTGTTAAGTTAGTAGAGGCCACCCATCCAATAGAACAAGCAATCGCTTCCAACAGCCCTTGTTAGAGACCTACCATATTCAGTAGTGGCCGCTCTTAGTCACCCATCTAGACAGACAATTGAATGAACTGAGTTGAAGAGAATCGTGCCTCGCGAATGGCCCTGCTAATTGGTGCGTTTCTGCCTGCGCAATTCCGGTAGCCTGCGGGGTTGATTTTTTTTCTGATAAAGTAATGATCTGCACTTTAGGTAGTTGCCTAATAGCGGGGTTCTCACACCCCCGGTACTTCCCTTTTCCTGTATTCGAGAGAAGAGCGCAAGTTAACCATCCAAGGGGGTATGGTAGTTATCATGCTCTACGATATCAATATATCGTTCCATATATTAGGCAACTATTTGCGTGCTGCTGTTCGATGAGCTTACTGCCTTCTTCACTCCCTGACTAGCTTACTGCCTTCTTCACTCCCTGACTCACATCATTTCTGCGGTATTTCAGGGCCTCCTCCCCATCGTCTTTAGCATGTAATTAATTACGTGGCCGCAAGTGCCTGCCGGGTCTAGTGATTCCGGATCTTCTCTGGTAGGGTGTTTGGGCTCAGTTGCGACACATTAGCACTGACCGAGCACCCCTGTATGCAGCATGAATTCGGCGACGTAGCGTATCTCCTTGCGGGTGTCGGGTGTGCAGCGGACAATATAGGAGGGCATATTTCGGGGTCTCTGATCCTTTTTCGCAGCCACATCGATCACTCTCGGAGGCCTTGATTTTGTAGAGGAAGTGTATCAGCCCAATCCTCATCGTGCGCATCTGCATGATCACCGACGCATTCGACTTTGGTAAGCCATCGTAGAGCTTGACTATGGACTTATTCGGGGCCTTGATCAGCTGACAGCCGCCGTGTCGGCTTGGCCCATTTTTCCCTCTCCCACTACTCTCCTTCCAACGTGTCTGTATGGGCTGGCACACCGCGCTTTTGGTCGCTGCCACCAGGTCGTATTGTAATCTCTGGAACTGGGTCCCGGAGTGTCCACAGCTCAAATCGCTACCTGGCTGTCCGCAAAGACCCTGACAGCCGTAGCGTGTATAGGGACTTTGGATAGAAAGGATCAAATAGTATTTATCCACCAACATTCTCAGAGCCGAATTCATATTATGTCCCATCCTTTTTGGCTGCGACTGCCATCTGGATATGAGGCGACTGAAATCAACGGCAGAGCACGTAGGCCTGCAAGGTCGGCGCAGCTGCATCAGAGTTCAAAATATCTTGAACCGCATTGTTCAGTCGGCAATTCTACACTTCATGCATCCAACCACGTAAGGATCTATCTACATTAGTCTACTACTTTTTCCATGCCCTTGCTGACCAGGGTTAGACCTGCTCTCCTCCCTACCATGTACATCCAACTCGTGTTAGCGGGATCAGAGGATCCATTAATAGAAAAACTCAGCAATAACAAATTCGGCTTTTGTCTTAAGTGCTCGGGGAACTGTAACCTACATATAGCAGGGCTTTCATTTTCAGCACAGCCCTCGCGCAGACACGCCATTCCCATCACATAGACCTAGAGGCATATCCAAACGCAAACTACATTAGACCGCCACCGGACAATACACTGGAGAGTGTGACACCAAAGGAGCCGGAACTGATATGAGGAATAGCGTAGGAAGCCCAATCAACAGTAATATAAGTCTTGAGCCTGACGATTTTAATTGGCTGCAATGGTAAAGTCTTGATTCACCAACTATCGTGCTTGTTACCTAGATAACTTATTTTTATCTCCGGGAAAGGGAGTAATTTATTGGCGCCAATAGCTTTGAGAGCACATGAATGCTCAGGCAGGCTAGGTACAGAAGTTCAATAGCGAGTGCTGTAACCACTCTTTTAGCATTGTGTCAAAATTTTCATTATATAAAATTCGGCTGGAAAAGGACTACGTCATCAATCATAGCAAAGAAACTTCACTGCAGCATCAATTATTTAGATCCGCGGTAACAACACAAGAAAACAGGAATCCTCCGCGAAGCTCAATAACGAGACACGACAAACACCTGCATGTGAGGACATTCTAAAAGATCTGTATAAGGAACAGAAGGGTCTTCTATGGCTGGAAGTGGCAACCACTGTAAATCACACAGTCCAGCCTTCCGAGCAGACCTTTCATAAATCTCACGCTTCAGTGTATAGCTTCTAAAGATAATCGGGGGGGAGGTATGCAACTCGATTTGGTTCCTCACACCCCCATCCACCTTTTCAACTGGTGTAAGGGTCTGTCCAAATGTAGGCCCATTTGGAAAATCACAGTGGAGAAGGTCCTGATTCGGCGTGATTCCTATACATTTTCTCCTCGGCTTGAGACTGTTAAAAATGTTTTTCCACATGACTACCATCTCATCTTCATTGGCCGCATAGTTAAGAAACCACGAAGCAAAGACAAGGTCGAATTGACCCATATCAAAAGGTTTGCTGCAGTCTATATTGCGGAATTTCAATCTTTCATCCCCTTTAGACGCAAGACGTGCTGCATCAAGCATGCTTTCCGAATTATCTAACCCGACAACCTCTCTGGCTCCCCAGGAGATGAGTTTCCGTGAATAACGCCCTGATCCGCACGCAATATCTAATACCTTTAACTGATTCACATTTCCGATATGGGCTTCCACAGCAGCTTCCTCTAGTTTCACCACGGGAAGGGACGAAATGCTATTGTATCGGGCGCCAATTGTGTCATATTGACTCGGCATTTGTTATCGGAGGCAAAATTTTGCACTTGAGTAATTTGACGGCTCAGTTCAATCAAGTATGAAGAATCATGAATTTCAAACTAGACAGTATTCGATATTTTGATCCCGCTTGAAGCAAGACCAAGTCTGTGTTCGTGAAAGCTAGGCCGTTATATAGGTTCCCTTGTCAAGAATAGAAAATCTGTAACTAAGGGCGTCTTGTCCGATGGATCGACTTGGTTATAGGTCTTGTGAACGGCCCCTGATGCATAACATGTGATACAAGGTGAGGGGTAGTTACTAGGCCTGCAGGTTCTTATAAACAGAAACTTTGTGATAGGGCCTCAGACTACTACCACAGCGTACATCTGCAAGGGATTGCAAAAGGAGAATAGGCGGGGAGCAGATCGGTCAGTGGTCTAATATAATTAATCTAGCTAGGACCCACTAATATGGTGAAGTAAGCTGTAACAGAAAAATGTAGCTGTAGTTCACAATATGAACATAGCAAGAGGCCCGCAAAAGTTCTTACTTCCCGAACGTCTTGAACGACGCAACTATCCTGTTAAACACCTTTTCCGCTTTGCTGAAATCCACCTTGTCCTTCTGAAAGATTAGTATGAGGTCCGATTCCCCATATTGTATAAGTCCAGTGTTGTCCCCTCTGCTAACCTGATCGCCAGGTTTGACTAAATTTACCACTTAACAAAATCTGCACCATTCCGAAAGCAAAAGCTGCCACATATCTGATATTCATATTGCTATCTTCAATTGTGTCGAACATGTACAGCCCACGAACTTGATGCCGCTGGCATTCTTCAGATCGCAGCAATCCCTTCGCCCAGCTTCGTTCGTGCTTTAGAAAAGCATGCATAAAATCGCCCCCGTTGAACTTGTCTCTATACTTGCTATCATCCAAGAGCTCGCTGATCTTCCATGTAATGCCCTTGAAGTTGATAGATCGAGGCCTTTCGTTAAAACGTCACCTCTCCGGTCTGTCCAGTATCCCAATGGCCTTTGTAGACAGTATCACAAGGACTAGCAATAACATTTTTGACATCAGCTACAGGTCTGTACTGCTTCTTCAACCTTCTGACAAAGAATTAGTTGAACTATTTCCAATCATCGGCAATATACCGGCGCAGTGAGTAGTCAGAGTTGAACTAGAATATTTCAACCCTATAGTGTTGTTAGGTCTTCCTCTGAGCTGTGACATAATTCTTAACAACTGAGCTGACACTCTTCATTGGATATTTCCACTTTGGCAAGAGTCGTTATTCCCCTCTATCCTTACTTGATTCATGAAAGCGTGGCGAGTAGTAACATATAAAAGAATGAGGTCGTGTGCTGAAGACTGCATACGGAAGCGTTGCTGGAAAATGTAGTGTATCAAAGAAGTGAGAGGACGATAAGTGAGAGGCAATACAAAAACAAAGGATGAATAAAACTCCGCGTCACCTGTTCAGTCAGTGAATATGTAACCCACTAACTAGAATTGTCTCGTCTCCCCTCCATTCGTCAAGCAAGTTGCACTTGAACGGCTCCAGCAGAGTGGCAACCCTGACGGACCTCAGCTAATAAATTGACTCTCTATCTCTCCAGTGTACCTCTTCGTCGTCTATCAATGTAGATATTGATCTGAACTGGCTGCTCCTACTATAGCCTTCCTGGTGCTCCTGGGCAAAGAAGTATGACTTCCGTGATGTGTCCACCTAGGATGCCATAATTGATCAATCTTGAAAGCCATATCCCATCAGTGCAGGTCACAGCTTGATCTGAGGAATAATATATCTCATGATAATTATAAAATTATACTTCATTAAGACACTATCCCTCTGAATTAGTTTATTTCATATAAACGAGGTAACACTTTGTGAACCATAAAATTACGCGTATTCGCAAGTATCGATCCTTCATTGAATTAAGTCTCTGATTCGACTAAACTACCAAAACATCTCGCGTTTATAAAGGCGAGGTAAACAAATGAAGAATGTAAACTAACTAATATAAGAAATATACGCGATCCGATGATGTTGTATCATCAACAACATTTGACCGAAAAGGTGCTGAATAATCAAAATTACCATAGTTAATTGTTGACACACTTTAAATACTTTACTCCTATTAATCTCTACAAGTTGGAGTCTTGGAGATAAAATCTTATATTCTTAGTTTCATGCAGAGCCAGTATACTTGTGTTTATCACTTTGTTAATTAAGAAATTATGTCAAGGGCTTTTCTGTTAATTTAAAAGCACTCTAGAATTCTTCCTATTTAGAAATTAAAGAGTTGGTCCTTATTTTAAATTCTAAGAGATAAGCAGCGCCTAACTTATACACTTTCGAGCTAATAATTACACCAAGTCTCTTCGAAATATTGATAAAGTAATGATCTGCATCTTAAATGCTTGCCTAATATGCGAGGTTCACACCCTTTTCCTGTGTTCTAGAGAGGCGCGCGAGAAAGCATCCACGCAAGTATGTTAGTTATCGTAGTCTAGGATATCAATATATCGTTCCCTATATTAACTGGTTCTTGCAGCTGTTTGATGATCTTACTGCACTCTTCCCCCCTAAGTCACATCAGAAATCAAATACGTCGCTCTTCTAGTGTCTTTCTTTGGACAATCTACTTACATTAAAAGTTTGTAATGCACTGATTGAACAATTATAGATTTAATAGCGCCGATCATATTCGATCATATGAAGTCTGCACAAGTTAGTTTGTCTATGGAAGAGGACTTGACTTTAGATCTGCTAGTAGCATTAAATAATACCTTCTCTCCCAAACTAGGAAGAGTGTCACAGTCTGGGGCTAGATATAGATAAGTTTCCGACAATGCCACTGCTGCCTTTTGCAATAGTTATGTAGCTAGGGGATATCACGGACCTGACTTTGCTATATAGTCCGCTGAGCTCGATGAACAAACGGTCATCAATTTGCGCCTTTTTATCTGTGGCGTAATAGTAAATCTCTGCACTACTACGCAGTCCGACTTAGGTCCTCAGAGTGGCCTGTATTTGCCCACCATTTCTTAATAATATAACGCCTATATAAACGTATTATTTAATGCCGTAAAAACAATAAAACACAGTAAGTTTTGATACTTATCGAAAATGGCTGCAGCATATCTATATATCCGAAATTTATAAACATACAAGTAGGGTGGGTAACTACCGCAAGAAATGCCCCAAGTAAAAATGTTACTACAAGATAAACCCACTGAATCCCTAGCTTATTAAGGTAAGCAAGGAATGTGTCTCACCCTGCATACGGAGTAGTTATTGCTAAGAATCTCAAATCAATATGCAGCCGATTGTTCAAGCTAGCTCTATAGAACCAGCGTTTAAATTTTTTTTTTTCTTGGGTAAATCAAATAGAACAGTGCCATCATTTAATAATATGCATGCCTGGGACCGTTTTACACCCATGTAACAATGACGCATTCCTGCTACGTATTCCGGACCAATGTCTCGAACATACCCAACAGATCTACTACTACCTAGCGAAAGGAACTCCCTCTTACCCCACATCCAAATTTTGTAGATGGACAGCAAATTTGAATATGGGACCTTGCACTCGCATATGAATTCCGTTACCCTGACGCCCAGTGTCGTAATAGGTATATCATTCACGTTCTTATAATATATGAGGAGGGAATACAGACAAGCAGTAAACACCTATTCAACGCTTACTACCACTTACTCTACTAGCTATCATGGGACTTATTTCTCGCTTCATCTTTGTCCTTGCACTCGGACTTCTGCGTGCTTTTGTTTCCATGGCGGACCCTCTTCGGCCAAGTGAAGATCCTTTCTACACGCCGAAAAATGATTCATGGCCCCAATTGCCTGCTGGAACCATCCTGAACTCCCGTCAGGTGGATATTGCGTCGCTGCTTCCTGGCTTCTCGAGTCCCTCTACGGCATTTCAATTATTGTATGTCACCCGAGATGTGCATGATCGACCAGCACATACAGTGACGACGATAATTGTTCCACCGCGCCCAAACTTCGAGCGGATCATCTCTCTGCAGATCGCCTACGACTCGCCTGATGTTGACTGCTCCCCCTCATTCGGCATCCGGGAGGGTGTGACCGGTCCGGCTGCGATGTGGAGCAGGAATCAGCTATACTACTTGCTTCCATTTCTCCAGCAGGGCCCGGTTGTGAACGTTCCTGACTATGAGGGCTCTAATGCTGCGTTTACCGTGGGCCCGCAGGCTGCCTACCAGACTCTAGACTCGATCCGTGCGGCGCTCAAGTCTGGTCATATAACCGGCGTCAATTCGGAGGCGAAAACTGTTATGTTCGGCTACTCCGGCGGAGGACATGCTACAGAATGGGCATCTGAATTCCACTCCAGTTACGCACCGGAGCTTAATATCGCGGGCGCTGCAATTGGCGGTCCACCTCCGAACATTACCGAGACCTATTTGTCTGTAAACGGGGGCAATAACTCAGCATTAAACGCATGGGCCGTGTTGGGTGTGATGAATGCCTATCCCGAGCTGGAAGACTACATTCACGAGCACCTTCTGCCCGAGCACAAAGACACCTTTCTGAGACCTCTTAAACGCTGCAGCGGCTTTCCAGAAGACTACCCGATGCCGGGACTTAATCTAACCGATATTTCGGCCTTCTTCGATAATCACGACAATTTTCTGTACGATTTTAAACACATTCTGGATAAAATTGGTGTGATGGGAAAGCATGGGGTCCCTAAGTTTCCCCTATATATATACGCTGGTACCGCGGATGATATAGCTACTCCGATCGAAGATACGAATTCCTTGGTGGAAAGCTTCTGCAAGACCGGTGCCAATGTACGGTATCATCGGTACTGGGGGCTCGGCCATGCTGGGACCTTAGCAATGGGAATGGGGCCAGTCTGGACCTGGATTTCGAATGTCTTTCGCGGGACTGTGCTGCCAGGCTGTGGGAGGCCAAATAATCACGGAGTGGAAGAGGATCTGCTGAGGGAGTATCCATTCTTGAGTCGGGGAGGCTCTCAGATTCCCATTTTTACAGAAGAGGAGCTGCAATCTAGGATGTTTTGAGAATGCTTGGAGATATTTGATATGGCAAGTGAAGTTGGTTGTGTGGCATCTATAGGCACAAGGTTAATGCCAGAATCTTAATTCATCTTCCGAGTCTAAGTCAAACCTCGAGATCAACTACTTTATCAATGGTTTTCTATCTAGTAGTCGGCTACCTCTTCTTCCTATCAGTAGCATCTATGAACAGGTAAATATTGCTTCAAAAAGAATATACTCAGAATTGATGTATAATTGTGCTAACACATGCATACTATTAGTGACTCCAAATTCATCCTTTCAACAAACACGTAGTCATTAATTGTAGTGACTTTAAGGCTAGAGACAGTTAATAATTTGAATCCGTAACTGAATGATCTCCACGGTGCTACAGTATATCAGAAATAAGTCATTAACTATTCTCTACATCACAATGCAAAATTTATCGTATTATTACTCTCTAGCAAAAAATATGTCTCGTATCGAATTCCTCTTTTAGCACTGGTTGGTTCCGTTACGGTAGTGGTGATATAGGAAGAGCTGTAGCATATGTATGAAATCTCTTTCGACTTTGGCGTAGTTCTGATGTGCTCTCGGAGGGGACAAAGAGATGTGTTGAATATACTGAAGTTTATGAATAACGAAGACTGACCTATAAGCCTGAAGATATTTTGAGGAATGCAGAGTAAGACAGACCTGTTCAAATCAGTGACGATTCCATGTAAGTCACATGTCTCCTGAGTTACATAGGGATGGATATATCTGGATTGCCTTAAACATGAGCTATAAATCCGTAATTTCAATAATCTTCCACGCCTAGAAAGTTTTTATTCTTTCATTCAGTCTCCTTGACATTCCCCAAAGGTTGGTTTCGCACAACCTCAAGCAATGTCCTTCGAAGTTTTGGTGCAAAGCTGAGCTTCCCGCACCTTACTAACTTATAATATTTCTCATCCTAGGGGAGATCTGTCTCTCAAATGTGTTATAACAACCTGATTGTAAGGCCGAATTCGGCTATCGAGATGACCTCAGGACCAATAGCTAAATCAGGCATTAGCCATACGGACTCTTTAGTGGCCTTCCGTGCTAATAACCAGAGAGGATAACCTGGTCCGGCGACATCTTCCATCTTATTTTCAACAGAGAGAATGAATTCTGTGTTTGGGATAGGGCCTAATATCCCCAGGATTCTACGTCGGGGATCTTCTCATATAGAAAAGGTCCTGATACCGTAGAGTAGTCCTTTATAGACAGCCGCCCAGGCCATATCTTCCACCAATTTGCTATTATCAAGCTCGGCCATCTTTATTCCATGGTTGATCTTCCAGGACAATTGAGCTCGGATGAGATCTTCAAAAAAACCCCGGAGGAATGATTGGCATCGTCTGCCTTTGTAGGAATGCTCCTCCGGATCAAAGGAAGGCGAAGGTTTAGCCGAATAATAGGATAACGACGGACCCCAGCGCTGGAGGCAACTATCACTTTTGAAAACAGTGGAAGCCTCGCAAGCATAGTGGCCCGCGGAATCAGTTGTTTGAGTAAAGGATGAATGTTATCTTTGTCAGAATTTATACTACACTATAGTAGCCAGATTGCAATTCCAAACCAACTTCTTTGTGCCAGTCTGGGGTTAGAAGAGTCAAGTCGTAGTCAATTTGGGTTAAGTGATGCCACATTGTATAAAGTCGATCTCGGGGAGCCCTCATTGGGGTATTTGTGGTGGCGAGTCTAGGCGAAATACCTTGGCAGATGGATTCAAGTCGATGTAAAATTTGGTGGGCAAGAAGGTGAATGTTGACATGGATAAACCAAGGGTTAGGCCCGAAGGGATAACATCTGTGTTAGGGTCGTTGTCGTTATGAGTCCCAAAGGTGGGTAGATCAGCGTGTTCCTTGAGAGTGGATGGATGAGTGGTTCATTGCTGGCTTGATCGACATTACTCGCTTGGCCTGGGTCGGTGTTTCATTTAACCCAATACCTGTATGCGGTTCGAGGGTCGTGACTTCTTTTGTTTGCGCGGAAGGTTGTTGGTAGGAGTTGCAGGCTCGCCACAAAATCCGCAGTCTGGACTGGGCCAACTTTCGTCTGCCCAATTTGCCTTCCCCAAATTATTAGAGTCTTAGATTCGCTCTCATCACCCGGTTCGCGAACTAACCCACGACTCCGCTGTCCACCTGCAGATTTTGGCATGATTGTGGTCCCCTACATCTACAAAGAGTAGTTCAGTAATTTCCACACCCATTCTCTGTACCAAGCATCCGCTGCGGCCTTAGGACCATAGGTGTATTTCTGGACTGCTTGCAGGTCGTCCCCCTTATCCCTATGCCTGTGCAATTTGTAGGCTCTCTGCTTCGTAAGGGCTTTCAACGTCACTGTTCCCACCCGCCGAAAGGAACCTGCAATAAAATCTACAGCAGGTGCTGTCTCAGGGCATGAATGTCAGTAGGCACGGTCCTCCCAAGGAACTCTAGGTCTACATAGAGTTCAGGGCACGAATGAAGATCGCTCCAAGCTTTGCTATCAAAATACCCCGTATATTGAGAACCATAAAGTTCCTCTGTCAATGGAGAATGATGCAGCGACTGTCAGATGCAGCTGATAGGTTATCCAGCGCACCAAGTGAACGTTTTCGGAACTATCAGTAATCTAGCATATGCGCATAAGATAGCGAGCGGTTTCTTGACATTTACTAAGTGGATCCAATTCAATAAGAAATCCCAGAGTTAGACATGCTTCATGACGTGTCCAAGTGATGATTTACCCCAAAAGAACGAATTGGCTCCTCCTAGCGTTGCCTTTTCTGCTACACAGAGCGCAAGTAGCCCCAGGGAGTTCGCCTACCATATGTAAGTTTAAATCCGCTATCTGCAGGAAAGTCCATTTATACGCCCAGTGCTTAAAATTAACGTCCTGCCAGTATCCAATTGAGATGTCGTGTACTGACTTGATATCTAACAGGTAGTTGTGTGGGGATAAAGTCAAAGCATGGATTACGACTAAAAGTGAGTTCTTTCCATCCCCAGCGAATTTTGCGTCGGGCCATAATAATTAATGTAAAAGCGAACATTCGCTTAAATATTCATTACAGAAACCTTCACCAATTTAATATTACTAGCAAGTGGGTGAACTGAATAAAATTTTTGCATTTGTTATAAATAATTCATTGACTAATAGCTGGAACAGCAGATGGAAAATGGCTGTAAGGACTAGCCATACCGAAGAAAGCGTTTGCTATATCACATCCACACAATAAATACTCCAAAAATCAAGATTATATGCTGGCACTCGAGAAAGTTAAAGACATTAGAGACCTAGAAAAAAAGATAGATTGTTAGTAGATTGCAACTGCTGGATTTTATTTATATATGGATCAGTGTATTATGTATCTTCCAGGAACCTCCACTGAGCTGCTATATATAGAACAGATGATATCATTTGGGAGAAAATATAGTGCATATTTAGGCACCCAAACTGCACGATTATGACCATTAAATACAACATAAAATCCTATCGTTCATAAAGGAATTAATCTTGGTGCTGCTACACGTGACAAAGTGGGCTAGCTATTGTTGCAACATTATCATCCCTCTGCTTCTGACAAGGGTTCAATTATCAGAAGCTCGGTCCCTGCTACCTTTCTCTAATGATCCAGCTTGAAAAGTTAAGAATGAAGTAAGATCTGCTGCATTGGGGATTTCAGGGTACACAACTAATTGCTACCACACATTGTGTCTTAGGATACTGGAGCCTGGGCATAAAACATGACCATAAAAGAAAACTTTGCAACCTTGACGATGAATGTAATCCTGTTGAAACTGAAACTGTGCATAGTAAGTGCTATAATCTAATTATCCCCTGGACTCTTCCGGACACATTTGGCAGGTTCAGTGTTTACCCTCAGAGAGAGTAAATCAGGACGTGAATAATGCCCTACAGTATCAATCATCGCTTTAGCGTAATCAATATCCTGGAGGTCAATATCTGCCTGCAGTATGCATTCTTCACCTGCTGGGGGGGTGTCCACAAGAGGAGCACCGTCCGGTCCAAAGATCATGGAGAACCCTCCGCTCGGCTAAAACGACCAGTCAGACTACAATTAAATTGGTAAAATAGTCACAACTCACAGTTTGGATGATACCCCCTTCAACCAAGTTCTGCTTCTCTAGGCTCTCCTTCTTGACCACCTGCGTACATACTAACACAAACGCCTGCCCCTCAATCGCAAAGAACTGACTAGCATTTCGACTTGCCACGTCCGTCTCATGGAAAGGCCATTTGATCCCTTTTGGTTCCGGAAACTCGGCAGGCCAACTAGCCACGTGGATTTGCACACCCTGGGAATACTCATAAAACCGCAGTAAGGGCTGTAGATGTTCCCAGCAGTTCAGACCTCCGATGCGACCAAAAGGGGAGTCAACTACTGTCTGTAGCGATTCAGCTTGCCCCTCACCCCAGATAGATCGCTCCACATGGGTGGGTTTGACTTTGCGTCGATGACGCACAATATCTCCGTCAGGGTTAATAAATGATTGTGCCATGTACAGACTGCCACCGTCGCGCTCACTATACCCTAGGACGATAAATATACCTGCCTCCTTGACAACTCCACGGATAGCATCCATTTCTGGGGAGTCCCGCGAGAGAGAATTAGCCATGTATTTATGCATCAACTCAACGTTATCAATCACACTTCCGGTCCACATCGTCCTGCACATTAAGTCAATGACGTTTGATAGCATTGGAAATTGATCTCACCATAGGTATCCCGGTATCCATACTTCTGGGAATCCTAGAACATTGATTCCCTTCTTGCCAGCTTCCCTGATCAGAGCAATTGTCTTTGCAACACTAGCAGCAAGATCAACCCAGCCAGGCTCAGCCTGCACAGCGCCCACACGGACTTTGGTCATTGTTTGAACTGGTGGAGACGGAGAAGAACAGCTAGCAAGAGCAAGACTTATGTAACTCTCAGCCTACCAACCAATATCGAGAAGAATGGGAGAATGTGCACATATATATAAAAGATGTCTTTTCTACAGCTATACTTGATCGCATGGACATGCCTTTTAAGGATAATAAATTCTTGTGTACCTCGCTTAATCAAACTCCACAACTGATAGCAACCTATTATTATTCTTTGCCCTATCTGCAGCGGATCGATCTCGGGGAATATCCCGGGGTTTGCGGGGAATGCTTCGGGATCTCTTGGGATCGCATAGCCCGAAGCTTGTTCCCCCGAAGCACTGCACACTGGGTACACAATACGATATTTGTCACTGCAAATGGCATTAAACTTGGGAATCAACTTAGGATTAAACTGAGTTCGAGACGTTTGTCCTCGACTAGCAGCAATTCGTAGAGTCATAGAATCTATGTTGTGCACAATAGTTGTAAATCTAAAACAGGGGATCGAGTCTAAGCCCGGTATTACTTAGCGTAAGACTCATGCTACGTAGCCAAGTCGGAAATAAGAGATCTCATATGCTTCAGATAATTATCGAGCATAACTACAAGCCGACACAGAAGAATTAGGGAGGCATTGAGAAGTTTTACCGGCTACTCTTATAAACCAGCTGTTAGGAAAAGAAATAGACTGCCATTAGAGCAATGTTCTATGTCTGAGAAGTTTATCTTTGAATTGATAAACCGGATAATATGTTTTAAATTGCTAATCGATATCCGCAAAGGAGTCTTTATTTCTTGTTCGTGTTAAGCCTAGATATACTCCACATAAGGGAAGAGTTGCACTCGCGCCATTTTGTTTTGGTTCACTGGAACATAAATATCGTTGTGTCAAATATATCCAGTTTAAACTACATCCTTCTCCACAATATGCATTCACACAATGAAAGCAGAACCGGCATGCAGCATTTGAATCCATGCCCCCAAAACATTTATTAACACTATCTACGACTGCTGAGTGAATTGTTCTTGGATTGAGTTATATAAAAAATAGTCCCCCTGATAACTTCAACCCTGTTATTGTTGACATACACACCTAATGTTCTATATTGTATAGTATCGCCTAGCCATAGACTACTCGCTATCAAAACCCCTCCTCAAATTCTCATACCGACTAATCGGATACGTTAACGTATTTTCGGTCCCATCCAACCCGCCCACCCTTCCCAACACATCCCCGGTAATCCTAACCAGGCTTCTCTCATGGTAGACTGGATGATCCCCACTAAGCTCCCACCACATCGCCCCTCCCAACCCCCTTCGTATAATATAGTCCGCCTTCATCCCCGCCACCTCAGGTGTATCATAACTCACCATCTTATTCTTGCCCGGATCATAACTCCAACTCGCCAACAACGATCCATCGGTAAACTCGCTGCTCCCCTCCGCCGGAAGAGCCTTGTAATCCCACACACCGTTCTCCCACGATCCATCGCCGACACCCTGGAACGGCCGTCCAGGACCACCCGTATTTTCAAAGGCGCGGCCATACAACGGCAGCCCGAAGATGATCTTGCTTGGGTGCACACCACCACGGATATACGCCATTACTGCGGCGTCCGCACTAAAGGGCGTTAGTCCCTGATGAGGATGAGGAAAAACATTTGCCATATGGCCGGCGGTGGAATCCCAGCTTCCTGCGAAATCGTAACACATGAGGTTCCAGAAATCAAGGAACTGGTCCATTTCGTAGATGCGCAGCTTGCCGTAATTGGTGGGACCGCACGGAGCGGCAATAGTGAGGAGGAGACGTTTCCCCTGGAGATAGTGAGCTGAGTAGCGGTCTAGCTCGCAGCGGGTTTCTTGCAGGAGAAGAACATAATTCATCGCTTGCGCGGGGTCCTGCGGATATTCCCAGTCAATATCGATGCCGTCAAATCCCAGATCGGCGAGGAGGTGGACGGCGGAACGGGCGAAGTTTTGTCGTCCTTCCGGGGTGGAGGCTGGGACGGCAAAATTGGCACTGTAGGTCCAGCCACCGATGGAGAGTAGGGTTTTGAAGTGGCGATGTTTTTTCTTGAGGAGGTAGAGCTGCTTGATGCAGCCGTAGACGTTGTCTCCCGTTTCATTCCAGGAGTCGCTCGGATAGTGCTTTTCGAGGTCCGAGTAGGTGTCCGTTAAGAAACTGGTTTTGTTTTTGGTTAGTGCGCAGGTTTATATGAGGGGTTAGAGGGATGTACACTTCGCCTGTGGGACGGATATTGGCGAAGGAGTCTGGATTCTATCAGTCTCTGCGGTTGGGTCAGATTGGAGGGGTCATACAAAGAATGTGAGTGATGTAGTTGGCGGGGATGTCTTGAGGTTGGTAGTTGCGGCCGTAGACGCCCTTTTATGTGGTGAGCTTGTGTCCTCAAAAGTGTATAAAGGGAGTGTCTCATACCCAATTGGTGAAATAGGCCACAGTCTTGTAAGATGGCCGGCCGGTGTTCCAGGAAGCGGCTGGTGTTACCAATAGCGGAGGTGGAGGCATTCTGGGAGAGGTGCCTGTGTCTGTTGGCGGGAAAGCAAAACCCCCATTATCAACGGTACCGCTGGCTACGATTTCACGCGTAGCTATGGGCTCTGTAACATTTTGGGCCTGTGGAGCGGCTTCATTCTCAGGGATATTGAGTTCTTGTCCCACATAGATAAGATCAGGATTGGTGACCTGCGGATTGGCTGCTGTGAGGGCAACAAGTGTTATGCCGTGGTCTTGAGCGATCTTCGACAAGGAGTCGCCGCTGGCGACGGTGTATGAAAGCATTGTTGATGGATTTCAGGTGCGTCTGAGTTGGTATAAGCATAATCAATAATTCCGCACAATCGCGATGTGGTCAAATGGGTCCGTGGCGCCATTCCTCTCCTGGTCTAGTACCAGGCACACATCATTTGGATACGTAAGGCCGAGAGGCACGACAGCAGCCTCATGTACTACCTACAGTGGTAGCATACGTATAATAATGACATACCATGGCTTCATCTGGGCCTTTTATTCCATACAATCTTGGCGATAGCCCTGAGTGTGTGTCGGCTTCCAAGAAAGTGAGGGTAGAACTCGAATAGAACAAAGTCCTAAATATCCGGCACGTCCAAGTTAGATTAAACAATCTGGGAATCGTTTCTAATTGCATATTGGCTTTGTACTAACTTGACATTATCTAATGCATTTATTTTACCTGCAGATAATTATTCCAAATTTTAAACAGAAAAATCACAGAACAGATAATCCAACTATCTGATCAGCAGACATCTGTGCCAAACTCTGATTATTTGGAATCCTCCATTAACGTGCCAGACTAGTGTCAGATTTATGGGATTCTGATTAGGAGGTCTGACTTGATTGTATTCAGAAAGACATTGTGCCCAAGTCCTCTGAGGGGTATTGGGTATTATGTTAAGAGACCTTCTGTATTCAGTATGGTCACGTGGCATCTCTTAGTCACCATCTAGATAGTCAGCTGGCCCTCTAGCGCGGCGTCTCACAATAGAACGAAGCCACCCCACTTGTAACCTGCGAGGGGCTTTTGAATTCAAGAGAATCGTACCTCGCGAGCAGTATGCACATTTCACATGATGCCGCAATTAGAACTAGCTTATTCTGACAAGTAGTAGTGACACAAGGGGCCGCCAGCACATCGTCACATGGAAAATAAAGCCGCTGGAAAGCGCTCCTAGGGTCATGAGATCAACTGAACTTTGTTAACGCAGGTCCGCTACAGAATAAAAACACGCCGGTTGGGACCCTCAGTCAGTCTCCAAGGTCTATAAACAGTCCAGGAATATAGCAGGTCCGGTGAAGCGAGCATGAAACTGGGCCCTACAATACCAAAGACAACGGAAACAGGAAAGCATCCAGCGTAACTAGCAAGGCATGAGCACCGAAGAGAAATCCGGAGCTACTGGATCAGGATCTCTTCGTCTCAAAAAGCCCTTCAAGATGTGTCGATTTTTGATACCACCGCGGAACCACGCATGATCCCATCAATGGCAGAAGACGATATCTACTTGGTACGTGATCGGGTGGCGGTCCCCTGCCAGTTTGCACACCCTTCTCTCGTAAAAGGCATCCACAATCACTCCTCCTTTGCGTCTCACATCCCACAACGTCTACGCAACACGTTTCGGTTCACGAATGCCGTAGTGTATGGAACCACAGAGGAAAAGAGAGCTATCTTCTCCGTGATTCACAGGTACCACGGCGTCGTGAGAGGGGATGGTTATTATACCAACAATCCCTAATTGTCCAGACGGACGGCGGCAACCTTGCTGTACACCTTGTACGGGTCGGGAGACATTCTTCGGACAGTTGTCTCACTCGAATAAGGCGACCATGTTTAAGGAATGCGCCCCTTCGCTACATCTCTTCGCATGCCTCCTGAGATGTGGCCCGAAAGCTACTATGATTTCCAGATCTATTGGAAGCACAATATTGAAACGCTGCAGGTAATGGCGTTCGAGTTGTGCTCGCATCTAATGTACCCAAATGACCTGCCCCTGCTCGCGCAGCTAGCAACACCACTAGCAAGATTGGTGACCATAACATGTTACCCGAGCGGTTAGCGATCGAGTATGGTCTCCAGCCCACAGCGCTTAGTCAGGTTTCATATCATGCCATGGTGGCGTCCACGCGGCTTTTGTACCCGCTTGTTACTCCTGGGCTGAGATACAGCATCGGATATACATAGAAGATTTGAAAAACGCGGTGGCCCAAGTCAAAGAGACTGGACATTGGGCCGGTATTTAGGATATTGCAGTTATTAGTACTGATAATTAGTATACAGTAAAGTGAACTTTTGATTCTATATGAACCTTGTTTTGTATTCCATCTATAGAACTATTTGACTCTCTGCACTTCCTGCTACATTATACGAAAATTGTAAAGATAAGGAATATGGCATTGATATGAATATTACTAGAGAACTTTTGATATTGATTCTGCATATTAGTCTTGTTAGGTGTGGGTACGTCACCTAACATTACAGTGCGCTACTATATAAGGTGCTCAGGAGTGGGGATCAGATATAGTGGTTCTTTTGGTCAATTAGTTAAGATCCTGGGCTTGGCTATAACATGTCTTTACCCACAACCTCGACCCAACGTCATCCACATCGACTAAGTTGACTTAACTTTATTTAAGTGTTATTTACCTTTTCCACTTTTTTTATACCCTGTCATTATAGCGAGTAGCAGCCCAGGAACTCGTTGCCTTCCTTTCCCCCCTGCTTGTCCACCAGCCTGATCGTCCCGGCGAATCTGCCTCTTCTATGCGGGATCTACCCATTGGTATCTATTCATAACTCCTTCACAGGCCGGACACAAGCTTGCTTATGTTGTTTAAGGAAAGTTCGATGTGATGTTACTGATTAGACCCCTCACCTGTGAACCAACTGTTAACTTGATGGAGTGCTGTGTAGAGTTGCTGATAGAAGCTACGATTTCCGCAACATACTAACTAGAGTCAGACAGACAGATATTATTTAGAGGGGTGTTATAATCTATTTTAGCTCTTTGAGTATGCCATTCCTTGATCACCAATAAGTAAATAGCCGGGTAGTTGAAAATATACTCTTGTATAATATCCTGAATATAAGTATTAGTCAATCCACGACATGTACTGGTGGAGACAATAACATGAAAATGTCGGTTAATGTTAACTATTGCCTTAATTAAATGCACTCGCTACTTGTGGGCGCAACAGCATGACCCTCTCGTATATATTTTAATTCAAGATGGCGCGTTGGCCTGTGTATACGTGCACTGTTAGGCAGGTAGATCTTTTCCCCAGATTGCTATTATTGCCCTACTTCTCTAGTTTAACCAATTCTTGTACACCTCCTTCAGCTCTCTTAGCAGACCTAGTTCATCATTATTCGTCATCATCTTCTCTATAGCCTGTCTTATGTTATCCAGCTCGTGCGAAATATTCTCTAGTATTTGAGACACTATGTAGTTTAGGCTGTTTGTAAAACTGTGGACTATTTTTGATTCGTGGGAGATTCTATGTAATTTATAGCGTCTTGGAAATTAGATATATTATATAATTATTAATGTTTTGAAGAGGGCTAGTTGTTGACCTCCCTGAGATGAAAGCATGTGGAATTGAATATAATATAGATTTTAGATGGAATCTCCCATCACTGTAATTTTCTGCCCGGTAGCTTTCGTATACACAGCTCTTTGACTGGGTTTACTACAGGAGATGGCAATATGACATGCGAATGGTTGAAATATAAATAAAAGGATGTGTTTCGACTAATATCTTTATCATCGGGCGGGCCAAATCCTATATGTCCTGGTTCTGGTAGACATAAATGTTTTCATTGCTCTACCCAAACAGCTACCATACTGGGGGAAGATCTTCTACTTGTTTTAGGTGTTGGGTTCTAGATGTAGCGAGTGTCATTGCATCCGAGTCACTGAGGATCTTCTGAAACTAGTAATTAATTGGCATTTAAATAAAATAAACGTGGAGGGCTTGCCCCGTATGGAGGGAACCTACCACCTCCAGATACTTGGAATACTAGAGCTCATTCTCTGCCCGGCTTTATTTTATGTAGATGTTCGCTTATTCTGCTCCGTTGACTAACAGTAGTGACAGTAAAACTATGGCCAATAGTTTAACACGTTTAATCCTCGATTCATCCACTTAAGACATTTACCGGCACTTAAATACAATTCTCCCAATCATTTCATCATCCTTCCTTCTAGCATTTCACCTGTATGTGCCCGGCATTTGGCAATTTATATCTTAGCCGCACTTACTGCACGAAGCCTGTTCTATCGTTAGTATTGACTCCATTTAGAATGAAAAGCGAAACCTACAGTAGAGGTACCAACTGTAGCGAGACAGGCGGCATCGGCAATGGGATCTACCATTAAATTAATAAGAAATCCAACGAACACATGGCACCAAAAGACGTACTAAGACCCAGCTCTACAGCTGCAGCCGCACAGGCAGCGCTTTCACCAGCAAGGGAGGAAACACAAGCTTTAAAAAGTCAGTAAACTGTAAAATTAACGGCCGTCAAAGCCACCTACCCAACCAGTCGCACCCTGCAGCCTTCATGTTTTCAACATAGGCAGCAGCGCTACCCTTCACGTCTTGCAAGTTCTGCGCAGTTGAAGCCGGAGCCGCGGAGGCAATGGCCAGAAGGGTTGAGATAGCGATGAAAAAACGCATTGTAGTGTTCAAGTGCGAAACCTTTGGTATTGCTTGAATAATGTTGCTGATTATTTGCAGTTGTTTTCAAAGGGATGAACGAGGTCTTTATATAGACAGTGCTTGCCCGACGTCAGATGAGATTTTATACATTGGTCAAACCGATCCTGTATTCGTTCAATGCCACCCTGCTGGCTTTGCATCGCAATGGAAGTCTTCACGCCCAATTGGCTCCATTCTTGAGAATTGCCAAGTCTAGTAATACGAGATGTCTTGCAATACGAGAAATGTGCTAGTATATGAGAGATTAATAGTAGTATAGTGTCTACAGCTCTGCATCTGGACAGACCTAGTTGGCCGTTAGAGTCATGCTTTACAAAGATGGGTGGGCTACAGAGAACGAAAGTGTTGTTATTTTGACTATCATTGGAGCATACCATGAGCGCTGGACTCACTAACATATCCGCCATCATGTCTAGGCTTGACAATTACTGGGGGACTAGAATTTTGCGAGAGGTGTACGTAGTATCCCATGTTTGGGTGGAGTTGAATGCTATACTATGTTGTATCAAAGGTAACATGTGTACCACTGAGGATTTATCATAGCTCTAGCTGGCATTGCAGCTAGAATTACTTGTAGTTAGCCAATGTAACTACATGTCACCTATAAGCCTGCTCTAAACATTTTCTAGATATGATTCTCATTGAAAACATGAACAAGAGCTTTTACCAATTTAAAGGAAAGCGAGATGTAGCATGATACATTAGATGAATTATCTCGTGCACAGCATTCGAATTTACGAGAATATCATAATTCTCAGCAAACCCCCAGAGTGAACATCTGGCTAAGAATCCAAGAGTAGCTTGGTTCGAACAAGATATACTCTTGGCGACTTCGTTTACGCCCTACAAGGTCAATAAGATACAGATACGAGAGGGCTGACCCGCACGAACACGGGTGGTCCAATGGGAACAATGGCAGAAAATAAGATAGGCAACAATCCTTAGTAGTCGAATGTCCCATATTTGCCCAAAAATATCCGTCATTATGTCTTTATAGAAATTAATCTTCACCCCGCACTCCGCATTCGTTTACCCGGACGGACCTACGGACCTGCCATTCCGTACCTCAAGCTGTTAGTCATTAGATCAAAGATTATCAACACGATCTCAGTTACGAGATAATACGAGCACCTAGCCTTTACGAATTATCCGATTACTCCTCTAGGTTAGTTGAAAATTAACAATGGACGTTGAGGCATATACACTACCAATATCTATGGCTTAGGCAACAGGAGAAAAACGTCATAGTGGATCGACATCTCCTGGAGACCATCCGATACGAGATTACGGTGAGAGCAGAGAGACGAGACAACTACTGCGGTTTCCACAAGCGGAAACAATGAAGAGAATGCATTTTATGAATTTCGGGCGACTCGACGTTCTGGAAACCGAATCCATGGCCGCGGACGACATAGAATTCAGCTCCTGATGTACAACTTCATACTGTGACAGAGCGAGGAAAGCAAAAGAGAAGGGACCAGCCTTAGGTAACTTTCAGGACGATAGTCTTATACCAGTCCCTTGATTATAGTGAGCGCCAGGTAACTCGAAATGTCAAATCGTAGGGATCCTGTTGCCCAATCAAACTTATCCATGTATACTGCCTTTTTTATTAATCTTCATGGGTAAAAATTTAATACAGGGCAAATAAATACGTCGCTCTAAAGCTTCTCATGCCAGAGCATGGAAAAGAACGAGGCGAGGAAAATGGAGTTTGTTACTCAAAAGTGCTAGGGCTCCCAGAACCAGGGCAAACACCATTTTCATTGCCACTGGACTCTTTTGAGCACCAGGTCCCCAATGGAACTCATTACTGCTAGCTTTGTGACAGTAGTGGGCCTAGCCTGGGCACTCATATATGAGAAATATCATGTATTCGGTTCTGGCTAACAACGGTACCCATTATAGTTAGCCAATTCGATGTTGTACCAGATCCTGCTTCGTATAATTTTTACGAAAATGATGTTATCCATGGAGACCTATATCTCTTAAGTTTCCTATTTGTTGCCATCAACCTAAACTTGGGGGGATAGGTTGCAACGAAATGTTGAACAGTATAAGAAAGACCCCAGGTTACCGCTGTCTGTCGCTTAGTACCAGCCGTTAACAAAACATGAGAATTTAGAGCAAGATTTTATACTCCGACATTTGACTTGACAGATGTACATTCGAATTTCGTCAGATTCCACGGAAACATGTCCCTAATGCATGCCAGCCTGTTTCTCCACGCAGCCGCCTAAGAATCCTTTCACACCTTTCAATCTCCGTATTCGAGAGCTTATGTTCGAAGGAGTCATAGAAATGGCCAAGATATCTAGAGTTTTGAGTGTCTTTTCTTCGTGTTCCTCACGAGAATCCATCTGTTCATGGTCGGTAAGGTGGGGAGCGACGAGACAAAACGATGAGCATTTCTTAAGCTCTTGATATTGTCGAGGGTCGCCTCATCATTGATGAGGGCAAAATACGCACGATCTGGAATATATTGCACCACGGAAGGGAAAGGCTCGTGAGCATTCTTAGGATCGTGATAGAGCCATCTAGTCACTGCAGAAGTCATTGCTGGCACAGTTGTTGTCGTTTTTCACGGATTGTTTCTACTCAGCCAGAGGACCAGTACATAAGTTATACTTTTTCCAAGGGAAACCAAGCCGACTTGCCGGCGAGTTTGCCTCCCCCAGCTGTTTGCAACGAACAACGAAACGTACGATAGTGTGGCTGGGCAGCATCTAGTGCCTTTAATATCCACAGTATCATTTAAATAGCGAGGATCAAGTAGTACTGGTGAGCAGGTTGTTGAAGGCTAATAGGACCATGCATATAGAACAAGATGCATCAGATATTTTATGCAGTGAATTCCTATGTTTGTGCGTACCACATGCAGCCCCTTAAGATGCCATTCTAAATAGCTAGTACATTTTCTCCTGCCCATTGTTACATTGAGCTTGTGAAATCTGTAAAAGTGCAGCTCTTGTCCTGCTGTTATCGAGAATTTACATTGGCTTTCTGAGAGGCTTTAGAGATTGACAGTGTGGCTTTAGTCATTTCTGTAGTTGGCTGGTAGACTCGTAACCCTTTTTGTTTTTTACGTGAAAATCTCTTATGTCTCGAGATCACCCTTTAGATTACATCCCAATATTGCCAATGTTAAGGAATTTCACCTTTTAATTACGGAGTTACCATCTGCGGAGATAAATTAAAGACGACAGAAGTGGCAATCTCGATAATGTTATCTCATCTAGGTAAAGTCTACGAGATTGCCCAATCAATAAAGTAGCCGTAACGGTAGTACTGGGCCATAGGTAGCTATTGGTGCCACTCACAACTCACTCTCACTAAGGACGCAGCTTTGTTGAACAGGTAGGTGGTCTATAGCAGGTTCAAGCGAGTATCCTGTCCAAAATTGAACAATATGTAGTTTTATCTCTAGGCCTCATTACTTCGACAGCACTGGGCTCAGAAGAGGTATTAGCAGATTCAATCCTCATATATCTTGTCCGTCTGTCAATCGTCTTTTGCTTTGTTTACGCATCCTCGACGAGTAGAGCGTTTGGGCCGCCCCGGACTTAATATTACTTACCATTCTCAGAGCAAACTCCATGCCAATTGGCAGACATAGCGGTATATTACGGAGTACAATACACAATGATGGAATGCTACTCACTCCTGGATCCTGGCCCAATAGGTAGAGAAACATACCATCAGTGATATTTCGTGCCAAAGCTCTTGATCCTACACATGGTGGGTGTAACAGCGGATGTGCATCTCCAGGACTACTCTAATAGGCAATGACCCCTTGGAAAGCCGAAACTGGGAAGCCGAAGTTGATCTTCATGATAGAGAAAACAGTCGCACAGCTCGAAAGTCATCCGCCGGTCTGTTCCACTCGGGATATTGATAGATCTGATTGGGGGGAACTGATCACACCTTTCCCAATGCGGGCACAAGTGTCGAACATGCACTTTATGCCGACTCAAACTCCATCGTCAACTTCTAGTTTATAAGAAACTCTGGGCATCGAGATGGCATTTATGGGGATTATTCGCGAGTAGGTATATTCTTCTCGAGCTCATTTTCGTTGTGAGGAAAAAGACCTACAGCTCGTTCAGATTTTCACTCTGTTACGGAAACACTATAATCCGCCCGACTTGGCGGTGCGGAGTATCTGACGACCGATTCAACCCCTGAATCCTTTAGTTAGTAGAGCACCCAGATAGGAACGCAAGAGACTCAGTTGGTTGAGATACTGTGATTCCTGGTGTTTCCACTGAATGACATCTACTTCCTAGTTAGGCTAGTTGGCCTGTAGCTGATAGAATAGCTCCCTGCGCATTGAATTTCACAACATCATCCTTTGACGGATCACTCCAAACTACTCTAGCCGAGCAAATGCAGATAAACCTAAAATGCCAGTTCTGGGGTTGTTGCTGGCTCGGATTCTCTTGTTTTCTATCGAAAGTGCCTGACTGACTGAGCGAACCAACGGATGCATCGCCAAGAACGCTTCTGCGCAAGCGAAATCTTGGCATCGGGAGCAAGCACGGCTAGGCGTCATCGTTTTCAACCGTCTGATTAGGCGGTTCTCAAGGCTAATTGCTGTTCGTCGCTTGGGGTCAGACTGGCCCCATTTCCTGACAGTGGTAGGGAAGCCTGACAGGATTTTGTCTTGGGTTCAAGTGAGATCCACTTATGAGGTAGCCCCACGCACAGATTGGCATCTTACTTGGCAACTTTGTGCATTACTTTTATTGCGATTTGCGAATAGGAGGAGGATAGTAAGCTCGAGTTTGATTCTATAATCTAACTCGTACAGAGTATGCTACCACACACTATCCACCATATCTTCTCTGTTTCACAACCCTCCGAATCCCTCTATATCTCAAATATACCAAACATGCACAGATAGTATGCTAAAATATTCAACAGGTCCAATCCTTATGGAGTCACCCACGCCGGAGGAGCTGCACACTTATCTGGCTTCTTCCCACTCAAAGACGCAGTGCCTATAGCAGTTGGAACATCTTCATCGTCACAGAAGAAACTGGTATAGAAGTTATGCGGGCTCCGACAATCTGTTCTTTACTTTCGTGATCGACTTTGTTAGAGTTCGCGTCGACAACGTCACATCCCCACGAGGTAATCACGCCACAGGTCCACGCAGATTGTCAAAGTATTCGCCGCCGCACTTGTCCTTGTTGGCTTCCACGGAGTGTTTGGTGACGTAGAGAAGCCACTGTCTGGCAGCTAGTATATCTTTGACGCCGCAGATGGGGAAGTCAGGGGGGGCATCGCGAGGTTGTATGCCAGGAGGACAAGAGAATTAAATATCATTGTGGACAGAGTTAATGTAAAAAAAAAAAAATTAAGTTTTGATAAGTAAGAAGAGTGATAGACTTGCTTGGTTAATTGAAGAAGCCAGCAGTATTTATCTGTTTTCACCCTATATACAGTGCCAGCAAGCGACATGACATTGGACAGCATATACGTAGCTAGTGACATCACCTGCGGCAGTGCGGTTTGCATAACTCCATGATTTAGAGGACTTCATTTGCTACGCAGACTCCGTCCCGTGTACATTACAGATAGATCTGCCAAGATAACCTTGTTTGTTCAAGGACAAGCAAACCCGGCATGTCTGTCTCTACTGGATCACAATATTCAAGGAGGTTGGGAATGTGTCACGTTGTCTCCATGGATCCTATGAAAGAGGTTCAGGAGGCTCTTCTCCCCATAGTATACTCGCTAATATACATACTCTAAATGCACTGCCCCTCTCGTGGAAGAGGAAGCGAAAGTGGAATATGTGAGATCACTTATGTGCTGTATTTTATTCCGCAGAACTTGGTTGTAGGAGTTTAAGTACGTGTTGATCTTTTTAGATATCCAGATCGGATGAGGAGCAATATATTCCAATTAATAGGAGTGGAAAGTCTTGCAGTAAAGGCACGGAAAGAAGAGACGTGAGAGCGGTATTATTTTTTATTCGCTCATTTTGCAGTCTGGTTGGATGCATCTGGGATGCTTCGATAGTTCTTGCAGGCAGGTTACTAGAGCGCTCCGTATGTCCTCATTCTGCCTATCGCCATTCTGGTCCACAATTCTATGCCAATAGCTAATAGAGCAGTCGCAGACTTGCTACACATTAACAAAATGTATCTTCGGTTCGATTTCACTCAGATATCGTATCGAGTAGAGAGCCAGCGCACTCGAACGTTTGAGTTAGGATATCATACAAAACAAATAAATAGACCACATTAACCTTCCTAGTCTGTACCATGCACTGTTCGTGCTATTTACCCCATTCGCACATAATATATGAAAAGCCCATGCTCCTGGATATAAAGCAGGGGGAACCACCACTTAACACCGTCCCGTCATTATCCCATGGGATAGTCTGTATCATCAAAACCATCCAAACTATCCTCGCTCACTCGTACGTACTGTCGAATTTTGCCTTGCGGGTTATTTTCCCCGGTGGTATTTCCACGAGACCTGCGGCCCAACTTGAGCAGTGACAGTACCGCAAGGATGAAGACCAGAAGAACCCAGATAGAAGAAATATGAGACGAGGTAGTCGGCCCCGAGATATCGTTACGACGAAGAAGATGATGTTCGACCGATGCCGGCGAGGCACAATGGGGGTCGCGGATTTTTGAAACGATCGAGCCATGAGACGGATGTATAATTCGGATATGACGGGAAATAGTACCCCTCGGGAAAGAATCCGTTACGACATCGGACTGAGCAGGTTGAAGAGGATGCTTGACTGTCTTGGCAAAGGATATCTTGTTTTGATTAAATGGCAATGGCATTATGATCTCTGGTGTCGCGATGGCCGGACCCAGACAGCACAATAGAGGAAGGAACAACATGAGAGAGTTTGGAGGAAGTATGGAGTAGTGTATACAGATTCCAAGCCATCGGTATGTGCGCTTACACATACAGGCATGGCTTCGTTGGACCCTGGGCATAACCAGTTAACTTATTAAGGTTACAGGTCGAATAGTAGGCAACCCCATTTTACTGTCTCAGATGGAAAGTGGACCAGGAGAGTGATTGGAGAACGCGGGACCCTTGCAATACAGGCTTGTGTGTACTCTAAGACTCTGAGCACAAGATCTGGATCAAGTATTCTAGACACTGGGGCCAGTTTTTCCGCGGAGATTCATCGTACAGAGCAGTAAATGTCCTAGTCATCTGGTCTTTGCTGTCTCTTTAGCATATTTGTCCAAGGCAGTTGATGTCGGTCTGTAGTAGGTTTTTTTTTTTTTTTTTTTTTTCATTTTTTTGATTTTTTCATTTTTTCATTTTTTGTTTGAGCTCTATGGGAAATTTAGGAACTGGGTAGTCGGGAACGTTGCTTTGCATTCTGTGCATAGCCTCAGTTATGGGTCAGGATGTGTCTTACGTGCAAAGTTTAAGTAGAGCCGCTGGGGTCTAAGAGTATTTAAGGCCAATTCGGTGCCGAGCACAGCAAGCTTATGTTGGCATTGATGTATTTGTCAAGCTTCATCGTAAGAATTTGCTCAAGACCATCCTCTGCATTTTGGTCGCCAGACTTTCTCGTCTATTCCTATTGTGGCCTTGGTTCTGAAAAGTGGATATGAAGTGCTGCCCCGGACTGGTCCATTAGAGACCGTAGAACAAAAGAGACAGTGACGTTGCAGAGTCTGCCATAATAGGGTTGAGTTCGTCAGATTTGGTTAGTCGCTGGATGCATCCACTAACCGACTGGAGCAAGTTAGACGATGTGATTCTGGCATCACATCGTCAGTCAATCTCATGAGTCATCCATGCACATGGTTATTACGTGAGCATGTCAGTTCTAAGTTAACTCCAAGGTTCATCATAAATTGCAACGATGGGGTGTCAAAAGTCAAAATTAAGAAATAATAAAATAAAAAGACTGGTGAATGCCACAGCTCTGCCCATACTGACTATACTATTTGTTGTGGAGTTCAGGGGAAGTGATGACACTATTCAACAGATAATTGACATGGAAATAAAATGGGTTATTCATCGAGTCAAATCCATAATATATTAAATCCAACACCTGAAGAGCCGAATGAGGATGTGACTGGAGTAGCTCATTTGTTTAAATTGTCCGTCAATGAATTAATTGCGTGACGACAGGATAAAAAGTACTTCTGCCTACGGTTATCAATCCGGTTTTGAGATGCAGAACTTCTGCAGATTATCTACTTTACTCAACGCATAATGTACATATGGAGTATAGGTATTGGTAGTCTCATGGCGGACACAATTCATTTCTATAAGTATCAGAGTCGAGTCTGTCTCGTAAGGTCTCTTCCAACATCAGCAACACGAGAAAGCGAGATTTTCAGCAATCCCCCAACCATGGATCTATTTTATTCCGTGGCCTTCCCAGCCCATGTCGAGTCGTTGATGAATAACTACAATATCCCCGGACTGGCGGTCGCCATTGTGCAGAATGGCAGCCTTGCTTCGGCCGGGTTCGGAAACGCATCATTTCATTAGATCCTCCCAAGGCACGCACCGTAGACACTCTGTTCGACATTGCGTCTTCCTCTAAGTCCCTGACCTCGGCCTAGATCGGGTTGCTCGTACATGATGACCAGCACCCAGAAGTTCAATACGAAGCGCCCGTGTCGAGCATTCTGCCGGATGATTTTGTCCTGCTGACGGAAGAAACTACTCGTCTCATCACAGTGGAAGATCTCAGCCATCGGACCGGTATGGGCGCGCACGTTACATCCTCTCTTACACTTACTTACACGGCTAAAAAGTTTCTGATAGACACGAATATTTTTTTTTGAACGTGCGCGCCGCTGAACCTGACACACCCAAGTTCATCACACGTGTCCTCCCCATGTTGGCAAGAGTCCGCAAGGCCTACATCTACAACAACATGATGTATGCAGCGATCTCTCACCTGATTGAGAAGGTGACTGGCTCCAAGTTTGTCGACTTCCTCGACAGCTGCCTGTTCAAGCCCTTGGTAATGAACTCGACTAACCTGCAGCCGTCGCGAGCTAGAGCTAGGGGGCTCGGGGATCGCAATGCCCTTGGGTACTACTAGGATCCTAAAAAGGAGACCTACAAGGGGTGGGAAATTCCCGATTCCCCTGAGCTGCAGAGCTGCAAAGGTCGACCTCGATTGTCATCAGCATGAACGACCACATTAAATGGGTCAAGGCACTCCTTAAAACAAGGAGGGTCCCATTACGTCGGAGGTCCTACGAGGTATGCTGAAGGGTCGCATATCTGCTAATCCGTACTCGGAAAATCTAGAGTCTTTTACCTTTCCCATCATGTATTCCTCGGGGCTGGACACGTTCTACTACCGCGGTCATTTGATCGTCGCTCACCCGGGTAGAATCGCAGGGTCATCGAGTTATCATTTCTTCGTTCCCGGGTTCAATTTCGGTGGCACACTTCGCGGGAATTCAGACGGCGCCGGTAACGTAGCATATATCCTTGCTCGCGAACTCATTGACGAAGTGATGTACGTTCCCAAGGAAGAGCGACCCCCGTGGGAAGCGCAGAACTCCACAGACGACAAATCAATATAGGTGACGCGAGTGCCGAGATACGAGAGGAGATCTGTCCCGGCCAGAGCACATACGGTCCACGGGAAATCTATCACTCTACGCCGGTAGCTGCTTGAACTCCGGATATCACATCTTCACTGTGCAGATTCGCAATGGCACCGACGGTGATCAGCTATTCATCGACGCGTTGGATATATCTGAGGCATCCACGGCCGCCATGGAGCATGTTTGCAATCAGACGCATTATATCATGCATATGAAAGTTCTCTGGGAGGAGGGTGATTCTCCCGTCGCAGCTGAATTTTTCTTTGAGGGAGACAGCGCTGTGCGGTCGGGGTTAGTGCTGGATAATGAGTATACGGAGCCTATCTGGTTTGATAGACATTAGGGAATAATCACGGTGGTATAGTCGTCCCAAACCTCGTTTTTTTTCTGTGATCGTTCATGTACAGTAGTGGAATTGACATGACCCTGATGTGTATTACTTGCACCTTCGAAGTTTTACTTGATTGTGGTTTAGATCATTCTATTTAAACTGGCATTGGAAAGTCAGTATCCTGTATTCTATCATCGCAGCTTTCATAGAAATGGAACTGGTTATTTAGAGTCGAATATCACCTACAGTGTTGTAACTTAATTGCCTCGGTTTGTTTTACTTGCATGTATCACTGGCCATTAAATCATGGTATATTCGAAATCGTCACTTCATGGGATCCATGTCACTATTGCCTGTTGTAAAACTGTCTTATTTTGCACTTCTGCGGGACTATTATTTTAGATAGGCTCACGCTACAGCACTAGCGATGGTCAATAACCTGAGTAGTACCATCGATTGTAGCTTAATCAGTCACCTCGTACCGAGTTAAGAAATATAAATATGGCAAAACTGACGCCAGGTTAATATTGTCTTCTCAAAATGTAACGGACTTCGATAGGACTGATCTCAGCTTAGTATATAAGTAGCCCTAGTTATGCCGTCCCTCTAAGTTTATCATTATTATCATTATTATTTAATCGTTTAACGTCCTTACCAAGCCGCTCGGCCTATGAAAAACCACTAAGCCATAGGCTATACACCATTTCCTTTTCTTATTACATCTGATGACTCTTCTACACTTTTTCGTCCCCCTAGGTCGTTTCGCTGCGTAGAGCTTTCGGACTGTATCGGCCCTCCTTGGCTTCGGTGCTGTATGGTGTCACTGGTTAGGCGAGCCACCCTCCCCCATTAACCCTCTCTTTCCCGTTCCGCTTCCTCCATGATTTCTAGCTTGTGCCTGTCCTCTCGTGCCGCAGCCTACTGTAGTGTCCTCCAGGAAGCGTAGTACGGCCGGCGTTGCTTTGGACTCTGCTAAAAGCAATGATATCCCTCATGTGTTTTAGGAATAGCTATCCCTCTTTTCTTAGCATCCCGCACGTTATATCCCGTTGAAGCCGCTGTTGTCAACTCTCAAATAGTAGGTGTTTTAGCGGCTCTCGTGGAGCTTGGCATCCTGACAAGTTGTTCAGTCTCTTTGTCGAATCTGGTGTAGGTAAGTTCCGATCCGCATGTCCTGACTTAAGTTAGTAGTAGCGACTTGCTACGAATAACCTTGGAAGCTTCATTGTATTTTCTGAGCTTCAGCCTAGGTGCCACTTGTAAAGGGCTGGAATCCATTTGACCTCTCGGGCCTATTAACCCATCAATAAAACTAGTTCATATTCGGACGTCAGGTGAGATAAGTAGCTAAAAGGTATATTGTTGTGGTCCCGAACAATAGGGATCAACACACAATAATCACAAACGAACACAAAGACTTTCAAGCTCTGATAGAGCTACCCATATAATTCTGACAGGATCCATGACCCGATAACCACTAGGCGTGATCTGTCGAGGCGGGAGAGGGCAGTGGTTAGCGGAGCGATGATGATCTGACGGCCTCAGGCGTAGACGACGCAACACGAATAATCTGGACGTCCCGGATCAACTTGACGTGACTTGTACGAGAAGAGATAATAGAAAGGAACAAATGAGAAGTTACCGGTCCTACTTTGCTTCCTCTGGACTTTTTTCAGCAGAGCCTATCATTACCCCTTGGATCTGCTAGTGACATGGAGAGCTCTGTTGGGAAAGAGACTGGTCTGTTGACCGACTTTGTGTCCAGTGTCCTGAGCAACCTCACTGCGGACCCAGTGCCAGAGATGAGGAACCCCGAAAGAACCGAGCTTATAAATCGACTCAGCCCCTTTTACGTGTGGATGTGGATTCGGCATCATGGGCATGTCTCTGGCCGTCCGATATTGAGGCCCTCCACTCCCTCGTCGAGACAGCTACAAGAAATGAAAGTATCATACAACGGATAGTGGTCTAACAGTGGACAACATCGTCTTTAGAATATTGTAAGTATGACTGCCCGGATATGGTAAACCAACACTCTTCTTAGGCGCAGGACGAACGCGCCAGAAATGCCAGAACTCGGAAGCCATTGATGACGAGATGGAGCAGACAAACCTTATCAAGGAGCTTACCGTACTTCTGTTCTTCGACTGAGTCATCGACCACGCTTGGACTTTCAACTTTACAGGAACAAAGCTTTTCGTTCGGGGTAGGAGGGAGGCGGCTTGACTTTGCCAGCCAGTTGTTGTCAACCTTTGGACATGCGCGAGGGAAGTTTGTCGGCGACATTGCCGCCTGTCTCCATCCAAGACCTCACACCATCAACTCTCGCTATTACGTATTAGCTCAGAGTCTCACAGCTGATAAGATTCTGGAACCCGATTAGAAAGGTTTGGCTCTTACTTCTACCGCTCAAACTTTTGGCATTAACTGTACATAGCATTACTTTACAAGACCGTGCGAAATATCTTCTGTAATGTTAAGGAAAATCTTAAATGCTGCGCACTGTCAGCTACCGAAATAACAAGAGGGCTTATCGCTGTGTTTAACACACATTTGTTTAATTTTACTATCTTTATGAGAAACTATTCCACAGTAAAAGGGGGTGGGGGAATCACTGCTAACACCACTAACACTACTTGGAAAACTTGCAACCTTGATACGGAATCCTGAATTCCGATACAGGTTGGTGGCTGCAGGACTTTGTTTGTTTTAATTAATTAATAAAAGCAAGTGCCACGCTGAAAGATTTAAGCAGTGGTTGGCCAACTCGACACTCTTAAACCATATTGATGATCATATAAGGCCACAACAGTTGGCAAAAACACTTCAGTGCCCACACCCGTATTGTCAGAAGATGCAATGACATGGAATAACAGCTCTTCAGCGGCACATTTTTGATGTACATACTCTCACAGAACCTCGTTCGAACTGCGTTACTCGAAAGCGCCGATGGCCCTTGGAGGACGATAACATTTCCATGCCAATGGCGAGTGACGCTTTTTAAGACGCTCTGTGAAGCAGACGGTAGTGGCATTGGGTCCGGTTCTAGAAGCCATACAGGTAACAGCTCGTAATCCATAACCACCCATTTTCCTAGAAGTGTCTATCCGTCATTCAGTATCAAGCCGCAAGGAATCTTTCATTTGAATATTTATAACTTGTAATAGCTAATGCCCCTGCCTTACGATAATTGCGGAGTCTTTGCCTCACTTTTTCTGTAAGGAATAAGAGTCTAACTCTCTATATATGGTAAATATTGGTGAATATAGAGTCATATACTGTACACACATGATGCCTAAAGAATTGCATTTGACAAACGACACAAAATTTCTTTATTCTAGCTCTGCTTCGATAATCCCTTGACCATCACCGGGAGGATACCAAAACTTAAGCAACCCAAAGCCAGCCGAGGCTAAAAGCATCTTCCAATGGTCAACTGTGCGCTCCATGCTGCTACAGAATATCAGCATTTCCCAGTCCCACATGGCAGAGATCATGGCACAATCTTTATTTGGCAAGATAAACTCCTCAATTACCAGTTTCGAGTATTTGCATTTCATTGCCTCGCGGATATAGCCGAGAATTACGCGGCACTCATCGTCAGGCCAGTCATGTAGAACAAATTTCATGTAATATATGCGGGCACCTGTTAAAAAGGCGAGCATAACTGATTAGGGCCAATGATTAATTTTATAAACTGCATTCATGAATCATACCTCGAATTGGCTGAGGCTTAAACAAATCAAACGCGACGCGCTCGATCCTGCCATCAAGGCCTCTCAGTTCATCAATCACCTGCGGCTTGTCCTCAAGTACCAGCCGGCCAGGTGCCTCAGGAAACGTATTCAAAAATGCAGAAATATCATGGCCGCGGCCGCCAGCTACATCGACGAGAAGAATACATTCATTGCCTTGTTCGAATCCATCAATAAGTCTCTCTTGTACCGGAAACCAAGCCAGCCAACTCGGACGGCTCCCTCTGTCCCCTTCCATGAAGGTATTAAATACATCAAAATATTCTGATTTTTGGGAGAGGAAGTCCCAGAAAGATGCTGATTTCTCCACATATTGCAGGGGGCCGCTGGTAGGTGATGGATTTCTGAATCCGTTATGTCGGAGGAACTCTGGGACTTTGGCTAATATTGGCATACCAAGGTCGAAACTGACACGCAAGTATGCGATGAGCATAGAAGGTTGAATATAGTCTCTACCAAGGATGCAACTTATGAGATACGTACATGACTTTTACCATTGCAATGGATGAACTATCTGTCATCTGTCGAGTCATTGTGGTTGCGATATATATTCTAGTATCATGCTCCTGGACGTAGCCAATGCCTGCAAGGATTCGCAAAACACGTTCTAGAATAGCCACACTGGTATGAGAGGAGATAAACGAATCCACCATTAGAGTACAGGAGGTACTGAAAATGCACTCACCTGTTAGAATCAAATCTGCACCCTTCACTGCCGCCAGTTCGGCAAGAGTCACCGGCCGGTCGTTTTCCGTGAGAGTCTCAAATATGCCAAGATCGATGCCGACCCGGACACAGATAGTATGAGTGGGCTAAAACTTGTATTAGAAGGACAATATCAGAAGTAGTAAGAATGAAGCTCCTACCGAATAGGCCAAGTGGTATACAGAATCCTGGGGCTTCAGGAGAGCATTCATTAGATTCTGAACACTTTTCAGTGCCTTTATTCTGTCACCTTCACCCCCACCATTAAGGAAAGCAGTAGCTTCTTGAGTAACCTGCTCTACAAGAATGCTAATATAGTCTGTATGCAAGCATTCGGGCTTAGGCATTGTAGTATAGAGATGACGCAGTATTCTCACGGTGGAAAATGCAGTGTAGTAATACAGACGTGATAAAAGTTAACGAATGCCCTTGTAGCTAATATAATCTGTTCGCATACCCACTATCATGTGATAATTTCGCAAGTTTGGACTTTGGATGAGGAGACAAATTGGGTGGTTACAGTTGATATCATTAGTTAAGTTGATCAACCCACCCATGGAGGACCAGCCATCTGCGATAACATACGATGTATCCCGGAAAGACCCAAGTACTAAAACATGCATTGCTCATTACCTGGCTATGATGACGTGTCAACAGCGGGGACAAACCACCATGAAGTGGAGAAAGAGGGGAAATAAGAAGAGCTGTCATATTGCACACCTGCTGTCATTTGACCTTCATTCATCGACCTTGCATTGGAGATCATGATCGATGTTACTTAACTCAGTGCCCAGTTTGAGAGAATCGATACATGCATGTCATACCTAGAAGATTATACATGTCTAGACTGCTGGTCGAATACATTTACTGTTGTATAGTATTATTTTCTCCAATTTACCGCTACTCTTGCGCCTTTCCTTACTAATCACCGTCTTGAGAATGGGGCAAACTCTATATCTGTGCCTTAATACCATGGGATGTGCAATTTGGTTTCTTCTGCGGAAAGCAGCATGTAGGAGTTTCAATAGCGATCTAACTGGTGATTATCACACTTGTCCTGCATTCAGTGCTGCCACAATCGTGAATGAGAAACTATTACAATTGCTAAAGATGTCCTATAATGTGGATTTTAATTTCGAAGCGATTATACTCCTAAAAGCTCAGCTGATATATGTGTCACAGTATTAATAATTATTGGCTTTACGAGGGTCTTTGCATAACCTTTGGTTTTACCTGCTTTAGAATTATGCATATTTGGTTACATTGCATTCTTAGCATATGGAATGTGTACATCTAACACTATTTGCCACGTATTATTACATTGAGTCCAGATAAAAGAGATACCTTGGCAGCAGACTGTAGAATATACGGAAAAGTAGACGGTAAATTGAGAAAATGAAGCTTTATTCTTTGAGCAATTTATATCGCAAAATACCACGACAATGAGCCTCTTCTTCGCCATCTTCTTGTTCGCTATATTTATTTTTCACATTTGTATGAAAAAGTCGATATCCTTGCCTCCAGGTCCTCATCCACTCCCAGTTATTGGCCATATACATCTTATTCCTGATTTGAATCCTTGGAAGACATTCCAAAAATGGCACAAGCAATATGGACCGATCTTCAGCCTTCGTTACGGCTGGAGAACCGTAATCGTAATCGGGTCCCACCAAATCGCCCACGATCTCCTTGATAAACGAAATGAAAACTATAATTCTCGACCGCGGTTTGTTATTGGAGACGAATGCATGAGTAAAGGCCTGCGCTCCGTATATTTGCCATACGGCAAAAAGTGGAAAAGATACAACCATGTCCATGTGTCTCTTCTCAGCCCACGACTCGTTCCCAAGTACCGGATCTTCCAGGACCTCGAGAGCAAGCAGCTTCTCTACAACATGCTCCACACCAATGACTTTGCATCTTGCTTTCATCGCTATTCAGCCAGCTTGATATACACGTTGGCTTATGGTCGCCGTCTATCTTCTAGCGCTACATTCGAAGTGCAGGAGATCAAGGAGATATCGGGAAATGTATCTAATATACTTCACAGCAAGGTCAGCTTACTTGTGGAAGCATTTCCGGTGTTGAATCTTCTCCCTCGACCGATGGCTAGATGGAGAGCTGTCGGCGATTTGAGTTATAAGAGAGCTGCAGATTTTGTGAAACGAAATATGATGAATGCGGAAGAGGCCAGATCGTGGAATTGGGTCAAGGAAATCGTCTCCTCGCCTGAATCAAAAGCTTTCACCTCCAATGAACTTGCTCACGCTGTTGGAATATTGTTCGAAGCTGGCAGTGACAGCACGCCCAAAGTTCTAGAGGTTTTCGTGCTAGCTTGTGTACTGTTCCCTAATAGAGTATCTCGAGCTCAAGAAGAGATCGACTGGGTAGTTGGGCCAGAAAAACTGCCTGCTTTCTCCGACAAAGAGTCACTGCCTTACATCAACGCATTTGTCAACGAAGTGCTACGATGGAGGCCTATTACGCCCGGAGGCGTTCCACATGCCACTCTTTCTGAGGACTTTTATATGGGTTATCGCATACCAAAGGACGCAATAATTGTACCTAGTCATTGGTCCCTAGACTTGGACGACGGTACTTTTCAGGACCCCTTTGATTTCCAGCCAGAGAGGTGGATAAGAAACCCACATTTACCGCTCAGTTCGTTCGGCTTTGGACGCCGTACCTGTCCAGCACAAAAACTTGCTCGCAATTCACTCTTCATCGTTATGGCTCGTCTCCTTTGGGCGTATAATATTTCCTATTGTTACGAGAATGGCAAAAGAGTAGAAGTGGATCCATGGGATATGACACAGGGGTCTCTTTCAGGGCCCTCGCCCTTCAAGGCCTCATTTGAAATTCGCAGTCCAGAGAAGCAAATTTTGGTAGAGAGGCAGTGGGTCTCGACGGAAAAGGACGTTGAAGTCCTTATGAACGAGGCTGAAAAGGAATCTACTATTTTTGGCAATCTCAATTAATTTCAGTGATTCCTGGTGCTACGTGAAATATGTTTGCTGAAGTTGCCCTTTGACGAACTACTTCAAATTCTACTTCATTCCTCTCTGTACAAGGTAGTATGCCCGGTAGTTTCCTGACATCTCAAGTGCTATATATGTAAACTGCACCATACTGGGTATTGATGAAGCAGTCAATTACTCTCTGTCAGGTACAAGCAGAAGGAGAGTCCCAATAACCGATTTCATAATGCATAACTAGACAAGTCAGTGTCCAAAAGAATTTCCAACTCGTTAGATCAGGATAATGCTACCCCCATTCTCGACCTCAATAAAATGTGGTATTGCGTAGACCCTCCCCGTCTCAAGATACTCTTGTTCCAAGCCGTCTTCCAGGTTTCGCTGCATGTCCCGGAGAAACCACCCGATTATTCCGCAAAATTGAGCTTTAGGATTGTGTGTTCTCAGCCAGTATTTTGCCCCTGTCAGCCTTTGTAGACGCAACGCATTTCTCACGCCCAGATAGCAATACCCAGGACAGTAGGCTCGTCCAACCCGTGGAGCAAAGCCAATATACGAAGACCTGGGTTCGATTCGATGATCGGTTGGATACGACAGGGTTGAATACCGTGAGGAGAGTAGAGGATACATTCCCCTCCCTGGTCTTCGACAGTTCCAAATTCCTTTGAAAAAGCAATCATGATCCCATAGTGCAGTGCTGGATGGTATTCTTGGGCCGAGACCCGGAGAATGCTCAACCAGTCAGGTAGAGGTGCAGTGCGAGTATGGATCAATGATGGATAAGTCAGTTTATAATCAGGTATGTCCAGGACAGAGCTAAAATAGTTCCATGTTCTGATGGTTGACGCCGCTTCTAGGACAGCAAATACGGGAACTTCACAACTAACTTGAAGCAAAGTTTCTTTATGCATATGGTCACTAAGATTATGTGAAATGATGACTGCATCAATTTGTGGCAGGCTGCGGATCTCATTGCCCTTCCGTTTCCGGTGGACGCCTTTATGCCCTTCTCTGATCGTGGTATCCGTGATGTCGGAAACCAGATCATGAACTGCCGATATGCTGGGAAATGCCTCCTTCTCGATATGGGTCAAGTGACTGAACCAAGACCCAATTTCGACGGCTGGACCACTGAGCCAAGGGTCTAGAAGAATATGAAAGTATGCTGAGCTTGAGTTGTCTGCGGCCGGTCTCGGAAGTGATATCAACCATGAACTGTCACCGTTCAGGTTGGTGAGAAATGGTCGGAGCTGGGTGTGCGGTGTTTTACACAATTCGGTAAGAAGCATACAGCCAGCATCCGGCTGAATCAGCGTCATTATTAGTTTTTGGGCTCTGGATGATATTATAACGTCGATATGGCAACTTGGTAGATGACTATAGTTATGTGATGCAGAACTGGCGATTTGAAACTATGTATATATAGGGTAGTAGGTGGGGTAGATGTGACAGCCGCAATAGCATATTGGAATTAATAATTGGCCATCCCTGCCGGCCAGTTTTGGCCATGGAAAATATTGACCTACCCACTATGCGTACTGACTAGTATCAACTCCAGAGATATATGGAGGTCTGATTCTTCTAAGTAAATATTCAAGACCAAATACATAAGAAATAGGGGGTCAATTAGGATGACGAAATATGGCGACAATAAGGCGTATGATGACCTTAAATGACCGAGAGAACGCTAATTAAAGGTTGCATAGGAATAGTGGTATCTAAAGGTTGACAGAAAATTATAAATGACACGCCCCCTCTACGGTTAAACGCCCCCTCCCCCCTGTTTGTTGGTCGATTTTTGGGGGGTCTGAATTGATTGTATTCAGAAGGATGTTTTGCCCAACCCCTCTGTGGGAGATATTGGGTACTATATATATTTCACAGGACTAGTTTATTCTGACAGTTATGGAAAATTATAAATGTCGCCCCTTTCAATCACCCGAATGCTTTAGATGGTCGTACAACACGACGAAAAATTTGACCTTAATGCCCCCGCTTTTAAATGCAGTTTATAAACATATATCATGTCCTGTCATTTATTATACGCCAAGTCCCTTCAAATCACTGGTATCTTGTAGAATTTTTACCTGTAACGTATTTGGTGAGTTGGCAGCCTAGGGGGAGTATCGGTGATGACCGTTTAGTATCAAGGCGACGACTCCGACCTAGGGAGAGCGCAGCGGAGTCTATGGACATACTCTCCAATCTCACAAGATGCGCAGGCGGCCGGTGCGGGAAAGAAGTGACGCCGAACAATGCATGGGACTCTCACTAGAGTACCTTTACTAACCAAGGGTCACTGTATCTTACGAGTGCATCTATTTTGTATAAGGGGATAATAATTGGCAAGACGTAATATTGTCCCTTTAGTTATCCTAGTTGACAGTAGCAATTTTTGCTCCAAGGTGCATGTCAACAGCTTTCAGTGCTCTGTAGACGAACTGTAGTAGTGTGTGTGTGAAGGAGGATTCCAGAGATAACATAACTTTACACCTCAAAAACTTCAATTCTGACAGTGCCGTAGAGACAACGAAAATAGTTCAGCAAAGAAGTCAAATATATATTCAATAATTGTTGACAAATCGGGGCGCATTTGGATGTGAATTTTGAATGCCAAGTTCCAAGGAATCCAACAATTATCAGGCAAGAGTATCCTTTAACTCCATAAAATAGGCCCAACTCTATCAGCCATAATGATGTCAAAGCCGGCTGTTGTTTGTGTCTGAAAAAGGACAGTTTTTAGTGAATGGTTGCGTCTTGTATTTCTGGTGGGGAGCATTAAACATCATGTGTAGCTTTAATACCTACTCTAGCATTATCCGGGTCATTGTTCTGAAGGCCATAGGATCCACAAAGCAGTCCCGATTGCTAACATATCCAATAAGTCTCGGACAGAGCAGCACCCCTTTGCGAAAGGAATTGTAGTCTACAAGCTACCAGCCCTTTTTTCCTTGTCCGTCATCGGAGGCTTGCCGGCATTAGTACTTAACATGACAGGATACATCTGTTGTGTGATAGCCAAAAGAATGCAGACTTCGGGGGTGAAAGAGGAGAGAACTATAGTCCGTTGACTGCCAACGTGAGAGAAAAGCATATCGAGTATTTTATCGATGAATGTATTGATTTCATGAAGCAAATCAAATACTTTTCACTTAGTGACTAGTGCTTTACGATACCAATACCAATCGGTTGACCACACTTTGGGGGCAATTGAAACTCTCAATTTTCGCTGCCTGAAGATTCAAACCCCGCGCCCTCCGGTTCATAGTCATCAACGCTCGAGCCATAGAACATCCTGTCCTTCTGATATGTGAGTCATGTGTATCAAAGTCAAATGCCGGGACGGTAGAGCGATGACTGTACCGATGGCTGTTTATATACCAGAAGAGATAACTTAAATGGTAATACACATCCATTTTTCCCGACCCTACATTGCAGAAGCTAGTTATCTCCCTTTTTCATGGCTTCTCTGACACGGTCCAACTGCCGTACTTAGTTAACCTTGCTGCATATACGAGGAAACCGCGTGCGTTAGTTGTAGATTTAGATTAGTCCCTTACATCCTGTTTGATTATTTGGGGGGTCTGAAGTGGTTGTATTCAGAAGGATTGTCTGCCCAACCCCTCTATGAGGAGTATTGGGTATATATATTCACATGATGTCCCAATCTGGACTAGTTTATTCTGACACATCCTGACATTGGTGATCTTCGGAGGACGGATCTCGTATTAGCTTGCTATTATACCAAAGAAAAACAGGGAATGAAAGGCCCCAGCTGGATATGTGTAACGAGCTTCAGTTAGTTTCAGACTGTCTTATAAGTTCACCTCACTTTCTAATTTTCCTTTGATCCTTCATCAGTAACCCTCTTCTAATGTCGTATATCTATCGGCGCACCTTGCAGTGCTAGAGCCATTAGGCCACCGTTCACCCTGAGTCTCCATCAATAGCTTTCTTGGTTGCGACGTTCATCCCTCATTTCTAGGTTCTTATAATCCAAGATCCAGAAAAGTTGTGTCCTTCATTTCATATTTCATGGTAGTTCGAGCTGCCGTCAAGAGGCGAGTAAACTTAAAATCTTGAAGGCTAGGAATATGAGCAAGTAATGGAAAGATGGAACAACCCAGTAATAAAATCTATGGCGAGACAAATATTATAACTTCACAGAGATATATTCTTAAGGTATTCCGGGCCGTGTGTGATATCTCCGACAACATATTATTCCTGCCGTTATATTATTTTTATTGGACTACTGGAAGGCAGCTGAAAAACAATAATGGTAATAACTACTACTACTAACAAACAACGGATCGATTGTTAAACTCTTTTAATGATATTATGTGAGAAAAATGAAAGGGTTAGAGTATAATTCCGTTGCAAGAGAGAAGCCAATGTCGTATATATGCTGTACGGTCTGGTAAGCATTTCCCGTGCTTACTCCCCATCCTGAGGCACGCAGCTGCGGCTGCATATTTGCCTTCGGATTAGCAGTTTGTATTTTGGTGGTGCAAAGCCACAGAGGACCTATGCAATAGAGGCACTTCAGCCTCATCTAGAGGCAGGCCCCATAAATCCATGATACATAATGAGGCGTGTGAATATGCGTGAAAAAAGCCAAGCGCCGGAGCGCGTTCTAGCTTATAAGAACACTTAGAACAGAACTTATCTATTATTTACACAGGGATTGGGCCAACAGCCCTTTAGACAAAGTACCCAGGCGATCCTGGGACTGATTTCGCCAGCATAATAAATTACTATGGATAGGGTTTTCGTTTATTTATTCATACCCCGTTTCCGCTAATGAATAACCATGTCCTTAGCCTCGCCATTCGCGCTTCTCCTATCAATATATAAAACCCACTTGGACTGTCAAGATACCAATATTGATCACAAAGCCGGTTCTCCTCGCAGTTATAAGCAAAACAAAAAAGAGTATCAAGCTCCAGCCGCATACACCCATTATAAAACAATCCCACGTCGTATTCTGGGTCCTCGGGATCGTGGTCCACAACATCCAAGATATTAATATTCCGTGCGGTCCTGTCTACGGATCACAGCCGGTCGGCTCCGCGGGTCCGGGCTCTCTGGATGCCAAGATAAATCGAAGACATTGCTAATAATCATCAAGTAGTGACCGAATCGCGAACTGGCGTAAGTACATAATCCGTGCCTTGTTACCCACTTACGGGGCTTTTTAAGAATGACATCAGCACCGACACCGTCTAGCTCAGGTTCCTCAATAATAACATTCCGGTACTCTTCATAAATAAGCTTGTATGCATACAATTGCCCTGGCAGTAATTCCCGGTTAGGCGGCTTGACTTCGTGGTAGAAATAACGATTAAGATTGGCCAGGGGCGCTGTCCGATCTTCCTCGGATGCTGCGGTGCTCCGGTTAAATAAAATAGCCCCCAGGCCACGCCTAATCGCGGAATCTGAATGCATGTCGCTTGAGGAATTGTGACGTAGATGTATCCCTACCCACTCCTTCTGCTTAAATCGTTTCCCCCTATCCTTGCGCGACTTATCAGGTGGGAATTCAGGGTGCCTCCAGGGTTCTTTCAGGATTCCACACAAGAATCTGGGTTATTACTAGGAAGCCAGGTGACGAGCTGGAAGAGACTGCCTTCGAACCTCTCCTCCTAGAAAGCGTGGATGGGTGTTTTGGGTGTCAGTTCATGGAAATTCTAAAGGACCATGTCTATCTGGCATGATGAGACTTTTTTGACACTAAGCTATTTATTTTTTCATGCGGCTACCTTCTGAATCTATTACTGTCTGGAACCTTGCTTGCATAGATTCAATAAGACCTTTTAGAAAGTCATCTGGAACTGCATCCCATGAAGCCCGTACAACCTCTCGTAGAGAATCATAGGAGAGCTATTGATCATCGGGATATCCCTTTTAAATCCTGTCTTTCGTCCAATTCAATGTTATCTCAGTTGGATTTAGATCAGGTGAGAAGGCTGGCCATTCAATAGGATAGATCCCCCGCTCGTGAAGCTCTTTAATAGTATCTTTACTAGAATGACCAGGTGCGCTATCCTGCATAAGTTGAAGATAGTTATTTTTTTGCCGAAGAAGACGAATATAGCCTTCATTAATAGGGACAATTCTCTCAGAGTATCTCTCTGCATTAATAGTCCCCTATTTTTCTTCCAAATAGACATGGTCCTTTAGAATTTCCATGAACTGACACCCAAAACTGAATAGAGTTCTGGATACGCTAAATCTTGTCAGATATACGGCTAGTCCCCAAGAGGAAATAGAGTACGATTGGTAAAAGGTCTTATTTGAATGAATTGAGCTGGTTAGGCTCTTCTTGGTTATTCTTCTTGGTTGTTCTTGATGATTATTTTTGTTGTGTGCTCCGCGGGGTTTTACCCCGATCTAGTCACATGATTCTGGTCCACCAACAGCCATATTATTTGACAAATCTGATAGGGAATTAGTTAACTAATATCGGAATACTGGATTTGATTACTCCTAGCGCCTTGGCAAGCACTCAGTGTCATCCCCCTGAATTGCTTCCATTCTTTTCGATAGTTGGTGAGCGAGAGGATAGTTGCCCGGATCCTAAGTAAGCTACTACTGTGCAGCTGGTATAATGTTCTTCTGCCACCCATTCCTTCACCCGAGCAAATGATCATAACAAATCCATTATGTACGCGATATTCGAACCCGACCCTATTTTAGAATAACCTTTGATTCAACGATTGTGCAGGCTTACCAAGACTGAAACCTTTGACCCAGTAGCAGGTACTTTCAAGGACCTAATCCAATTAAAATACTGATTTGTTAAGGTGTTCTCAAGAGGTTTGCCCTTTATTTGTTCAATGGGAACTGACCAAACCATATAGCGCAGAATCATCATAGACTAGAATGAACAGTGCCATTGAAATTGAGGACGCCAAACCCAGACGAAAAGCCTTTATCCATCGCTCACAGCAGGGATGCCGAACATGCCGGTTGGTAAAATGTCCATGCGTCCAGCTATCTGTTACTGACACGGTCTTTCCACATTTCCTCCCAGGATTCGTCATGTTAAATGCGACGAAACCCCTGTTGCATGCGTGAAATGTACTTCTACTGGTCGCCAATGTGATGGATACGATGCTGTTCGTCTCCCCGTTAGGCGGAGATTCCGAAATGTAACATTTCTCAATTCACCTAAGATACTACTCCCCGACAAAACATCCGACGAGCGACGATCCTTTTCGTTCTTTCAGTCTTTAACAGTGCCGATGATGAATAGCTGGTTTGACCATCCGCTGTGGGAAAGAGCTGTATTGCAGTATAGCCAAGGGGAATCAGCTATCTGCCACGCTGTCATTGCTGTTAGTGTCCTGCACGAAGAATCGGAGACTACGGGTGAGCCAGTCCTACCTGAAAACATGATGAACCCACGGCATCAATTTGCAGTGCTGCAATATAATCGATCCATTGCGTACCTGAATTCGCGGATAGCATCATCCAATGATCCTGACCTTACGAATGTGGTTCTCATATGTTGCTTGCTGTATATCACCTTTGAACTTATTTGCGGGAAGTATGACAGAGCACATACCCACCTACGGAATGGAGTTCAAATTTTAAAGGATCATGAATCTAAAAACTCTCTGCGAGAGTCAGCTATAGTGAGAAACTTACAACCCTCACTTTCCAGTGCTATGATGCATCTGGATCTTCAAGGCCTGCAGTGGGGGGCTTCCAGCTTACTCGACGGATGGAGCATAGGTGATATGGAGTGTTTTGGGAAGATTACACAAAATACTATAGTTATTGAATCTCTAACACAAGGACTTGAGGTGCGTGATCGCTTGATGGATGAAGTCTGTATCTTCCGATATTTTGCAAAGACACTATGCAAAGAGGTGCACCCCACAAACATTGCATTTCTATCAAGTATCCAACAACGGTTACGAATGCGGATGGCGGAGTTTGGGCAGGCGCTAGCAAGACTAGAAAAAGCAAGGCTGGGCACTAGATTAACCACTGCGAAGGACAAGAGGGGTATTGATCTACTCCGTATGCATTATTTAGGAATGTCCTTACGGCTTGACCTTTGTCTCATTGAGTCAATGGATACAATACGTGCTAACTTCGCTCACCGGTTTGTCGAGCTTCTTGAGCAAGTAGAGCTTGTCACGAGTGGGTTTCGGGACGAGAGGTGTTCAAGCTCTCCCCGTCGACCAAGCCTGTTCATGGAGACAGGGGTTATTGTCCCACTATTCTATATCTGTGAAGAGAGTGGGGATCCAGAACTGTCACGGAGGGCGATGGAAGTTCTCGAATCATGGCCGCATCGCGAGGGCCTTTGGGATTCAAATGTTGCCGCTACAATGATCCGTTCAATGGGAGCGCTCAATGGAAATGGGAATGGGTTCTATACAGCTATACCGTTGTATACATAAAGTGTCTGCTAAAATGTATGCAAGAGTACTAAATGACAGCCCGGTCAGCAAGAATATTGTTTGTACAAATTAATAACTTAGCAGCTATTATTCCTTCGAAGTATCTACAGCAGATAAGATGGTTAACAGTTTGACGATCCAGGCTGAGTTCATCCATCCATAGGTCTACTGCATCAAAATCCCAGCTTTGGTATATTGTTTGGGGGGTATTTGGCCAGCTAAGATGGAGGCGCTATAACACAAACGTAAAGCTTTACCAAGTTTGCTAGTGGTTAGCCATGTCTAGCAGGCCTTGATCAAGTGGCATATGTTGGGGAAGCTGAAGCTCCCAGACTAAATTAAACAACTGGAACAAGTCGCGTTGTCAAAGTTTTTTGAGCCGCTAGCTGTGGGCGTTCACAAGCCGTGAGGAATTTGGCCTAGGGCCGATATAGATTCGGGGCAGGACGACTAAGTATGTCTCGGGAAGGCCCTGGCAACATCAAAGCTCCGGCCCAAATATTGAGAGCTGTTCGCGAGGCACAATTCTCTGAATTCAAGGGGCTCAGGCGAGCTGACTATCTAGATGGGTGACTAAGTGAGGCCACGTGACCATACCGAATATGGTAGGTCCCTAACAAGAGCTGAGAGTCACGTGGGCTGCATTTTACACCTCTCGAGGATGTCCAGAACCCGCATATTTAAGCAAAACTAGCCCTTCTCATCATCCAGGTCGAGTCATTGTTAGAATTATCATCTAGGTCATCGCTGCTGTCTGTCTCGGTCTCACTATCTAAGTAGTCGTCGGTAACGTCGTCTAAGAAGACGTCTGGCAGGCCGGTGCTCTGGGCACTATCATCATCAGATATAGACGGACAGAGATGTGCGCGGGGAAAGGAATGTAGAATGGGAAAAGGAGCAAGCAGGATGATAGAGTCTCCCCCCAGCTGTGTTGGAAAGCGTAGGGAATAATGAGCGGGATGGGTGTAAGTCACTGGAGAGCGAAGGAGGGATATAGAGAATGCCATGTTCACTGGAGGCTTTATGGAATCGAAGGGAACAAGATGGTCGAGAAGGGAGCCAAAAGCGGCTACCCCTCAGAGGGATGAGGTGTGGCAGAGCAACAAAAGAGCCCTCCTCAAGCGGCAGCATCATGAATGGACTGACAGGTTAGCGTCAGGGTGGCCTTAATCCTTTTTTCCCTCTCCATGCTTAGTATTTTCGTTGCCGGCACCGAATGGAGTTAATTTGGCCTTATTCCAATCTCCGTTTTGTAGGTTATAACAATTAAATTATCGACGATGATCGATGATCGGCTATCAATAAATCGATTATTGATCGGCGGCGTCACGCATGTGCTACACATAGGCTCGCTGGTGCTGGTAGCAGGCTACGACCCCATGGCCGACGTCTACTGGACCACGGTGCAAGGGACCGCCAGCCTGCTGACCTCGGCGCTGAAGACCCCGGCGTCCGACGCGTGGTGATCACCCCGTCCGTTGTCGTTTGTTTCATGGCATCACCAACCTTTTTTTTGCGTACGCTCTCGCGGGGGACGTTCATTTTTCCCCTTCCTCTCACTATATTCGTTCCAAGGCATGGTGTTAGGCAAGGTAGATGTATGTGTTCTCATAAATAGTGTAGATACACTGGAAACAGACACTGAATGAATAAGAATTTTAACTTCCCTATGGATTATATGTAAATGCCATACTGAGGTATAATTATTCCAAAATTTCTCCACTTTATACTTCCTTCAAGTATCCCATCACCTTCTCGACCAGGAACTTCCTTGGCTCCGCTTGATCATCGTTACTGAGCGCATGCGAGGCACCTGGTACGACCGCACTATGTACTGGGTCCCACACCTGACATTCTCCATCTTGATTAGCAGCATTCCTCCACCTTGCCATTAGCTTCTCCTTATCAATCCACGCAGGGACAGACTGATCAGCTCCGGAGAACAGCACCATCAGTTTATGCTTCAACAACCCCTGCTGCCGAATCATCCCAAATGTCTTCTTCAAATGCTCATCGCTGAGATCAGAACTGAACAGATCATCCTCTGTGGGTTGATGCGGACTGTCCGGACTGACGAGACTCAAAAACCTCCGACAGCTAAGCGGCGTATTGGCCGGATATCCAATCTGGGATGTCATGGACACGGGAAGTAATGTATCAAAGGAACTGTCAGAGCAGATCGCTTCCTTCGCCATGGCTTCCACCTTCTCGTATATCTCCCGCACTTCGCTCGGTGATTTCCCTCCGATCCCCTCGGAGAGTACCCAATGGATGGCCTCTCGGTCGGACACGGGCGCTTGCATAATTGCGCCGTCCAGCGGCATGCGTTGCACGTTTTCAAGACTCTCATCAAAGGCAGGTGTGTTGAGGTGGGGATTTGGACGGTATAAATAATGCAAGACGCACTGACTTCCGGTTGAATGGCCCATGAGGACGATTTTTCCGTCACCGAACTTCGACGTCTTGTATTCCTTGATATATTGTAGACATTGGGCGATTTCGTTCGTGTCTCGGTCAAGATGTCCGAGGCCCCAAGACTGATAAGAGGATGTGAGGTTCATGGTGAAGATTGACCATTGTGTTGGTTGCAAGGCGTGGACCAAATCAGCCATGTAGGATGTCGTAGCGAGACCATCACCGAGGCCGCCGATGAAGACGAGACTGTGTGGCTTTCGAGCAGCATTGGCGGTGTATTCGAAGGTTACGAGGGATTCAGTCTATTATCGTTAGCATAACACAGGGCCGAGAAGAGAGAAGAGAGACAGTGAGAGATACGTAGTGGTGCAGAATACCAGGGAGACCCCCCTTAGGCCAGAACTTGGAGTACATGACTTCGAGAGAGGATGATCAGGTATCTTGACAGGGAGTCTAATCCAGCGATGGAATTGTGTAGGTTGGATCGTGCTAGATCCGTCTAACCTGCTGTGCAAGTTATCTGCTCCGATCTGATAACTTCCGACGTCGGCTGTTTGCTTGCATTGTGGATAAACCTGCTGAATGGACCGACAACATCCCACCTGGGTAATTTCGTCCCGATGCTCCCCAACAGACTAAGTGGTCCAATCTGATAATTCGTGCGTATACTCCAATACAAGTCCAGCTATATATTTAAAAAATATCCAGCCAATTAGGAAGTGTCGCTTATGTAGTGGGCTCTCTGGAAATCCAATATGGGACACGGTATGGTCCATTTTCTTGGTATTCTCCAGCAAAAAATTCACGCATTAGAGTATTGATACGGAGCGTTGTGGGTTAGAAAAATACCAATCATTACACCGATACTAGCCAGCCAGCTAAGCAGGGCTAGATCTGATTAGATTTTTTCCGGCAGCGGATCTGATTAGATGCTCGGCTGGAAATTCAGGACACCTTAAGCCAGGAGGAGCAAGTTTAACGTTTACTAAGTATGGAGGTGATGTTCCTGATGAAGTAAACTCTAAGTGATTTGCAATGTATAGTTTGGATATAGAGCTAGGTATAATTCCTTGCAGGCATGTCACCTGCGTGAAATAGACGAAGGCACGTGCTGTTGACATGTACATCACATGTCATAAAATATGGGCAATTGGCTAAGGAACCAAGCTATTATCCAGATTCTGTCTCCTTCTCATTGCAAGCTTCCCATTTTCAGTCAAGGCATTGTCATGCAATGTTGATAATCCTAGTAAATCCTAGCGTACATACTCTGTACCGTATGCATGAAAACAATACTGCTTTCGTACCATTATTACAAGCGGTAATGCTACCAATATTACAATTCTTGCAATACACAGCCTTAGCTTCATACCTACTCAACTAGGTGTAATACGAAGGATTCGCCTAATTAATTACACCACTTAATTAACCTGCCGTACCCCCAGACCATTTTATAATCCCTACGATGTGAAAAAAAACCAATCCACCGCTCGAGACATCGACCCATGCGGATCAGATAAATCCAGTCCCACCAAGGGGGGAAGTCGGCAGTGCTACGGAGTAGTTGGGACCCTGCCCTGCGACAGAAATTTCCTCTTGGCAATGGGGTTACTCCGTAATACAGAGTACCCACTGAATTGTATCTCCACGTGAACAGGAGAATTTATCCCGAGAGAATCCCGACCATTCAGGGTCTATTTCTTGGCAGGAAGAATGAGGAAAAAAGATCAGAGAGACATACCTCACTAGTTCATCTGATTAGATTGATAGGGTCATCCCTTTGTCATTAGAGCGAATAGAAAGGATCAAGTGAAATGAAAGGTGCCAATAAGTCTTTTCTCACCAATACGAAGTATCCACCAGCAAATGGACGTATTTGTTGAGGTACAATCTTTTGTGGCTTTTTGTCCTATTTTTACGTTGGGGTTGCTTTCATCTATTTTTCCGTATAGTGTAATAGATCCGTTTAATGCCTAACGATAGCAGGATAGGGGCTGTAATAATAATGTGGCTAATGGCTACTAGAAATATTCCGTACTATTATCCAATTTCATGATAATTCATATACACATTCATCTAACTACATAAACAAATAGATAATTCCAACGATTTAACCTAGAACGTACCCATTCTATAGCTTTGCATCCCAAGCCGTCCGATCAGAATTTTCCAACGGTCGGTCCCTCCCATCCCAGAACAACGGACAAAGCTGAAACCATTTCTCCCGACTACACCGAACATGAACGGAGCGTTTATGGCCTAGGTCCACGTATTTTTCTATCGTCAAACCATGCGCATTTTCGTACGAAAGAACCGACGCGTTTGTCGCTTTCGGTTCCCCGACCACATTCATGGTCCGCGGCTCGTCCAGGAAAATATAATGGATCAGACTGGCCCACCATGCATTTACGCGGAAAGCACCGCGTACACTGGCTTCGCCGACTAGGGAATGGCGACCTCTGTCGTAGTCTGCGGCGTCGTAGTGTGCGCCGTAGTGGTCCTCCTATCGTCACTGTTAGTTTAAATAATAAGGATAGGTCAATAGATCAAATTACCTTAGCCCAGTAGACTTCAAAATACGAGAATGGAAAATCATCAAATCGTCCAAACAGGCAAAGGACATGTTTATCTTCATGGAGTCTGCGCAAGTATTCGCGATGTTCATCCAAAGTCCCAGTCTCGTTCCAACCTTTCGCGACTCGAGGATCATTCTGCCATTTGTTAAATCGTCGGAGATGTTCCTCATTTTGCCAATCCACTACCATCAGCGAGAAATGTTGGTTCAGATGTGGGATATAACGACTGTAGACCAGCGAACCCGGCGAGGGTTTTACAGGGCGAATGGGATGTCGGGCGTATATCCGTTCGTCGGGAAATTTCATTGAAAATTCGTAGTTCTGCGCCAGTGGAGGATACAGACTGGCAGAGGTGCGGAGTTTGCCATGAATGTCTTGATCGACGGCCCAAATGGGTCGCGGACCGACTGGAGAACCTGCCCCTTGCCAAAATGCAGAGCGTATTAGGACGAGACTGTCCACGTCGGAGGGACCATTCTCCGCTCCAAAAGGTACTCTGCGGGAAGGAAAGGGGATCCCCAATCCTGTTCGAAGGCATTCCTCGCGGATGACATCGTTCCCAGCACCGATCAGGTCGTCTAAACGAACGATCTCATACTGAGGATAGGTCAGGAAAATTGCGTGGATAACATTCCAGATCTGTCCCAGCGTGGGTGTCTGGCCAGTCCATTGGAAGGAAGTGCCTGGGGCTCTCCAACTGCGCGCCCAGGGACTGTTATCGTTCATTGGAATCTCTTTCGCAGATCTGTCGTAGAGAAGGTCCGTAAAGGTCAATGTATCCGAGTGGAGTGGCTCTTGTAGTGCCTGTCCTACTGTATCGTCATGCAAACGCAATTGAAGGACTCGCGGCGTGGATTCAGAAATAAGATGGATCTTATAGCTAGTCAGGTAGGGATGGGGAAGTTTGACCCAGGGAAACCCCCCCTCGTGTTTCGACGTAGACTCTGGGACTGCCATTGTTCTCTTGACTGTAAGTGTGGAATTGCTCTGCGTCGTCATCGTGGGGTTCAACAATGAAGAGAAATCTGACGTTTTTGAACAGAGCGAAGCCGGGCCCGGCCTAATAAGTACGACTGACCGAGGCATCAACCGAGGGCAAACAATTAGCGAGTGGAGACATTCGATCCAGTCGAAGGATTCAGTCAACTATGGCTGAGATCATGACTGACACATGTGAGGGGCCAAATCCGAAGCTTCTTGCAAGCTTCTAGACTGTGGTTCATTATTAAAGTGACGTGGGCCGCCACGGATATTGATAGTTTCACCTGCGTTTACAGAAATAAATACGACAGTCACCATGGCAGACAATCTACAACCTCCTCCAGTTCAAGGATGTCTTGTCTCATTTCCAGCAGATTATGTCCTTCTTCTCACGCTGAACAGACCCGAGCAGCGTAACTGCATACCCCTTGCCGTCAGTGCTGAGATCCAACGACTCTGGGAATGGTTTGATGTCCATCCGGCGCTGAATGTGGCAATCATCACGGGCACCGGAGAATCATTCTGTTCCGGGGCCGATCTCAAAGGTACAGTCTACGATTCTTACTACCCAAGTGCTCTATCTAACAGTCCATGGTAGAATGGAATGACCTAAATGCACGAGGTATCACAAACGAAATGACAGCCCCAGGACTAGCCGGTCTACCTCGTCGACGAGGGGGAAAACCCATCATCGCCGCCGTGAACGGATACTGTCTCGGAGGTGGGATGGAGATGGTGGTGAACTGTGATCTGGTCGTGGCCAGCGAGAAGGCGAGCTTCGGCCTGCCTGAAGTGCAGCGCGGAATCGCTGCTGTGGCCGGCGCGCTCCCTCGGTTGGTTCGGGTGTTAGGGAAGCAGCGAGCAGCGGAGATCGCACTAAGTGGTGTACCATTTCCTGCGTCGCAGCTGGAACGGTGGGGGTTTGTGAATCGCGTGGTGGAGCATCATCAATTGCTTCCCACCGCGGTGGAAATGGCGAGCACCATTGCCGCGAACAGTCCGGACAGTATTCGTGTCACGATGGAGGGTCTTCATTACGGATCGGAGATGGCCAGTGTTGAGGAAGCCAGTAGCTCCTTGGTTGACCGCTGGTACCAGAAGCTCATTGCCGGCGACAACTTTCACGAGGGCGTGCGAGCTTTTGTGGAAAAACGAAAGCCACAGTGGAGGCCTTGTAATCTATAGCCTTAGACTGGAGAACTGTTATTATAATCTGTAATACACCGTGGTAGAATCCAAAACACGAGCTGTTTCGATAATTTGAGTCATGAACTGACAAGTATTACTTCAAACGTGCACTTATACAGCTTTGGATTAGTGCGACCACACCCAGAATTCTCGGTTTAAAAAATTCGAAGAAACAAACTTGGCTTAGGTTCCAGCCCCAACAGAGATACTATCTCTACAATATCTAATTGCTCAAAATGAAAAAAATCTGACTATCAACTCTTTCCTATCCCAAACTGGTCCGTATAATTAGCCTCGCATGTATTCTTCCGACCACCATTATTAGGCACCAGGAACTATAATTAGTATTATATAATTGACTATACTAGTTAGCACTAATTAAGCAACTGATCAAGTATCATATGTATATCCTTAGCTTCCAAGCAAATATTTTTGCTATAAGTATGTATACAGTAGGTAGGAGGTGAAAATTTTAAACATAAATAGGTCTAGATACGTCAGAAACGTCAGAATATTTTAGGTCGGCCAATACGCCTCCGCCAAGTGTGACAAGTATGTCAAGTATGACCAGAGTGACATCAGCTCTCCAAGGATGGCTTGGCGTATTATCTGACTAACTGGATTTAGTCTTGGAAAATTTTGGTGAATAAATGGCGCAGGCCACAATCGCTATATTCCTTGTCTAGTCCATATCTGTTCTTAACTTCTACAGGTTGGTATTATTATTTATCCAAGCAGGTTTCAGCATGTTTAAGTTCAACTACGAATATATAGATAATGCGTACCTGTCTTCACAACACTCTGGCAGCTTCTCCAGCTTGGGATCGGAACTTGGAAAGTAAATGGCCTTTTTTGGGGTTGGAACTAACGGTCCACAAGTGGGGCAAAAAATACGTTGATAAAATTCATTGCGCAAATTGAAATACCAATCTTTCTGTACATTGTTATATACACAGTACAAACACGGTCAGTGAAACTACAGCCCCCACACCATACCTCCATCGATTGAGTGAAGATAATTGGAATGGGGCTTGTATCCATACCCACTTGAAGAATGCGATTTCGGTCAATCTATACCAATACCCATACCTGTCCCGCATGATCGGGCTTCTTCGGACGTACCGAGTTATCGCGAAGAACACAAACTTCATCAACATTGCTCTATATAATTACACTTAACTGGAACGCTAACCCTGGCACATGAAAGCTGCACTAAGAACGGGGATTGACCTGTGTCGTCATCATGGGCTCTATCGCCAGTAATAACATATCATCCGTGGGCGAAGCTCATGGTGACGGTGACGGCGAGAGATTGTTCAAGATCATCGGTCTATCTGCCGACCATGCTACTCCGACACGCATGAGAGAGGAAATCGTGCTGCTGGCTTGGCTTATTGTTCTCTTACGCACCAGGGAGGATAGTCTCATTCGTTATGAGTGGGGGTACCACGGTCGAGACAATGCGAGTCCCTCAAAGCTAAAACTCAGACACCTGTCGATGGAGGAAGTAATGACAGGTCTAGATAGTGTGGTCGGACAGGTTGCTACAGAGATCGCCGGTCGGATTAAAGCAGACACATCGAATCATTGTTCCTCCATATCTAGCCCGGTCTCCCTCCTCTTGAGCACCGGTTGTCTCTCCCAATTGTCCGAGGAGCCTACGGATGAAGTAAGTCAATGCTTCGTACAAGTTAATAACTGGCTGACGCGATGAATAAAGGGCGTGCTTCACCTCGAAGTACAATTCGATGATGACAATCTGAAGATCCGTCCAGTGTGGTACACGGACAATGTACTAGAATACACAGTCACGCGATACATGCTCGGCCTGGTCGACACCATCCGAATGTGTCTGTCGAACCCCGACGCGACAATCCAGCAGTGTCGACGGCCCACCCAAGATGATATGGATGAGATATGGAGGTTGAATCATGACCTGCCTCCGTCATACCAACTTTGCATGCATGATGTGATCTCCGAGCGAGCGCAGCAATACTCGGAGAAAGTCGCAATCTCATCCTGGGATGGCAGCTTGACGTACTCCCAAATAGACCAATATTCGACCTTGGTTGCCTGCTCCCTCCGGGACAAGGGCGTTAAACTCCATGACTTTGTCCCGGTGTGCTTTGAGAAATCCAGATGGACAATTGTTGCCGTGCTGGCGGTGATGAAAGCAGGTGCAACGCTTGCGATGATGGACCCAACCCTTCCGCTGGCCCGTCTACAGAACATGGCGACCCAGGTGGATGCGAAAACCATGTTGACGTCCCGAAAACAGCATGAGTTGTCAACATCAATCATCCCGAATGGGGAATTTATAGTAGTGGACGAGGACACCTTCAAAAATCTCCCCGATATCAAGACCTTACCCAAGTTACCAGCTGTGCCGTCATCGGCCTTGATGTACCTAATCTTCACCTCTGGCAGCACCGGTACTCCAAAAGGAGTCAAGATTTCCCACGAAACTTATACGAGCAGTGCTTTCCCACGAGCAAAAGCAGTGGGGTACACGGAAAACTCCCGAGTTCTTGATTTCGCATCCTACGCATTTGACGTCAGCATCGATAGTATGCTTTTAACAGTAGCAAATGGAGGCTGTCTCTGTATCCCCTCGGACGAGGACCGACTGAACGATATCAATGCAGTTATGCGGAATATGCAGGTAAACTACGCCGGTATCACCCCCTCGATGGCACGAGTTCTGGATCCAGACGTCATTGCATCCCTCAGTGGTCTCGGCCTGGGAGGAGAGGCTGCCTCGGCAAGTGACGTGAATCTCTGGGGTCAGCAAACAAGGATCATCATCGGTTACGGACCCTGTGAATGCACAATCGGGTGCACCGTCAATAGCAGCGCCGCCACGGGCCGAGATTATATCTCCATAGGACCAGGAAACGGGGCGGCTATCTGGATAGTCGATCCGAACGACCACGACGCACTCATGCCCATCGGCGCAGTGGGTGAGTTACTGGTCGAGGGTCCAATTGTAGGACAGGGCTACTTGAACGATCCGGACAAAACCGCTGCCGCATTCATTCAAGACCCTCCATGGCTGGTCGCTGGCCACAAAAGCTACGCAGGTCGCCAGGGACGTCTGTACAAAACCGGGGATCTGGGCAAATATGATCCTGATGGCTCTGGAGGCATCGTCTTTGCCGGACGAAAAGACACGCAGGTCAAACTGCGTGGGCAGCGTGTTGAACTGGGCGAGATTGAAAGTCAGCTCAGGGCCCGATTACCCGCGGAAACTGGTGTGATTGCGGAAGTGATTGTGCCTCAAGGATATGGGAGTCAACCAACATTGGTGGCATTCATTGCCGCACAGTCATTGCCAGGACTCGATCAGGGTGATCTGCAATCGGCGGAGCTGCCCACCGAACTAAGTAATACCCTATCAGAGGCTAATGCTAACTTGGCCAAGGTTGTACCACGATATATGGTGCCCAACGTGTATATTCCAGTGAATTACATCCCTACTTTGATTTCAGGCAAGACAGATCGTAAACGACTTCGCCAGTTCGGTGCTACGGTGGACTTGCGGCAGCTGGATCAAGGCCAGGCCACGAGCACAACTCGCGAGCTGAGTGATCTTGAACAGCGTCTGCGGCAGGCATGGGGCCAGGTTCTAAAGCTGGATCCAGAGACTATTCGTCCGGACGATAATTTCTTTGGGCTGGGCGGCGAATCCTTGACGGCAATGAGGCTAGTATCAGTCTGTCGAGGGCAAGGTCTCGAGCTCTCTGTTATCAATACCTTTAGTCATCCCACGCTCTCAACCATGGCTGGTGTTGTAGGGCTTTGTGATTCGCAGGAACAGCAGCAATTGCCCACATTTTCAATGATATCACAAACCGTCGAAACTGCGTGTCTCGAAGCCTCGCATGTTTGTGGCACCGAAGCAGATGCCATCGAAGACATTTATCCTTGCACGCCCACACAAGAGTCACTGTTCACGTTCTCGCTTAAAGCAACGAAGGCATACGTTGCGCAGAGGCAGGCATCTATCCCATCGCATATAACGCTCGATGCATGGAAAAAGGCATGGGAAGATGTAGTCTCGGCAAGCCCGATTCTGCGCACTCGCTTAGCCCAGCTCCAGGATCCCGGCTTACAACAAGTTGTACTGAAGGAACGCATCGCCTGGAGGTATTCAACTGACCTCAAGACATACCTAGAGACAGATCGAAAGGAGAAGATGGATCTCGGACAAAGTCTCGCCCGATATGCCATAGTCGACGATCAGAGTGATGGCAAACGCTACATGGTTTGGACGGTTCATCACGTCCTTTACGATGGATGGTCGGAGCCACTCATTCTGAAGCACATCAGTAATGCCCTGCAGGAACAGCCCACGGAGCTTCAGGCACAGATGAGAGGTTTCGTCAAGTACGTGCGCGATACAGACGCAGACGCTATGCACGAGTTTTGGCGACGCGAATTGGATGGTGCTGTCGGACCTCAGTTTCCCCGTCTACCTTCTCGAGACTTTTTGCCCACTCCGGATTCCCTGGTAGAGCATTACATACCTCTCGAGATAGGCACTGGGTCGCCGTTTACCATGGCCACCTTGATCCGCGGGGCTTGGGCGCTTGTAGCCTCGCAATACACAGGGAGTGGCGACGTTGTGTTTGGTGAGACACTCACCGGCCGAGATATTTCCTTGCCCGGAGTCGACAGCATCATAGGGCCATTGATCGCGACAGTGCCGGTGCGCATCTGTGTGCATCGCGCAAGCACCGTGGAATCATACTTACAGACAGTCCAGCGTGGCACATTATCTCGCACCCCATATCAGCACATGGGGATGCAAAATATCCGAAAAGTGAGCCACGACGCGCAATACGCATGTGAAGCAGGAACAGGTTTGGTCATTCAGCCAGAACCTGAGTACTTGGGCAGCGAACTAGGCTTTGATGCAGGAGACGTTGTACAGGAGGCCCTCCACTTCAACCCCTATCCGCTAATGCTTGCCTGTGGCATACGCAAGGGTGGTTTTCGAATCTGCGCCAGTTTTGACGGGAGTCTCATCAAGGTAAATCAAATGCGACGAATCCTGGTGCAGCTCGAGGTAGCTTGCCTACAGTTAACCAAGAGTCTTTCCCGGAAACTTGACGAGATATCCTGTCTGCCCACAGCCGAATTGGACCAGATCTGGCAATGGAACCAGAGCCCCCCTCTGTCTATTGATGAGTCGTCAAAAACGCTTCGAGTAGACGCAGGTCTCAAGCCAGGATCAGTATATCCTCCTGCAGTGGTTCCCTGGGTGTGCAATCCACACAACCCGTCTCTTTTGTCACCTATAGGGAGCATTGGCCAGCTTTGGCTCGAGGGGCCGCTCCTGTCCAACGAAACTATGGAATCACCAGCCTGGCTCGTCGCTGGAAGCTCTACTATTGCCGGTCGGACAGGGACAGTTCACCCGACTGGTGACATGGTCCAGTGGTATGATGACGGCAGCTTAGTCTTTGTCGGTCGAAAAGAGGACGTGGTGCCTGTCAACGGACATGCAGTGAACATAGCAGAAGTCGAGGCCCATCTTGCAGAACATCTGCCATCGACAACTCGTGCTTCTGCTGCGGTACTCCAGCCACTTTCTGACAAGACTGAGGGTGTGCCACAACCAGAGCTAGTCGTCTTTATCGAGCAACAACCTTCTGCCGAGGAGTTTATTAAGCTCATGCCAGTGCACTATGACATAACTGTTGATGAAAACTTGAGGACGACAATATGTAACACAGTTCCCGTCAACCTAGCTATAGCATTAAAGAAGCTTGACAAATTCATGAGGGACTCACTTCCCTCATATATGGTCCCCTCTGCGTACGTCGTCACTGACATGATGCCAAAGGGCGTCCAACAAGGTTTACTCAATCAGCTCGCCTCGAAGATTCCCCCACAGATCCTTACCCAGCTATCTACAGGCTTCAAAACGGCGTGGGCACAGGGCTCCACGAAAACACAATTGACCACGACGGAAAGCATTCTCCAGTCTGCGTGGGCCAAGATTCTACGTCTCAGTACGACGCAAATTGATGTAGACGACAACTTCTTCCGTCTCGGCGGTGACTCTGTGCTAGCTATGAAACTTGTCTCTAGTCTTCGTGCCCAGGGACACATTCTGACCGTCGCCGACATCTTCCAGCACATGCGTCTTGCGGATGCGGCCAAAGTACTAAAATTGGGTCAGGTTTCAACTAATAGGGCCAAACCTTACCGGCCATTTTCCACCATGGGCTACGTAGAGGTAGATCAATTCTTGAGCAAGGTTGTCCAGCCAAAGCTGGCCGACTCCAACTGGACCATTCGAGATGTCTCTCCAGTCACTGATTCCCAAGCGATGGATATCAGAGCAACCATCCAGGTGCCGCGAACCTCGATACAATACACCATGTTATATTTCAACCATGGCATCGAACGAGAGAAATTGCTACACGCCTGTAGGAAACTTGTCCAGACTCACGAGATTCTGCGCACCGTGTTCATTGAACACAACTCGAAATTCTTCCAGGTGGTGGTGGATCAGCTAGATGCGGTTGTGGATATGCATCAAACTGACGGGGATATTCAGCAATATGTCACCGATCTCTGCACCAAACACATCGAATCCAATTTCCCCTTGGGATCCTCCTTCCTCTCTATGCTCCATGTTGAAGGCACCGATGGCCGTGAATGTCTCATCATCGGCCTATCGCACGCTCTGTACGATGGAATGTCGCTACCTCGACTTCTTAAAGACCTGGAAGCATTGTACACGGGACACGAGATTGTCGACTTTGAGCCCTTCTCGTCCTACATAGCACAAGTCCGTGATGAGCGTGCCCATGCCAACGCGCTTAAATACTGGCGGGATCTTCTGGACGGCTCATCATTGTCTATTCTGGGTGGGACCTCGGCACGACCTACGGACAAATCCATTTTCCGGACAAAATCAGTCGACGTCTCGAAACCCCCTGAGAATATCACTACAGCGAACCTGCTTACCGCCGCGTGGGCGCTGGTGCTGGCACGCCATCTCCGCACATCGGATGTCACTTTTGGAGGTGTCACGTCAGGACGAAACATCGACCTTTCCAACGTGGAAAATATCATGGGTCCCTGTTACCAGATAGCTCCGATCAGAGTACCGTTCGAATCCCAGTGGACCGCGACGGATCTCTTGCGGTTCGTTCAAATGCAAAGCGCTGCATCTGCGGCGCATGACTACCTCGGGTTCGAAAAGATTTCGACACATTGTACCCAGTGGCCTTCTGAGCGATTCTTCAACTCTATTGTCCATCATCAGGATTGGGACGACTTCGACACCATGCCTTTTGCGGAGGGAACATGCCGGGTGGATATTCTGAATCCGCATGGAGATGCTGCTGATCCATTGAAGGTAGTCTCGTTTGTCCGTGACGGGCAGATGCAAGTTGGATTGGTAGGGGCTGAGCAAGATGCGGCGGTGGTGGATGCTGCACTGGAGGAGTTGGTTGTTGCTGTGCAGGAATTGGCGATGCCTTCGAGACGCAACTTGCTGAGCGATGACGCGTTCAGTGAGAACGTTCGGAGATAGATATAGACGGCTCGGAATACGGTACTCGTTCTTAGAGTTTCTGGATTACTTATTGCTTGAGATCTTCTTTTCCAGCCTCTTAAGTCTGTTCAATCTGAACAGGCTGCTATGAGTGTCAAGTCTTCGGCAGTGCCTACATTTTTGGTTTCGGTTCGTGGTGTGACTTCTGGGTGATTTCCTTCTTTTGAAACATCCCTCTATCGTTAATTTCTGTTTGTTAAATAGTTAGAAATGAATCACGCAGTATTCTATGAAAGTGGTTATATGTATGTGCCAGATATCAAAGAGCACCGAAATATATACTTCGGTTCGGCAATATATATTAACTTTCTATTGATAATTAGAGTACTATCTCTGCAGAAAGAGCAGTCCCTCTATTTCATCGTTGAATATAAAACTTATCTTGATTTCTAGATTAAAAATACAAAGAATGTCTACTTTTAATACTACCATAAGCGACGAATAAATCGCATGTCATCTGGGGGAGTATGCGAAAGAGATATAACTAAGTAAACAATGCCACAATTAAATTCTATGCCAACCACTAAATAACATAACGAGTGTATCAAAATATATATGTCAGCAATATACGTACGCTCTTTTAGGTAATGATTACAATCAATATTATATTATAACGCCCAAGTCTATCCGGCTCCTCACTCAGCAACAGTTTGATGCATAACGTTGGCCCGGTAGCTATCCGACCGTTCAAGCAATTCTTCATGCGATCCATGATCCACACAACGGCCTCCATCGATCAAAAAAATGACGTCAGCTTGTCGGATCGTGTGCAGTCGATGCGCAATCGCAATGACCGTAATCCCGCGTGCTGCTTTCTGCAGTCCATCCTGGAGGAGCTTCTCAGACTCAGCATCCAACGCACTGGTAGATTCGTCCAGAATTAACAGTTTTGGCTTTCGAACGAGTGCTCGGGCAATCGACAGTCTTTGTTTCTGGCCTCCTGAGAATTGACTGCCGTTGGGTCCGCATAAAGTCTCGTACCCATCAGGAAGGGCTTGGATCACGTCGTGGATATTTGCCAGTTTACAGGCCTCTTCGATCTCGGCCATTGTGGCTTCCTGTCCTGGTTTAGCACCTAGACCGACGTTAAATGCCACGCTCCCCTCGAAAAGCACGCTCTCCTGCGGTACTAATGCAATCGTGTCGCGGAACGAAACATCCCGCTGGGCGGTCACATCGACGCCATCTACCAGGATAGACCCAGACTGGGGAGTATACAGCCGTTCAACCAGGGATATAATGGTTGATTTCCCGGCACCGCTGGGTCCGACCAGAGCACAGAATTTCCCGGGTTTAATATCAACATTCAAGCCGTTTAAGACCTTAATGTCCTGCCTAGCGGGGTATGAAAAGTGGACGTCGCGGAGCTGCACGCTGGACGCATGGCTGCCAGAGATGCTCGATGAAGTCTTCTGCGCCGTGGCTTCGAGATCTTTCTCGTTGGAAGATTCCAGGACTGCATGATTAGGCACGCGTCCTTGCATCTTATTCGACCCGATTTCAATAAGGCCCAAGATTCTTGCCATCGCCGCTCGCGCGCTGGACAGCTCCGGGGCAAGAGCAAACATTTGACTCCAAAGCAGTGCGCTGACAAGAAGCGAAAACACAACGATCAGGAATTGCGTCTGGGTGTAGTTACCGGCGATAATTTGTTTAGAACCCCACCAATAGGCCAAGGCGTTGACGAGATTACCAAGGAAGTAGGTCATGGCCTGCCACAGGCTAGCTTGCAGGGTCACTTGAAGGGTCTCTTTGCGCGGGCCTTGCAAGGATTTTCTATAGGTTTTCAGCGTCGCCTCTTCCAGGGAAAGAGATGCAATTGTTTTGATGGACGTGATGGCTTCCACTCCAATGTCGACAGACTTGGTATATGCATTTTCGTGACGTTCCTCGAATTTTCCAAGGACTCGAAGTTCCATAAGGCCGGCTCCGAGGAGAAGTGGTACTAAAGCCAGGCAAACTAATGCGATCCTCCATGCAATAATATGGGTCAAAATAATGGCTGCGACGAGGTTCACGGAGATGGAGAATAAGGTGCCAATGACCGAACCGCTTAATCCAGCCAAAGCATTGCCATCCCGAGTGATATAGGATAGCAGCAAGGCAGGGGTTCGGCCTTCCGACTGATGCCACTGGAGATCCTGCTCAAATAGAGACCGGAATGACAAGACCCGGACCGTGTACACAATTTTCTCAGAGACAGTGCCGAATCCAGACCAGCTGATTATGTTGGCAAAGAATTCTATGATGGCGAGAACGAAGAACATTAAACCAAATAGATTGCCCCGAGACCGAATACTATCCGCACTGTGACACGGGTTAAGGCTTCCGACGGTGTTTCCAAAGATTACAGCTTCACCAGAGAAGGCTCCACCAACTATGCTGGAACCAAGCAGTGCGACAAAGATGATCAGTAGATGTGGTCTAAGAGCAGGTGCATATCCTCGAATAAGAGCCCACAGAGACTTATGCGGTGTTGGGGGGTCGTCCTCTTCCTCTGCAGACTTTCCAGCAGCTTCATCTGTTGGGGTGATTACCTCTTCGGTATCTCCAGGCGCGTCAATAGTAAGGCTGGTCTTTTCATTATCAACATCTGTTAAAGATCCCTGGTCTGATTTGCTGACACTGTTGATGCTCACTGTCGTGTCATCCTTTCCGGACGCAGACCCAAGGGTTTGCAACTTCACGAGGTCGGCATACGCTCCATTCTTAGCCATCAAGGTCGAATGGTTTCCCTGTTCTACAATATGTCCCCTATTCATCACGATAATATTGTCCGCGCTGGTAATAGTCGACAGACGATGCGCAATGGTGATCATCGTTCTGCCACTTGCGATGTTGGATATCGCCTTCTGGATACGCTGTTCGCTTCGTGAATCCAGGGAGGCGGTAGCTTCATCCAAGATGAGGACTCGAGGATCCTTTACCAGGGCCCTAGCAAGCGCCACACGCTGCTTCTGTCCGCCGCTAATCAGACGACCACTGGAGCCCACCATCGTGCCATATCCATGTTGCAGCGCACTGATAAACGTATCCGCATCTGCAAGAATTGCAGCATGTTGGACCAGACGTACAATCTCAACAAAATCCGGGCCTCGTTTCTCCGCTGCTGCCATCATATCGTTGCCCTCTCTGACCTCGCTTGCTAGGTCGGCCAGATCAGATCCGACAAGTGTCGTCTTCAAGTGTGCATGGCTAGGATCGCTAGAATTTATCAAACCGTGCGCAATATTCTCTAGGAGGGATCGATCGAGAAGGGAGGGCTCCTGCTGCACCAGACTAAGGAAACCCCTCAAGTCGCGCGTATTTAGATCACGAAGACTATGGCCATCAAAAAGTATTTGCCCTTCTGTTGGGTCATACAGCCGGGTGACCAGGCCCGCTATGGTCGACTTGCCGCTTCCCGAAAGTCCAACTAGGGCAGTGTGCTGCTTGGCGGGGATACTAAGAGAAACTCTATCAAGGACAGTGATCTCAGGCCGAGAGGGATAGGTAAATGAGACATCTATAAACTCGAAGCCACCTTCAGCCTGGGACAGACGATGGCCTGAATCCGTAGTTCCATCGATGAGCGGCTCGCGATCAATGTCCTCCCGTAGCTTTTCGAAAGAAGCAACGGCTGCAGTGAACAAGTGAATGAACGGAGCGACTTGACTCAGAAGCAAAGTTGCTATGATTGTGTTAATCAACGAAGGCTTGCAGGGATATTTGAACAGACTCAACTCACCTTCCACTAATATAAAAATGACTGTAAAAATAGCACCAACGGTGGCTGCGTGAGAGTCTTTACCCACCGAGTCCGCAATTTGTCTACTTCCCTGCCAAAAGGCGAGGCCATTTGCCGAATATGCAATGAAATACAAAAACCCAGATTGTATACCCACCGCAGCAGCTTTCTTCAAGCCTTCCCTCTCAGAGGCTTTAAGGGCCTTGGCAAATTTCTTCTCCAGCCGGGCACTGGCTCCAAATGCCTGTACCACAACAGTGTTGGACAGCGCCTCGGAGGCAATTGATGCGGCACTCGCAGCATAGTCAGACATGCGCCCGGAGTATTTCTCAATATAATGGCTTCCAACGAATGACATCAAGAAATAGGCGGGAATCAAGGATATAAGCATTGCTGCAAGTTTATAGTCCTTTATAAACGCAACAATATATGCCGTCACGAAGAAAGAAAGACTAGAAAGACAGATTCCCACTTTCTCCGACGTGCCAGAGCGAATTGCCTGGATATCTCCATTCAGACGCGAGGCGACTTCGCCGGGAGGCAAACTGTCAAAGTACGACGGCTCTTGTCGAACCAGATTCTGCAGATAGCGTTCTCGCAGTCGCTGCGCCAGTCGGGCGCCATTCAGACTCCAGCATGTAAGGTGGAGGTAGATCGTCACCACTTGAGCGATAGCCAGATAGACGATGATTAGAATCTTGTTGTTGATGTCACCCTGATACTTGGCGTCTTCTGAGCCAGCTGCTTTAGTTTCGGTACATGTCACAGCGTTGAAATCGTCGAGAAGCTGGCCGAACAGGATCCCAATGATTGGAAAAGGGACCCCTGACGCAATGGCACATACTATTCCCAGTAGCAGCCTGCCGAGGTCGACCTTCGAAGGCTGCCCAGCTAGGAGCAGGCGGGGGAAGCCTGCCAATTTCTGGACGAGCTTCATGGGATTCGCAATAAATGGATATGTCCAGCGACCCTGTAGATTGTCGTTGTCGTTAGAAGTGTCAACGGCACCGAGTCGTCATTGATGCCTCGAAGACCAGGAATTCGAACGGAGGTGTGTTCGAGGAGGTTAGCTGTGGTCACCAGAGCCTGTGAAAGCTGTTTTCTCACACACCGATTCCTCACAGTAGTGCCTGAGGATGTCAAACCGGTGAGCTGTATCGTTACGTAAAAATTATCAGATGGGTAAGATTCAGGACTGGGCCCATCGGAGATATGCGGGATTGATAAGATACCATGTACCCCATCAGGCTCCACCTTCTCGTGGAAATTCCGGTGTATGGTGGGAGAAAATTCTGAAATTATATTTTCTTTCGAGTACGGGTAACAGTCTGAAATGGGTAGATCAGGGTCATATCTGATTATATTAAATTAATTATGTAATTTATTTATCAATCTTTCAGCGGACCCAGATGTTCCATGGTAGGGGAAATGGGCTAGGATTGCTGGTTGGGGGAATCCAGCCCAAGAATTGCCCAGCAAAGAATAGGATCCACCTTCCTTTATACAAGATACCGTACCTGGTACGTACAGTACGGAGTACATGGAAATACACTCCAACTCTTGGAATGGTAATCTACTATGTGGGCTGCGATGGTGGTCTGTTCCGGGAATCAAGGAAATAGGGATGGGATTTAGAAATCTCCAAAGAAATTCCATGAACAAAAAAATCTACCATCTATTTAGCGCTGTCTCTAGTCTGGAGGTTAAAAAAAAATGGCATTGGAAATATCCGAAAGCCACCTAATGGGCCCAATATCAGCCTTGTTCCTTTTACGTGATGCCAGAGGGGCAGACAAGGGTTCGATTCCATTTTAATAGCGCATGGTGGGAAAGACAGGACTAGATTGATTAGACAACAAAATCAAAAACATGTTGGCCATATGAGAGGCGGACCCCGTAATATCGAACCGTAATACAAGTTGTACCAAACACGAGAAGGATCCAGACTGGTCCTTAGCGGTACGAATGTCTCATACACTAGGAATACTGGACACTTCGCTTCAAACTTATGTACCGTTGTTTTGGGGAATTAAGGTATGAAAAACATGTAAAACTCGATCCTGTATTTCACGGACCATACTGCGTACAACTGCCTGGTATCGGCTTGCCAATTCGGTGGCTGCTGCACTAGACTCTAAAGATGGCTGGACATGGTCCGATTCGCTTCCGGTGTGGCCGCCAGACGATGGCCCGAGTATCCACCAGTTCAATCTAAAAAGTGTTTTGAGGGAGCTTGTCCCTCGCAGATCCCTCCCAAGTCGCAATCCTCTTCTACCAGGCCATTGTGACAGATCTCGTTCGATCTCACGATGTTGGAGAAGTTTTTGAAATCCCCGCACTCGTCTTCCTCAGAGGGCCATCTTAGCCCAAAGGGAGACGACAGATTCAATGACGCCGAACATGGGCTTCACGACAGTTCGAAGATCCCAGCTGAACAGGTCAACACTGTTCCCGACGAAGCTGCTCAGGATGGAGTCACACAGGCGGAGGCTATCACGCTCACATGGACCAAGTTATCCTTAGGAGCAGCCTATATTCTGTAAGATCTATCTCCAATGTCATGGATACGGTAACTGACGAAGGATGCACAGAATGTGGTTCTTGTACCTTGTAAACGCCTTCCAGTCTTCCATCACGGCTAATCTCTCGGCCTTCGTGACGAGCGGCTTTGAGTCCCACTCCTTGATTCCTGTTATCCAGATTGTGTCCAGTGTAATGTCCGCAGCAACATACATGCCGTTGGCCAAAGTGTTGAACATATGGGACCGCTCGATTGGTTTCCTGTTCATGGCCTCATTCGCGACCCTGGGATTGATATTGTCAGCAACATGCTCGAATATTGAAACCTACTGTGCAGCACAGGTATAGTACCTTCCGTAAGTTTCCTGCGAGACAAGAAGCTAACTGTCCCAAGGTATTCTACAGTATCGGCTTTGCGGGCATGATCTTCAGTATCGATGTCATCACGGCGGATACATCATCGTTGCGGGATCGGGGCCTTGCATTTGCATTCACCTCCTCTCCCTACATTATTACCGCATATGCAGGCCCAAAGGCTGCCGAGGGTTTCTATGCCGCTAATTGGCGATGGGCATATGGCTGCTTTTCCATAATCCTTCCCGTATTTGCCGTGCCGATGTTTGCACTACTTCGGTACAACCGCTCCAAGGCAAAGAAGCGCGGGTTTCTGCAGCCCAAGGAGGACAGCGGACGGACATGGATGCAGAGTATCATCTATTACATCATTCAGTTTGACCGTACGCCTCCCATACCATGCAACGCAATATATGGCTAATTTTTGCAGTTCTGGGAACCTTTCTCCTGGCGGCTGGTCTAGTCCTTTTCCTCCTCCCTTTCACCATCGCCGGTTCCGCAGAGGATGGATGGAAGTCTGCTCATATCATTGCGATGCTGGTTCTCGGTGTCGTCTGTCTCGTTGTCTTTGGCTTGGCAGAACGATTTGTTGCTCCAGTGCCTTTCCTGCCCTGGAAGATTCTGGTCTCCCGAACGGTTATCGGTGCCTGTCTCCTGGATGTTACATACCAAATTGCTCACTACTGCTGGAACGTCTACTTCACATCGTACCTACAGGTTGTGTACGGCACGAGCCTGGCAAAAGCCGGGTACATCAACAGCATCTTCGACGTAGTGTCCGGCGTGTGGCTCATCGGTGTCGGTCTGCTGATCAAGTTCACTGGGCGTTTTCGATGGCTGATTTTCTGCGCCGTCCCTCTCTACTTGCTTGGGGTGGGCTTGATGATTTACTTCCGGAAGCCCAACTGGTCCGTCGGTTTTACCATCATGTGTCAGATCTTCCTTGCATTTGCCGGTGGCACTATGATTATCTGTCAGCAGGTGGCAGTCCTGGCGGCGAGTGATCACAACCATGTTGCCTCGGCCCTGGCATTCCTGAATTGCTTTGGTTCCATGGGTGGTGCCATCGGCAGTAGTATCTCCGGTGCGATCTGGACGCACACTTTGCCGGACGCATTGAAGAGTAGGCTTCCTGCCTCCGCACTGCCTGACTGGGAAGCGATCTATGATTCCCTCGAAACTCAGCTCAGCTATGAACGTGGCTCGGCGGTCCGAACTGCCATTGCTTATGCTTATGCCTCAACTCAAAGTAAGATGTTGATTGCGGGAACCTGCATTATGGCTCTTTCTCTTATCTGGATGGTGGTGATCCGAGACATCAAGCTCACGAAAGATATGCAAACAAAGGGTGTCTTGTTCTAACTGTCTTTTGTGACCTGTCGTGTTCTAGGCGGCCTATGTTTGCCAATGTTAGGGGCAATTCTGCTATTTGTGATTAATTCTACTCGGAGCTTGACAATGTCTGGCTATCCATAGATGCAGTGGTTATATTTGTTATAATTTTAAAATATTTGCAATTTTTATAAATGAGGGTTACTTGTAAAAGTTCGAGCGTTTGCAATTAAATCCAGAAGGTGGCGACTTTGAGATATCTGGAGGCTCTGTCAATTACTACGAACAAATTATATACTTAATTTGATACCCCATATAGTTATATACAATTCCGGAAACAATATGCAGTTTTTCAGCCACGGAGAATATTTAATTAATAGAACCAGCGTATGCTACATGATTTAATATGGACAAGCTGAGCAGTGCGGCAGCGCTATTCACCGTGAGAGTCAACGTATATTACAAAATCATCTTCAAGTTCGCAGCATACTGTATCCACAGTCACTCTTGAAGCTATCAAACAACTTTCGGCACCGCAGGCACCGCAGTTGTCAGCGCTTTCTTTGTCACCTCATCCAAGTCCTCCTTCGGCAATCCAATGGCATCATTAGCCAACCCTCTCGTGGATTCAAAATCACCCCCTGCATCCTTCGAGAAGGACACTGCATACAAAGCCTTAGCAAATCCCGAATTAACCCCGTTCTGCATCTCAGCCAACCCATCCTGGTACCTCTTCTGACAAGATTCATAAGAGATAGTCCAGTCAGCATCAGTCGTCCCAGTGACACGATGGATACTATCAAGTATATCCCGCTGGGTACACGTGAAACTACCGACGTAGAAGAATTTATTTTTCCACTCTGCCACCTTCCTCTCCGGCAGACTTAGAAGAGCCGCGACAGCGCGACCACATTGAGACTCGCTGGATGAGGTAATCCGGTTCTTGCCGTCGTCGAAAAATGTCGCTGATTTCTTCTCCAGATCGAAACCGAAGAACGACTCACCTAATAACAGACTCCAGTTATACCAGAAGCCGCAGTTCATGGCGATGTACGCTGTATTCCCTTGTCTTTCGACTTCCTTACATCGCTCGAGGGCAGCCGCGCCGTACATTACATCCTCGCTGACGGACTTGTTTTGCAGATCGGTCGAGTAGACGTTTGGCATGATATATGGTATTTCTGCGTCAGAGGCGGCCTTGACAATCTTGCTGTGCAAGTCTGCAGGACTGGTCACAGACAAGGTGATGATCAGGAACTGTTGTCCCTTGAGTGCGTTCACGAGACATTCTTGGTCATCATAGTTCACTTCAACGCGCCGGACTCCTTCAGGAATGGAACTGGTGCTCCCTGCGCGTGTGATCGCGGTGACGGTGTGTTTTCCCGTTTTGAGAAGCTCTCGAGTGAAGTGTGAGCCAATATGCCCCGCAGCCTGTGTTCATTCTTGTCAGTCAGGGTAAGACAGGGGGCAGGGTTACTTACGCCGACAATGGCCACTTTTTCAATATAGGTTTCTTGAGCCATAGCTAATGCAATAGAAATATAATAAATTCTAAGTCCAGTTTTCTATATGCTTTAAGCAGAATAGGCCGGAAGAACGTATAGGATTTATATGGGCCGGGGCGGAGTTAACGGAGTTTACAGCGGACGATGCATTCGGCCTCGGACTTACATCCTGCAGTTCCTGGAGTATGCTGGGGCTGGATCAACCTTGTAGAATATACTGAGGTGTTATCTGGTAATCTGTGTTCTGCCTATGCATATTTTGCTGGAAACTATACAGACCGTTTGATACAAAAGATACCTAGTCTAAGACGCACGACTCGATAATGAACCAGAGAGACAAGACCTACGATGATGTCGCTATAATTATTCTAAATAGCTAGTACGAGCATTTCTTATGGAGGAAGCTTCGTAGATAATATCCAAATAGAATGCTGTGTACATACTCCAGTGTTTGGTACACTAGAGCATATTTCTTGTTATTCGGTAATTCTGAGCCGAACAACAAAAACAAAAGATAGAGAGCAGAAAGAAATGGACAGGACTACAAAAAGAAAGTAGACTATAGTCAATTTGAAGAATTGGCCCAGTAAATGAGGCTCAATTTAACCCACCTACGTACGAAATCATATCCTAGGGCTACTTCCAAAGGGTTCTACAAGACCCCTATATTAACTGAATCCACGTGCCTATATTTTAGCCCTAGGTCGACCTTTATTTATGCATACATTTATTTATGGACTACTAACGTATATATTAACTACTATCTATCTACTTACTCATTAGTGTATTCATTAAACCACGAGACAGCCTGGAAAATGCCTACTCCTTGGCATAGTATTTCTGACGACCCTGCGACACGTCCCGGCGTCCCTCAAAACATGTTCAGCATATGAAAATGCATCGATCCGGTAGGGAATCTCCATTTTATAAAGGATCCCCTCGCTCTCGTGACGTTTTGCAGTGGTGAAAACAAAATTTTCAAACTCGTTAAAAGTCGCAGAGCTATACGAGAAAGAAAGCTGCAGCAGCAATACTCAGGGCCCCTTCCACCCCCCTCGGCTCATTTGGTTCCACCATCATGGAATGAGCAAAGAAGCCAACACTTAGCTCCCTGGTTTAAGAGAGCAATATACATATTTCCCGCTGAAGCAGTAGCCGACACCACCAATGCGCTAGCAGCTGTAAGAACAGCAGATGATAGACTCTGTATGCTGTGGTAGGTGATTCTATAGCCAATCCATGATGTTGCAGAGACCCGGCATGACAACAAAATAACCATGGGCAGCGAATTCATCCGCTACCAGCTGGGCATTGATAAACCGATGACAAATGACATCGGTCACCATGAGAAGTACATCCTTGGTCTATCGGTTCGGTGATAGGCAAAATAAGTCGAGACTGGATATGGTTGTCATGGTGGCTATGGGTATATCAAAGGAAGTCTCACTAGTTCAATATCTTTAATCTCTCCTTTAGCTTTGCCTTCGTGGATGGATCCCGGCTCAGCACTGCGATAGCGTGTTCGAGATCATTCCAAGCGCGAATATACGAGTGGCAAAATAGTATCTGGGGCTATTGTGATGCTCTGTCCGTACTGACGGAGTTAGGCCGGGGGTAGATTAAACCCGGTAATATGCAAGCCCGTAAAATTTAGAATTCGCCAATAAGAGCGTAGCATCCTGATAATAGAACGACAAGGCTTTGGCACCAAGACTACTTTGATGAGCTGATCTCATCTGCAACCTTTTCGGGAGATGATGAACTCCAAAGCCAGTGTGCTCACTAGAGTCAAAGTGTGTCTTGTCCGGAGAATATAGAAGTGAGGTTTTCCGATTGTGATGTCTTATGGATGAAAGTCACGTCGAGCATGCGGCAACGAGAGTAAGGAGAACCACAAGACTGAGCCCTACATACTTCCCCTGGCGGACTAAATGTGAGCATCACCAGATCAACCGAATTTTCAATCATCTCAAAATTTTCTACTTCTGATGCATATACCAACCGTGGCATCAATGTGTAGTTGGAACATCTCGACAAGTGTATAACAGACTACCACACTGCTAGCTGTCAATACAATCCAGGATTCATAGATCCGTATCATTCAACTGCGGATAAAAAATGCCGAGTTCTCTAAGTTGCGGGTGATGCCTAGATTAATCCATTGTGTTTCGGACCGTTAGTATGTGTGGATGAAATCTTATTCTCCTGGCAAGACTTCCACATGGGTCTCAACGGTCAACTCTGTTTATTTTTCGCCACAAGTCCAGTTGAACCAGAATACCTCGCCATGAAAAAAAGAGTGGAAATCCACCGAAGATAGCTCTCCTCCAGACATGAGACATCATGTTTAGCAGACAGATATTAGCATCGGAAGGCCAGGGTTGAATTTGGAGAAACAGCATCCATCTTGTCGGAGGTAGGCTAGCAGTATATATTCCGGTGGAATGCACCCATCGCAGCAGCTGGTCTTTTCCTTTGTCAAACCTATACTGTTCTAAGACAGGTTACAATCACTATATCTCATTCTGACTACTATCATCCCACACCACGTCAGAGCCCATCGAGTTCGGCCCTTTTGGTAATCCTGAAGGTTGAGATCAATCGCACGACAGTGCCTAGAAGAAGAATAAGCCAGTGCGGCACATTGACGCATGGTATGGCTTGGGCGAGGGCGTCGCCAATAAATTTACTGTTCTGAAAGAACTTCCGCTTCACTAGGTTCGAGGTTATCAAACTAACCTGGGATCCCAATCCGCCAAGACAATGCACACAAGATATAGCTTTGGCAAGAACGAGAAGACTCTCCCGATGCAGGTATATTCCGTGGAACCCAAGGATCATGAGCGCGTGGATTCCGTTCGATTTCATGGGGCCAACTACTTTGCAGCGGGAGGTACCGATGGTTGGTGTAACGGTATCAATCTGAAATGAGATGGACAGCTTCTGCGTTTTGTTGGAAGGGCAAATGGAGATATCGATAGCCTTGACCTGGTCTATCATGCATAGTGGTAAGCATGAGAACGTGGCTCATTGGTCAAGTCGTTGACCGGCTGCAGATTGACGTTGTTGTCTACCACGTGTTGAGATGTACAGTATGGGTTGATTTCATCCACGTAAGAGCGTGTGGGCCATCCAGATCAAAAGTGCTGTTTTCGTGATTGTTGTAAATTGGTATTGTTTTCCTGTTATTAAAGTACTGTGTATAAAAATATGACGAGTTTCTTCAATATTTGGAGCCTGCATATGGAGGGATATGTCTAGACTTGATCTTCACCCCTGCTAGTCCACAAGCTGCTTTGCCCACCGGCAGATAAATAGGAGCCCAGAACAGGCTGACATCCTGTTGTAAAAGAAACCCCGTGAGAGCCAGACGGCTGAACATTCAAAAGACTGTGGTATTAGGATATAGAGTAGGTACATTTGCCCGCCGTATTATAATAGAAGCATACATACTCTCTGTCAATTTAGTCAGATTACTATTAACACCTTTCTTAGGAATTTGAGAAGAGCTGAGTCTCTAGTCCTGTGCAATTTATGGATGATTTACATTCCAGACGGATTTAGATCGGCCAGGAAAGGAATACCACCGAATACCGCCTAAAACACTCTAATGCGCAGCTTGACGCCTACAAAGTCAGTGATCGCTTTTAGGGGCAGCATAGAGCCACCAGTTATATTGAACACGATCATAGCTTCCTCAAAGGCTTTACAGAATTTTCGTATATCTTTGAATTTCTGAGGTCTTTACAATCAGTTTTTCCATTATGGTCTTTGACTTGATGCGACCTGGATTCTACACCGTAAGTGACTGACACGAAAAGTAACATAATAAGGCAATGAAATAATCGCTGGTTCAGATCAAACCCGGATGGGCCGAGTTGGATTACTATGCCATAATCAATCACGCCCATCCTGCACTGATGTCGTGATCGCCTTCACTATTTGTCAGCACCACTCGGTGTCTATATATCAACCCTGGATTTCATCAGGGACCTTGTATCGACCAATGTCATGCCAACAAGCTCTAACTATTTAATTTCCACTGCTTCATCACATCAAATATAACATGCCTGAGCACAAGTCTCTCCATCTAACTGCGTTCATGCGGCCCGTCAGCTTGCATACCGGTGCCTGGCGCTATCCCGGGGCATACCCGGACGCTAATTTCAATCTAGAGCATCTCAAGTCCTTTATCCGCAAGCTGGAGGATGCCAAATTCGATGCATTCTTCATGGCTGATCATCTGGCTGTGCTGAATATGCCGGTTGATGCCCTGCGGCGTAGCCACACAGTAACCTCGTTCGAGCCATTCACGCTCCTCTCTGCCTTGTCGGTAGTGACCGAAAAGATTGGGCTCGCAGCGACTGCATCCACCACGTACGACGAACCATACCATGTGGCCCGTCGCTTTGCGTCGTTAGACCATCTCAGTAACGGTCGGGCCGCCTGGAATATTGTCACCACCGGCAACCCCGAGTCATCAAAGAACTTCGGCCGCGATGAACATCGAGAGCACGGGGAACGTTACAAACGTGCCCGTGAGTTCTACAAGGTGGTCACGGGGCTGTGGGATAGTTTCGCAGACGATGCTTTTATCCGGGATCAACAGAGCGGCCTCTACTTCGACCCGGACAAGTTGCACGTGTTGGACCACCAGGGGGACGAGCTGAGGGTTCGGGGTCCACTCAATATCGCCCGACCTGTGCAGGGTTGGCCGGTTATTATCCAGGCCGGACAATCTGAGCCCGGGCGACAGTTGGCAGCCGAAACGGCTGAGGCAGTGTTCTGCTCGCCTCGCGACCTGAAAGCTGGCCAGGCGTTGTATGCCGACATCAAGGGGCGGGCGAAGGCGGCCGGGCGCGATCCACAGCACGTGAAAATCCTGCCCGCGGCCTTCGTTGTGATCGGCGACACTGTCGAGGATGCTCAGGCCAAACGGTTGCGTGTTGACAGCATGGTCCATTACGACAGCACGGTGGCCTCGTTGTCGGTCGCCTTGGGAACCGATGTGTCCGGGTTCGATCCCGACGGGCCCCTACCGACAGACCTGCCCGAGACAAATGCTAGCAAAACCAGCCGCGAGGCTGTTGTGCAGCTGGCTCGAGAGGAGGGACTGACCGTGCGCCAGTTGGCGCAGCGATACGGTGGCTATTCTGGACTGGCTTTTGTCGGTACCCCGGAGACCATCGCCGACGAATGGGAGACATGGCTTGCGACCGAGGCAGCTGATGGATTCACCATCACGTTCCCCTTCTTGCCTCAGGGGCTCGACGATGTGACCCAGAGGCTGGTTCCGGAGCTACAGCGTCGGGGGATTTTCCGTCGCGACTATGAGGGCACAACATTGCGCGAACATCTGGGACTTCCCCGCCCTGAGAATCGGTTTTTTGTGTAGGACCTAAGTAGAAGATAAAAAATATCCTGCAAGATGGATGTCCTTGTTTTTGCCGATCGTATAAACGTACGTATTGACCTATGAGAGTCGTGACTTCTCTGGAACAGTATATGGCAGTTGAAATGTAATCTTTCGCAAATAAACTGTTGCTTAGGCCGATAAGAGTTTCCATGCAGACTGTACAGACTGTATGGATCCCAAGCAAGACATGGTGTTCTTGCCTTGCCAATCACTTTAGGGAAAGAAATCCGCCCGGTGGAAAAGTGTACCGCCAACGACGCACAGGGGCCCTCAGAACTAGCTCGACATCGCCTGTTGGTGGCTAGACGAGGGTCGGGATCGAGTAGGCGTTATGTTTCTAGTTTGATGGGATGGTCCGGTGGCTGGTTGGGTGTCAAATTCGGTCGTTCACTCCGGTGCCGGGGTGTCACCTTGCTATCAACCGACTGGAGATAAATTCTGCGGAGGATGTCCTTCTGGCACATGGACGAGCGTACTGCGGTGGTGTACGACAGAGGAGAGCGCGTCGCTTCCACGGTCGCGGAGGATTCCCATGAACCATGGCTTGAAGGCGTGAGGCCATATTCTAGCCTGAACACGTAGCAAGGGATTAGGGGAAATGCTCCCATGCAGTGAACCGAGTCTTGGCATTGTATTGACCACTACCTGGGAGGGACTCAGTCGTATCTACGGAGTAAATAACAAAAAATTCTTGTTTAAATGGATACATGACAGTACTCATCTTGTTTATTGTTTATTAAATAAAAATACTCGAGTATCGGTTCGTGATAACGTTCAGGATTTAGCTTGGTACCAGACAACGGAATATATATATTGTCAAGTCATATCCATAAACAAGAAGATTTAATAGAGACCTAAAATTTCATAAACTTGTGAATTATAAGTATCAGCACCCCATACTACTCTGTATAGTGGCCGTAACAGCCTTGTCTCCTAACTCCACTGAATCGACTATTTCTCATATGTTGTTGGCTCCAAAAATTAAACCAAAAATAAAATAAAATAGCCAGACAATTGTTATACCGTGGTTCTAGAATCCACATGCCTGCCTGCCATTTCCTTGCTTAACCGACTTACCCGGATTCATAATATCGGCTTGTTTGGTAGCATTCCGAGATCGTCATCAGGGCCGTGGTGGTCTGGATTTCAGGCATTGGACTATCACTTGCCTCAAATAAAGGACTGAGCTACGGAGTACGGCAAGCCATTAGGACAAAAGTTTAAAAACTAATTTTTTAGCCGAAGTCCCTTTACCGCTTTCTGTACCGCTTTAACTAATAGTAATAAAGTAGCGGTGAAGATAAAAGAAAATAATAACATCTAACTAAGAGTAATTATTTCTTTATATTAATTACAAGATGCCTCGTCCTTCTATTGAATTAGAGCCTTATAAAGCTGAGATTACTAGTCTATATAAGAATAAGAAGTCTTATAAAGATATTGCGAAATACCTTGAAGCTTAATATAGAATTAATGTTCAAGCGAGTACAATCTATGGCTGTTTAAAGACTTGGGGAGTTAATAAAAAGCATTGTACATTAAGGTCTAAAACAGTTTTTATTCACAGATAAAGATTCTCTTTTTTTTAAGTAGGTCTTAAAGAAAAGGAACTTCTCCGTGTACTAAATCTTAAAGGGTAGGATATAAAGCCTCGGACACTTAAATATATCTATTATTACCTTGGGCTTTACCGTCGTACGAAGAATCCTATGATTTTACAGCAACAGGTTAAGAATGTTATAGAAGAACTGCAAAAACAGATTAAAAAAGGCCAAATTAAAGGCTATGGAAAAGAATTAGCTTTATTATTATATACAAAGCCAAGGGTTTATAGTTACTTGGTAAGCTCTTCGTACGAATATTAGATTCCAAAAATTAATTTTTTTTTTTTTTCTTAGGGATCGCCTCTTTTTTTAATCTATCGTACGCTTAATCCTGCGTCGGTTTAAAGATATTTATATAATTTGCAGCAGCATAGAGAAGCATATATTGTTCCAGGGCCTAATTATATATAGTTAATTAATGGCTACCTGAAACTTGCCCCTTATAAAATTAAGATCTATGCTGCTATTAATGCATATTTAAGATATATTATCTGGGTCTACGTCGGCATTAGTTCTTGTACGGCTGTTAGTATTCTACGGTAGTTTTAGATATTATACAGGTTACTAAAAAATACCTTGATTTGTACAGTCTGATCGTGGAAATAAGACACCTCTTCTTGCTGAAGCTTAACATAAGCTTTAACAACCAACAAACCCAGACATCTCTATTAGAGATTGCTATATATACGGTACAAGCACAGCGAATTAAAGATTAAGGCCTGGTGGCTATAGTTAAGTAGGGGCTTACTTTGGCACTGGAAGGTAAAATGTTATTCCCTATTTCTTTGTACAAGGAGCTAACTTTAATAGGACTTTTTTATATCTCTTCAAGAAGAAGGGCTTTTTTCTTAAGATAATCTGCCTTCTTAGATTGCTCTTTTTACTATTTATATGCCTATCCTTCGAACAGAAATTTTTTCCTTCGTACAAACATGGAATAATTATTCTATTCGGAAATAAAAGCTTCGTCCGCATTTAGTTCATGGCAAGCCATATATGAACTATTATTTCCCTGTAGATAGTATACAGGATTTTGGTATTTCGTATTTAATAAAGACCTTTTACAGACTCTACAGAGTGAGGTTTAAGCCTGGGGTAAGTTTTTTTAATTAATTATATATAAAATATACTAATAAATTTATAGATTCTAATAAATACCTCCCTCAAGAAACATATAATTGGGTATATAAGCAAACTTTCTGAGCTTGGCTTTAGTCTAAATAACCCTTCTAAGTACTTAGATAGTAATTAGTTTTCACCTTATTATACAATGTTTATTGATTTGTGTTAACGTATAAGGATTTATATTAAAAGTGGGCTTTAACCAATACTCAGCTTATTTACAAAGCCAACGGGTGGTTTTAATTGGCAGCCTAAGCAGGAGATTTAAGAAATTACAGTGGAGGTCTCCCAGGGTGATCCTGTTCTCCCTATTGGGGGACAGCAGCTTGCACCTTGGGTACACAGCCTACCAGGCCAGGCAGTTTTGGCCTGTCTAGGTCAAGATGTCCGGTTCGTACGGGGGTGTATCTCTGGACATTAGATCCTATCCTATTGTCCTTTATATATAAATACCCTCCTAATCCAATCTCGCGGTCGTACGGTAGGCGTGCCGTGTTTGGCCTGTAGGCTGGCACAGCCAGGCTATCGTCCGTTCCCAGAGTGTCGCCGGGTTCCAGGCCACTTTGGTGGAGCTTGTGCCAATTGTAAATGGCGTGACCATACTAGTCGCTGCTCCGTACGATCAGGAGGAGAGGACAATCCAGGAGATAATAAACCAGAGGCACCCTTAGATAATACTGGTAGCCCTGCAGACACTCCTGGGGATCGTACGCTACCGGCGCCAGGTTCTTCTCCAGAGAATGCTATTGTTATTGTTTAAGTGTGTTCTTCCCTTTTGGCGTACGGCGTTGGTTGGCGTTTGGTGTATGGTGTTTGGCATTTTTGTGCTTTTGTGTTTTTACCTGGGCAATGGCTTGCACCTCTTTGTGGTGCTCAGGACTAGTAGCCTTTATAGGTGAAGCTAAGCAAGCCTGAATAGATATATACTGTATTCTATTCTCCTAGTGGAATATTAAAATCTGTTTAAATATAAATCAAAGCATGTTATTCTGTATTCTGCCGGCAAAAACTCAGTCACCGGATAGAAAAATTAGTTTTTAAACTTTTGTCCTAATGGCTTGCCGTAACGGAGTGGCTCGCACTGACAGGGCCAAGATCCAGGGGAAGTTCATCATTGCCTGACTAGTGGGTGGGGATCCATGTTGCGACGATCCTTAACTAGCGCCTAACCACCTGTCGAGGTTTCTGTCATGATACAAATAGAGAATTTATGGCGACTAATGTATCGATAGAAATAGAAGTATAGCGTATGACTAGATATAATCATATGACAAGTACATGCTGGAATAAGTATTGGTCATGTTGAGTACGGTAAGTGCGTTGTGGGCAGCATGTATATCAAGATTTTGTTTAATTCCATATCTAGTTATCGACTAGAAGATCATCACCATCCGACAAGACACTATTGACAACACACGTAAGTCTCTCAGCACCGTGCGCAAGAAAGGAGAGACTCTCCTGTCGCTCCCAGGCCCAGATCAGAGATAAATATCTCGCCCGTATACCCAGAACATCTTGCTCAACCAGCGTCATTCATTGATCTCTCTCATTACGTTCTTGTACTCTCTCGTTACATTCTTGTACTCTACAACCCTGTCACTCTTTTAATCAAAACAATGAAGATTTCGCTCCTTACTACCCTCACCCTCATTGGTGCCGCCCTCTCCGTCCCGGTCGCGGATGGCACGAAGACGGTACGAGACGTTGAATATAGTCCCTGAGCATGGCTAATCACAGTCTAGATCGCTACCGGCCAGCCCTGCACAAAAGATGGCAAGATGGGCATTTGCGAGAAAGGTGGTTTCTGCTTGGTAGTTCTTCCTCTCCTACTCCTAGCCCACATTCACTAATAGAAAAACAGCAAGAGAAGAACAAGCCCCAGGGTATTTGCAAGCCTGTGAACTAGGTGACCATAATTGGTTGGCCGAGGATGAATAGGGGAGTTGTTATTGTACCATATTACTCTGTATATCGATCTTAGATGGGAATTAATAAGAACTTGTAATTCCTGTCGAGATATCAGGCTTCATAGATGCCTTAGCGGCAGTGTGTAAAGGAAGGAAGCAGTCAAGAATAAAAGCTGCGCCGAAGTGCGATCAAGTTAATCAATTGGATGCTGTACTTTACCAACTGGGAAATAAGCCCGAAGAGATATAATGGCGATGCATTGACTGATGCTCGAAGGTCAGCCTATTCGAGCTGAGAAATATAATTTAGTAGTACCGACTCGCTAGGATAGCATACATCTTGAAGCTATCGCTTGTATACCTTTCCCCCACGAATATTTTTCCACAGGTTATCGTCTTCCCATGGGCCTACCGGCATCTTTAATGCACGAAGAAACACTTTTGTTTCCACATGCTTGGAAGTGGGTCGATAACATCTTTGAATAACGGCATTAGATTGGACGACTCCATTGCGCATCCAATGGGCCAGTGTACAGTGATTGTAAGGGAAGAAAGATCCGCACTTTTCAAAAACATAAGGTCGGCTGGCTGAGAGGTGCTCCTCACACCAAGAAAACTCTCAGCGTGGTTGAATGCAATTGAAGAGACCTCGACACCATCACTATGGTTCAGAGGAAAGGGGGTAGAAGAACATTATAACAGCTACACGCACGTAGCCTACTAAGGACCGTATTTGATAGTATCTATACGGAGTACTGCCTCAAATACTATCTAATGAGCGCTCTCATGAATGCCCAAACTTTTATGGCGACACCTCCTGAGCTCGGCGTCACAAATGAAATCTGTCAACCAAAGTGTGCCAATATTACTCATTATTCAGCATCAGCTCTGTCCAACTTTTTCCTTTGTTTTTTCACATTTTTATTCTCTTCTCCAGAAAAATTCAGATAGTTAGAGACTTGAGAGACCTTATACTTTTCAATGCAGATCCACATTATCATATGATCGGTGATACTAGCCTATACGCGTATTCAGCTGGCTGACAGAATCATTCGGTGCATAAGTCACGCCCAACGCAGTGTTTGGCGGTGCCACGGCCGTGGAGAGTGCCGCCGATCTGGCGAGCGCAATCCACCGCGCCGTCACTGCGATCCGAATAAGAAGCCGTCCGACGTGGAGATCAGGGACACCCTGCAGGTGCACGAGAACTCCCGGAGAGACCGTGAGAAGGAGATCTACCGCGTGAGCTGGATGTTGACGCGGTTTCAAGCTTATCACGGGTGGTTGAGCTACATCGCCCAAGATGGGTGTTGCCACATATTGGGTTAGATTTCGTGGCGAAAAAATGTTGCGCAGACGTGTAGTGAAGCTCCGAAGCTGGAGTATGTCTTTGTCGATAATGATAGGGGCAGTTTGGGGTGGAAGAATAGCAAACCGGCAGCCAAGCGCAGCGAAACCCTTACTGTCTTGAGGTCGTACGGCGGACGGATATGGCCAAATGATCAAAACTAAATTTCTAATTATATTGCCGGCAGAATCTACCACCACACCTAGGTGAGAAACTTTGGCATATCAGGTGGCTTGCTTGGTTTCACCTTCCGGTTACTAGTCCTAAGCACCGCATAGAGGTGCAAGCCATGCTTAGGTGCCGTACACAGGGCCCGTACGGCTGGGACATGCTGGTGATGGTGCTGGTGCATAGAAACATGTACAAAAAAATCACTTACTTTAAAGAATAATCGGGTTCTCAACCCCCTCTCCCTCCTCCGGGTCCAAGTTAATTAGATTCCCGGCACCCCTTCATCCGGATCCAAGTTGATTGGAGATTTAAGCAGTCCCCCCTGGTTAACCCCCATTTGGCGCAGGTGCTAGGAGACTATGTCTAATATCTTGCCACAGCCCATCACATACAGAGCACTAACTGGCTTTGTTAGGCCATTTACAGTTGGCGCATGCTCCACCGAAGGCGCCTGGTACATGGCAATATTCAGGAAATGGGTATCCACCCTGTACGGTGCGGCAACGTGTACAAGGCTTAGCCAATATTATTCCACGTAACTGAATAAGCAGGGCATTGATGTAGGAAGGCCGGTGTTGCTTTATTTGCCGTGCTATTATACTGCCGCGTATAAAAGCCACGGGTGCACTATTATATGCCAGCAACTGCCTTCCTTCACTAGTATGTACGAACGGTGCCAGCATTTATCCTCCCACAGGGAGGACAGGATTCTGGCCAGGGGTGTAGCTGCCAGAAGCTGGGTAAAATGCCCATCTAGCTGCTCCTCCACAGGAGCTGGAGATGGATCTAGATCGATTACAGGAGGGAGAGAAGCGTGGAGACAGCGGAGACGGTTCTGATTACTTGTACGCAGAGAAAATGTTAGCATGTCCTCTATAAAGCTATGCAAACTTGCCTGATCCTCCTGTACGCCATAATGGTGGTGGTGGTGGTGGTGGTGGTTGAAGATAAAGAGGGAGAAAAACAAGAAGAGGAGATAAAAACTGTTTACTAGTAAATAAATAAAAATATAGTATACAACTAAGCAACCTCTTTTATTTTACTTTATATATATAAAGATTAACCAACTGAATAAATTAACTGGCTAACTAATTAAATCTCCAAATTAAAGACCGTACAGCAAAGGACCGTGCTCCCTTATACGATCCTTGTCCTCCTTATCCAAGTCACCATTATTCCTCCGCGTACGAATACCAGGACGCTCAGGTTGGGATGTTACTAATCGCTTTTGCTGGGGTAATAACTGCTTGGAAGGTCGTACAAAGGAACACTGTATGGAAGAAGGCTGCAGAGAGGAATGCCGCGTGGAAAAAGGCTGCAGAGAGAAATTCCGTGTGGAAGGAGACTCTGAATCTGCTTGTACAGCAGGCAAAGGAGGAGAAAATAGAGAAGGAGATGGTGATATTGCTAGTACAAAAAGATCTAGGTTATTATTAAAAGGATCTTTTAATTCTATTTCCACTGGTTCCCTTTTTACTATATGCCTTGGCTTATTTTGCAAGTCAGGCTGTGTACAAAGAATAACAACATATATAGTATACTCTTGCTTAGATGTCTAGAACCAACCCTGTAGTAATTGCCTAATTGTCTGGCTGTAATCTGCATTTTTTGTCAAGTAGATTGCATGCTTATTTTGAAGCCCGGTGGCTAGGTGTAAGTTATTATTAGGATTGTACAAATATTAGGAAAAAGCATGTATCCTAGGAAGTAAGTTCTTTTAATAAACTCCTAGATACTTCTTATCCATCGATTGGACAGTCTAGTTTTAATTATTTTTTTAAAAGTTAGTTTTTTTTTTTTTAACTCTTAACTTTAAAATAATTTATATAGATGCTGCCGGCTCGTACGCTGTTTTAGTTTAGGAGGATTCTTAATTACCTCCAGATAGAAGCTAACAGTGGCTTTAAAATCCTTTAGTTCCTGGTATTTTCGTGTTTGTATAATTACAAGTTATTAAGGATCCTTATCTCCTTGCATACGGCCATAGGATTTAAACCTTGGAGCAGCTTGGGCTGTGGAGAAAGATAGAGTAGAAGAAGAGGTAGAAGGGGAGAATTAGTAAGATTAATAGGCTTAACTGCACCACAAGTCCTGCAATACTCTCTAGTATAAGGCTGTGGTGCCTTTAAATAAAAGGGAGTCCAGGCTACTACTATTGTACACTTCGTACGGAGGAGTTAAAGAAAAGAATAAAGAAGAAGATAGAATTCTTAAGGAGAGAAGAATGTTTAATATTAGTCTATATAGTAACTGTGGGAACAAATAATTATAAACTGGACTAAAGCCACAGTATACTATCGGACGCCACCTTTAGGATAATAGCTCCCAATTAAAGGCTCCTATAGGTGGCTCGGATAACCAAAGATATAGTTAGTAATAAGACTGTATATATAGATACACTCTCTCCCGAAATAACAAATAAATCGTACGAAAAGGAGTTATACTCTTAGCTGGAGGAATTGGTAGTAGCTTTTTAGGGTTAAACCCTATCCCCAACAGCTGCGTACGACACCACTGGAGAGTCTTAGAGGGAAGATATTTGTCAAGATCTAGCCATCTATTAGTATAGTTAATAGTAGTATAGAAATAAAGCTTACCAAACTCCTTAATATCCTGTTTTAGCTGCCTAAGAGTTTTTGTATAAAAATATATCCCATACTTTTCTACACTATCAGGAGGATAATAGTAATTTATATATGGCTTTTTATATATAACCCAATGCCGTGCAGGCTGTTTCTAAATTCTATAAATATTCCAGTTGTGTCTAAAGGTTAAGACCTCCTGCCGAATCTTAGGCATGTAGACCGCGTACAAGATAATAGAATCTAGTATAGATTCCTTGGAAAAAAAACACTTTTATCTAAAAGCTGTTTAAAAGTACTCCTATTAGAATTAGTTTTTATATACAGTTAAAATAAAGGTTAACTTACCCGCTATTTAAAAAGTTGTATTTTAGTAAGCTGTCCCCACTATAACTTAATTCACTGGTTCTTAGTACTCCGTCCGTAGATATAGCAGTCCTCTAGAGATAGATCAGGCTCGTACACTTGGCGGAGTTAATAATAGGCATCCCAAAAGATAACTGTTTCTTCTCCAAGGTCTGTACGGAGCTTCCGTGGCATAATTTGCCTCTCCTCAAGAGTATTAAGATACTGCTTGAGGACGCTAACTGCTGTACAAGCTGAAATACTAATATATATTTAGATAATATATTAAAAGTAGGCATCTATTACAGCATATATCTTAATCCCGTACGGCTCCAGCTTTAGATAGCTATTTGTAGACCATAGCCAATCTGGACCAGGAATAATATAAGCACCACGGCGGCGTTGGAGGTTATTAGCACGGTAATCCAGGTCTTTAGGTGCAAGCGTACAGTATATAGCCCAAAGCCGGTCACTAAAAAAAAAATGGAGTAATTAGTATAAATCTTTTAGATAAAGGCATTTAAACATACTAAGTAATAGTATAACCCCTTGTACAAAGATACTAAAGAAAAAACTCCCTTCCATAGCCCTTAATTATAGTCTGCCCTATTTCTTGATAGAGTATTTGGATGATCTTATTCTCCTGGAGTTGCTAAGCTACAGGGTTATCTGTCCGGTGTACTAATCCAAGCTCTGTACGGATTCTCCTTAATATTCTCTCACCGATATCAGTATTCTCAGACTTTAAGACTCTAAGAATCTTCTTATCACTTAGAGCCTGCTCATAAAAGAGCTGAAGAATTCGCTGAAAAAGCCCAGACTCTTGGTCTCTTGTCGTACGTGGTCGATATTTGGTAATCTGCCAGTCTTTAAGACGTCGCCGGACTGTACACTCAGAAACGCTAGTTCCATGTTGTTTATAAAGAAAAGTAGCAATGCTGGAGAGATTATTTTCAGACTGGTAAAGAGAGATAATCTCTTCTTTGTACGGTTCAAGATCTGTTATTAGTAGACTGCGGCAAAACCATGGACAACCGCGGATAACCAAAACCGCAACCGCAAATTTGCGGTTTTGGGGCTGATTTAAAACCGCAAACCGCACTGTGGGCGGTTGCGGTTTTCACTTTGGAGAACCGCGGTTTTGCGGTTATCCATGGATATGTAAACATTACAAACATGCTGAAACTCGTGACTTTCCAGTGAATGCATAAATTGTGCACTTTTCGCAGTATTTTTGGAGTATCTAGTATGTAATAGATTACCTATATCTCTTAATTTGAAACCTTTAGAATACACTTTTAGACCAAATTCGATTTCTCTTCTAAGTCTCTAATATTACAGCTTATCAATCTCAAATCCCTCAGGTAGCTTAGGCCTCTTCCGAACCCTCCCCTGACCGCGCCTGCGTCTTCTCAATTGGCATATCGGGAAGTGGGAGACCATTATCAGCATCATCTATAGCCTCAGAGGTGTTACTTCGGCACCGCTTCCGTTGTACCTGCTTAGTTTGAGCTACAGGCTGCGTGGTAGATAACCCTTCTTCTGCCTCGTTATCAGATTCATCTGTATCATCCTCAGATAAATCCTCTGCTTCGCAACCCTCTTCTTCATTATCACTAATTGGTTCGAGTTCATTAAGCGATGGAACAGGCTGTCTTGTCTGATCAAGCATAGCAGCCTCTCCGACAGAGAGATACTCTTTAATCATCTCTAGCTCGCTTTGTTCAAGATCAAACTTAGATGAGAAGAGATGGAGCATTAGATCTTTAATTGTGCCTGGCTTTAACTGTCCCCGACGATAGTGACAGACATCACGAGCACAATTAAAAAGCCGCTCAACACCAGCGCCACTTGCAGGAACTGAGAGGATATCTCGTGCAATCTTTGCAAGGACTGGATACTCGTGCTCATGCTCCTTCCAGAAGACCCGAGGATTACCTTTTGTGAGCCCTATAAAATTAATTAACTTCAGAATAGTATAGAAATAGAGAATATGTACCTTTTGCCAAATACCGTGTTATTTCATCCTCCGGTTGATCCACTTCAGCTTGTAGAGCTGTCTGTGATTCACATAATAGCTCAAGCTCATTTTCAGCAGGATCAAAGATTGCTTGGTTATCAACCGGTTCTGTTTCCTGGATAACCTGCTGCTGATATCGCTTAAACTCCTTCTGTAAAACCTCCCGGTAATGCTTCATGAAATCGACTTCCTCTCCTTTCTCATTTTTCCTCTCCAATCCGCATTATCAAAGTATCGAAGCTTCTTTGATGGACAGAGAATTGTTGCAATCGCATAGACTGTGCCATATGACTCATTGTCTGTTTCAGTGTAGTATTTTGAGAGCTTTTTTTTTGCTGACTGAAGTGCCTGAAGCATTCTCCTTTTCCATGGGACAGCTTTACGTTTCAGTTTCTTCTCAACGTCATCAAGATGATTAAATAGCCGATTATAGATACTGAAGACATGGTGAACTGTAACATCTCTGGTCTTTGATAATACACTAGTAAAATCAAAGAAAGGCTTAGTGATCAGAAGCAAATATTCAACTTGGCGCCATTCCTCTTCATCTAGCTTAAATTGAATATGTTGATATGTTATACAATACCGATCAAAGACTGATTGTAATTTCCTGGCACGATTAAGCATCAGAAAGGTAGAATTCCAGCGTGTGCGAACATCTTGGATCGGAACAAGCTTAGGCTCAGTAGTTTGAAGGGTAAAGAAAAGCTTCCCTGCGCTGTGGACTAGCATTGATAAAGACAGCGAGCTCTCGAATCTAAGGATAATATATATTAGTATAAGTATAAAGAGAGCGCGAAGATATACTTACCTTTTTAAGGTTCCCATAATATTCCTTGTAGGCTGCCGAGAGCTAGTTTGTAGTGACTGTGTACGCGAATCAGACCACTCAGTCTCTGCTTCCTTATTTGTTGGATTTGCTTTTATCTTTCCAAGTAGATCCTTTAGGCTAAGCTGGATAACATGCG